GGGCCTCTGTTTACCGCGAGTCTGGAATAACCGTGCGAGCGGGGCAGTCGGCCGTTGAGCGCCAAAAAAAAGGGGGAGGGGGCACTCGGGCACAACGTAAACCACCGAGGCGTAGGGTTAGAACAAACAAGCCATGAAACGGAACGGAACACGACCCCGGTGTTGACTTGCTCACGACGCAAGGCGGCAGCGCAGCCGCCAGGTGGAGCGCCGTGCAGCGTAGGCTGGCCCGCCGAGCAGGCGTGCGTCACGGGACTGCCTACACTGCAGGGGCTCCGGCCGAGCCGACCGCCTTAAGCCACCGCCTCGCCTCGCGCGTCACGGCCAGTCACGACCAGGGGGCTCGTGTCGTTTCGTTTGTGCCGACGCAGGAATTTCACGCGTCCCGACGGGGCGCTGGCTGCCCGTTCTCCGTCCTCGTCCCTTTGCCCCGCCCTCGCTCCGTCCCGCTCGCTCTCACTGACCCGCGCGCCGCTGACCGGCCAGCCCGGCCCAGGCTCACCTATACCTTTCGTCACGCACAGAGCCCCACAGGTATTTCCACTGACCCCTTCCCCCGCGCGACTGAAACCAAATCAAACCGGATGTTTGAGACCGACCCGCCCCGCCCCGCCAGCGCACGCCCCCGCAACTATTTCTATCCCGGCGGGGCGGGGCGGGGCGGGGCGGCCTGGGGCGCGCTCCTGTATCGAATTCTCCTCGATCGCCGTGCTCCCTCCCCTCCCCTCCCCTCCCCTCCCCGCCACGGCCCGTCGAGATCTGATCTTTGCATCGTCTGGGGGCCCCGGCGGCCCAGGCGGCCCAGGCCGGGCCAATCGTGCCGTGCCATGCCGGCCGTGCCCGAGTACACGGACACGGCGGCCTTGGTTCTCGGCTCAACCAGGACGGCGACCACGGCGACGCGCGACACGCCGGCAGGTGCGCCTAGATACGGAGCGTCTGTGTGTGAGTGTGTGTGTGTGTGTGCCCACCGGGAAGCAGTAAAACGTTTCGAGGGGAACAATAGGTCGTCCTCCCATGTCCTCACGGGCGAGAGGGGGGGGAGGGGGGCACGCGTCCGCGTGCCTCCACCGTATCCTTCGCCTGGCGGACGTGAGTGTGTGTGTGCATGTGTGTCCAATCCTGTAAGAATGCGTTAGAGAGGCTGTGCGACGCAGAGGAGTGCACCGGGCGCTAATTAGCCCCGAGGCGATGCCGCGGCAGTCCGCCGTCCCTCTCTCTCTCTCTCTCTCTCTCGCACCCCTACGGCCCACAGACGGGCCACCTCGCGAGTGCGAGAGAGACAGAGAGCGACGAGAGCTGCCCGTTCGGCGCGCTGGCGATGCTGCTAATGGAGGCGGGGTAATCACAGGCGGGCCTTAGTCTGTAGTCTAGTGCAGTCGGGGCGGTCGGGGCGGTCGGCGTGTCGGCCAGGTGCAGCACCGCGTCGTCTCGTCTCGTCTAGGGATGCAAAATTTCATGAAAAATATTTTTTTGAATTATTCACGTGAAATTTTTCATATTTTTCAGAAAAATATGGAAATTTTTGAAAAATATATTTTAAGTGTTTTTATGGTATAAATAATAGTAATCCGCTCTTTAAGGAAGGTATTTCTCTTGTAAAAGTTTTTCGCTGGGGTCACGCTATACTTTATCAAACAATCCACATCGCCTGAGAAGCAGAGGTATGTGGCTTGGTTACTGTTAATGAGTGCTTTCAACGGCTTTCAAGCGTTTGGAGGAGAGAAGGGGGGGGGGAATCATTTGACCGCTGAAACTGGCATGACATCTTTCATACTAGACCCGGAACACAAAATGTTGGAAATATTTACTTAAACCACGACTTTCAAGGTAAGCAATAAATAGCGAAACAACAATGAAGGGGTGGTGATTCTGAACGCGTAAGCGTTAACAGTGGCTGGGAAAGGTGCATGACGCCTGTTATTCCTCGTATAAGAGGAATATAAGGGGAAAGTTCCTCATTCGTCCTTAAAACATCAAAATTAAGCAAAAATTTATTTTTCATAATTTTCCATGAAAAATATTGCTTTGAAACTTTTCAGGAAAACTATGAAATTTTTCATATTTTTCATGAAAAATTTCCGACCTTCGCATCCCTAGTCTCGTCGCATGCCCGGCGGCCGTTCACCGCGCCGCCGTGCCCGCCGACACGAACCCCATCACTCACGCGCCCGTCCCCCGCGGCCCCGCCAGGCCGCGACACAGCGCTGCACTTCCACTCCGTGATTGGCCACCGAGGCAGAGCCGGCGCAGCCCTGGGCGACCACCAACGTCAACGTCGACGTGCAGCAGGCCTGCGATAACAGGGCGCTGGAATGGCCAACGCCGCGACGCGCACCGCGACACCCTGGGCCCTGGCCTCCCCGCCCCTCCCCCCGGTGACCCGGTACCCTGCACTCCACATCGATCGAGAGGTACCCGCCCCGCCCCCCTCCCTCCCCCCACACGGTCCAGTGTGGCGGGCTGGCGGGCTGTGGGGGGCGTAGGCGGGGCGGGGCACTGCCTCAAGATGCAGCGAGATGCAGCCACCAAGACGGGGCGAGTTTCCAACTTTTCGGACATCCAACTCGGCCATCTCTCCACTTCCGGGCTGTTCGCGCTCGGTCCCACTTCGCAGGCAGGGCCCGCCCCGTGCAGGCGCGCGAGAGAGAGGGAGCGACGAAAGGCTTTGCTGGCTTTGCTCGCGGCGGTGCATTGTCTGCCTTTAATTGAGTTAACCGTAGTGGATGCGAACAAGGACGAGCGGCCCGAGAGAGCAGGCCGCGCCGGAGCGGGCCAAGCGGGCGAAGCGAGCCGTCTCCATCTCCGAGCCCATCTCCACCAGGAACAAGGCACTGAGGCACTGGGCGCGGAACCGTCCCATCCGCACCCACGCCGTGACTACGCCGTGACCAGGCCGACTCGGCCAGGCCGGCTGGATCACACGCGCTAAATGCCAGCGCAATAATCTGCAGCACGAGCACGGCGAGCACGGCGAGCACGGCCTTGCGGCCAATGGGCGACGCGTGTGACCCGCGCCGTCTCTCTCGCTCTCACGGGACGCCCCGAGTCGGTGCGAGAGAGACGGAGCGACGAAACGCTGAGGGGCATTAATTCCAGCAATAACCGTCGCACTCGCACTCGGCGTCGCATATTCAGCGGCCCTGCAGCACCTGCACTGCAAGGCCTCGGGTGACATAATGCAGGCGGTGACGTCACCCGCAAAACCAACACCAGTGGCAGTCGGACGCGCGCCGAGCCGAGCCGAGCCGGGCCGAGCAGGGCAAGGCTGCGGGGTCAAGCAGAGCCGAGCCGAGCCACACACACACACCGGCACACACACACGCTGAAAAGACGGGCCTGGCCGGCTGGACCGGGGCAAGGTCTTGCGTCACACCCAGCGGCCCCAGTGCCATTCCACATTCCAGGCAGCGAGCCGCCAGCGCCGCTAGCCGGTCCAGGCGGTGCGGTACCCTGCCCGGCCCCGCCACGGGTCACAAGTAGGGCGCCAAACCCGACCGAACGAACCAACGAACTCGGGGCACGCCACTGCGAGGCACCGGCCGCGCCTCGAGTGTCACAGTGTCACGTTGTCGCCTTCTCGCGCGGCAACACCGCGGACGTGTTGCGTGCGCGCCACACACGACAAACTCTGTCCAACAACACAACTAACTCTGTTGACGCCCACACGGGGCCGGGCGCTGGGCTGGGCGGGCCACGCGGGGTCTGCACGACGATGTCGTCGCCAGTGCGGCGCCCTGGCAGCCCCGCCCCGCCCCGCCCCCTCGCCAGACTAATATCCCTTCGCCCGTTTCCCGATATGCGCGATGAAGGGGTGCGGGAACACGTCTGCCAAGATTTATTGCTTTCGAAGGGCAAAGAAAGAGAAGGGGGCGTCCCGGTCGGTCCCCGTGGGGCCCGTGGGCGTCGGCCGGGGCGGGCGGACCAGGGACCAGGCGCGAGCAGAGGCAGCCCTGGTCCCCCGCCCGCTGCCGCCGCCGTTGAGCTGACACAGTTTGTTCGGCTTGTTTCGAGGCGCCGAGGCGAGGCCACGCCATCGACGGTCTTCGACGCGGGGGGGCACGGCGGCAGCGCCCCTGGCACCCCGGGACGCGCGCCGCGGCTGGCGCGTGGCGTTGCGCGTGGCGGCCGCGCAGCCAATATGCAAATTCCTCAGTTCGGCCGCGGGGCAGGGCTCTCGTGACGGGCGGGGGAAATATTGAATCGCGCGTATGTCGACACCTCTGCAACGCCGGCAACGCCCGAGGGGGCGCGCGACGGGGCTGGCCGGGCCCCCGAGCGTCGACCCCACACGCGATGCCGGGGCCCCCGTGCCAACAGGGGCGCCAACACCGCGACCTACGGCAAGCAAAGGAAAACCGACTGGTGGCCGACCACCGGCCATCGGCCACCGGCCCGGTCAAGCAGTGCACCATCACCACAACGACGTCAACGACCAGGCGGCCGGCGCCACCACTTCGAACAGCAGCGCCATCGTCACCCCGTCTTTCGCACTCGGGGCGCGCGTGCCGTATAGGGGGGCGAGAGAGAGACGAGTCGACGGAACGCTGTTTCTGAGCCAGCCATCAGCAGGTACACTGTGGCACACTACAAGGCAGGTGTGACGTGGTATGACCTCGGCGAGGCCCAGCCACTAGGCCCGGCCCGTCACATGCCAGCGCCAAACACGCCTGTCAATCCTCAATCCTCTGCCATGGACGCGGCATAGAGGCGGCATGCCCTGCTGCCTCCCTGGTCTCGTGCAGCCGCCGCGCCGAGCGAGGCGCCGAGCGAGGCGCCCAGCGCCACCACTATATCCGCGGGTGACGTCAGCCTCAGCCTGGCGGGCTCATTCCGAACGGCGCTTTCGTCGCCGTCTCCCTCGCACACACGCGGGCCCCGCAGGAGTGCGAGAGAGACGGCGACGCTGGACCAGAACCAGGACGACGCGATGCGACCGGTCACGAGGCTGCAACGAGTAGCGTGTCGTGGGCGGCGCAACGGTCCGGTGGACGACTTACCCGCCGCGTTGGCCGAGGCGACCAGCGCCTGCGACTTCATCGCCAGCATCACCTCGGGCACGGCGATCATGGCGACGCGGCCGTCTCGCCAAACAGCAGCAGCTCGTCACGGCCCGGCTGGCTGGGCCTGGCACGCAGCCACGGCGCGGCCAATCACACGCGCGTGCGCATCACACACGCCTCCATTGAGGCACGCGACGCCTGCATTCGCCCCTTCATTGCCGCCGTCCGTTCGCACGCAGAGGCGCCACCGTAACGCACACACGCACGCACACTGGCCCGGGGCCGACGGGCCGACGTCGCCGCGGTGGAGAGGCGCGGCGTGTCGAGTGCTGGCCGTGTTGGCGCACCACTCGAAGCAGGCTGTGTGCGACTGGAGCCCCAGTCAGGCGCGAAAGGCGGGAAGCAGGACGCGGTGCGGCACTGCCAAGCGGCACTGCGGCGGCGACGGTACAGCGCAATGTACTACAGCCGCGGCACTGCCGCCACGCGGACGTGTCAAGTCCTGGTGGGCGGTGTGCGGTGCGGCACGACGAGCCGCGGACGAGACGCGACGCCCCGGACGCCCAATAACAACTCATCATCGTCTGCTCGTCAGGCCTCGCGTCCCACCGCCGCGTCCCGCCGCCCCGGCCCCCGTGTGGCGGCGGTACTGCAGGCCGTTCCGAACAGTGCTTTCGTCGCTCCGTCTCTCTCGCACACATCCGGGCGCGCGCCGTGAGAGCGAGAGAGACAGAGCGGCCGGCAGGAGGCGGTAGGCGGGCGCGCCACACTGCAGCACGACGCCGAGCCGGGCGAGCCACGCCACCCGCACATTCCACCGAGCAATGCATCCCATCCGCCATTCCCGTTACCCATTCACAGTCCTCATCGTCTTCATCGCGCTCGTGGCGGCGGGGCGGGGCCAGCGTACACGGCCCTTCGCGAGGGACTCCGCACGCTGCCACACTGCGCGGTGCAGCGCGGTGCTGCGCGCCCCGCCTTCCTCTAGGCCGACATCCGAGCCGTCTTGTTTGTCGTGGGCTGCAACGGCCATCGGATACCTTTCAGCAACAGGGCGACGAGCGGGGCGCGGCGGGGGCGCTGGGGGGACTCACGCCGTGCCGCCGTGCCCTGGGACAGCCGCAGGCCGCAGGGTGACCCACAAGTGTCCACTAAACCAGCGCGGCGAACGCACGCACGCACGCACGCACGCAAGCACCGATAGCAACCCGCTTATCTCTCCGCCCCCCTTTCCCGCGCCAGCCTGCACTCATTCACGAAGGGCCCCATTCATCCAGGGACTGGCTGATTGGGCGTCGTGAGGCCCTGCGCCGCGCCACTGTAAATTAAGCCCAGACTTTCCCTTGCGTGCAGGGCACGGCCCAAAGCGTCTTCAAATCGAGAAAAAAGTAGCAATTTGTTTTCTCTTTCAGCGACGGACGGCCGCCACGGCGGCTAAGCGGGCAGGCCGACGGTGTAGACGGTGCAGCACGCAAACCGGAATGCCGGCTAGACCAGCGCGACTTGGCCCCGCCCGCCTAGATGCCTAGGCCCAGTTCCCCTCCGACTCGGAGTGCAGGCACTAGCTATGCGCACCCCGCCCCGACTCGACTGCCCCGACTGCCCCAGAGCAAAGCGAGCAGGCCGGGCAGGCCATGTGGCCGGCAGGCCGGCACCCGATAGCCATCGAGTGCATCGTGCCAGCTGGGCGCTGGACAGTGCTGGGCCCGCTAGGCCGGCCGGCGAGGCGCTCGGCGCTGGAGCGGCGCTGGAGCGGAACGGAACGGGGCGATTCGTCGGCGAGGAAGGCATCCTGGGCGTCCGGCCGGCCGGCCGGCCTGTCACCGACCCGCTTTGCATCGCCAGCCGGGCTGCGCTTTGGCCGCGCTTAGCCGCGCTGCACCGCCATGGGAATCCTCGAGAACCGTTCGCTGCTGCTGCAGTGCACTTGCAGTGGCGGTGCGGCTCGCAACGGTCCGGCATGGTGGACAGACGCCGCACGATGAGTATCACAAGCGAGCCTCTAATCTGGCTCTGGCCATCCCAGACAAGACCAGGCCGGACGGACGGGCCGGACCGGGCCGGACGCACGGCGCTTGGGGGTGCGAGAGAGACAGACGGAGCGCGCTGTCCGGAACCAGTCCGCGCATGCACACTGCAGTAACTCTGCAGCGCCGGCTAACGGCGAGGGGAGTGAAATCTCGGCGCGGCACGTCGGCAACGTCGGCCCGGAAATCGGACGGAATAAACGACGGCTGCCAGCTCGGCCGGCCGGCTGGCGGGCGCGTCGTTAAGGCCGGGCAGGCCGAGCTGGCAGACAGCGGGCCGCGGCCAAAAAGAATGGGCCTCTGATTGGCGTCGGTACGTAGTACCGCCTGACGCACACTGACACACTGCGCAGTGCGGCGCAGTGTCAGTCACCGCCAACGAGCGCCGGGAAAAGAAAGCGCCAGGGAGCGGCGTGCGGGGAAGGAGGGGGAGGGGGGAGGGCGTATCGAGATAGCTCGGTCGTACAATTCAATATCGCCACAAGGCGGGGCAGGGGCCACGACACCGCGTGACACGACGTGGCACCAGCGGGGCCAGCCTGGGAAAGGGCCGCGCTGCATCTTCCGCCTGCGCTCAATGAAGGCTATGCGCCAGGCCGGCGGACTGGCTTATTGAGCGCGCAAGTAGCGTCGTCGCGTCGCCATGCCAACGGCCGGGGCGGGCCGGGGCACTCACACACACGCACGGCCCGTATCATTGCAGGCCGCGCGGCATGGCCGAGGCAAGACGCCACCCAATCTGGATTCACTTACGCCATGTTCGTGTTCCCTTCCCATCCAGCGGCGCGAGCCCACACCGCTAAACACAGTCGTAGAACACAACCCGACGGACCGGCTGGCCGCGGCCGCGGATCCTCGAGCACGTCCGCGAGACGAGAAGCAGACGGCGCCGGCCGGGCCTGACCTATGCACGCCCCCGCGCCCTCACGGCCAGCCGATGGCGGACGCCGCATTGCGTCACAACGCCTCTACACTATTTGACAGGCGAGCTGCTTTTCGCAAGGGACACAGCTGCGGAGTGTTTCTTCCCCGGCAGCCTACCTTTCTGGACGGAAGACGGCGCGGCCTGCTTGGCGGCCTGCTTGGCGGCGCGCGGCAGAGGCGGCTTCTGGTCGGTGCGCTCGAAGCGCTCGGCGTGCAGCAGCTGCTCCGTGCGCTGCACCTCGGGCCGCACTTGCTGCAGCGGGGACCGCGGGGACCGCGACAAGGAGGAGGCCGCCTCCCCCTGGCGCGGCGTGCCCGGACGCTCCGGGGACGCCGGCCGGTGCGACGCCGAGGCGGGCGAGGCGGGCGAGGCGGGCTGGGGCGTCGCGCGGCCAGGAGTCCGCTCCGAATACGACAGTGAGAGGGTGGCGCTCCTCGAAGACGTCGTCACTTCCTTCGTCGAGGACGTCGAGTGCCACGATGTCTCCGTCAAGTTCCTCGACGGGGTCGTGGACTCCCTCGACGGAGCAGCGGAGTCCCTCGGCGGCGCCGTGGACTTTCCCGGGGGGCTCGTGTAGTCCCTAGCGGGCGCCGATCGCTCCTGCGACAAGAGCTGCTCGTGGTACAGCAAGGCCATGTCCCTGAGCTCCCCGGCGGGGCTTCGGGGCGTGGTCGGCTGGGGCGGAATCTGCAGTGGTGGCAGTTGAGGAGGACTCGTCTTTTGAGCAATGCTCAGGTGCGGCGGTCTTTCATCTTGAGTGGTGTTTGAAGGCGGCGTACTCTTCGGCTTTTGATTGTTTTCTTCTGTTTGCGGGGGGCTTTTCTGCGGGGCGGGCTGTGGCGGGCTCTTCTGCTGGGGCTCTGGCTCAGCCTGCTGCTGCGGGGGCGGCGCCTGCTTGGCGGGAGAGGAGGACCCCTTGGTGAGGCTGTGGAAGAAGGCGCCCAGGCCGCGCCTGCCCGAGCGTCGCTGCGAGGAGGAGCGCTGCAGCCCCTCGTCGACGTCCTGTTGGGACGGGGACGGCGGCGTGGCGGGCGACGAGGCGGCCGTCTTGGCCAGCGGCCCCGCTGCGCGACGGCCTTGCTGCCGCTGCTTCACCTCCGCCTGGGGCCTGGGCGCCTGCTGCGGGCTGGGCGCGGGGCTCGGCGACGGCGTCCGCGCGATGCGCTCCGCCAGCGCCCTCCTGCGCTGCCCCGGCGACCCGTCCAGCTGGCTCAGCGTGGGGCTGAGGGGCGGGCTGGGGTCGCGGCGCTGCCTGTCTTGCCTCTCGGCGTGCAGCAGGGCGGTGGACACCTGCTGCTGGCCACGACCCGGCGCAGGGGACACGCCTCCGGCCTGTGGACTCACAGGGGTGCTTGGCGTGGATGGCGGGCTGCGCGGTGTCGCGCTCTGAGGACTTGTGGGGGTCGCCGGCGGGCTCCGGGTTGGAGTGGATGGCGGTTCCCGGGTCGGCGGGCTGGTGAGTGCCGACGGCATTTTGCGGGCCTCCGGGCTCACCGATGTGTTTGGCGTGGGCGGTGGACTCCACGAGATGGTGCTCTGGGGACTGGTGGGCGTGGGCGGAAGGCTCCTGGGAGAGCTCGGCACTTGCACTTGCTGGGCGTGCATGCTCTCGAGAATGCTCTGCGTCTGCTTGGCCTGCGCCTCGAGACGCGCCTGCCGCTGCACGCCGTTGAGGCCGCTGTCGGGCAGTGGGCTGGCCACCGGGCTGGTGGGCGTGGTCGGCGTCGAGGCCCCCGAGCCGTGCAGGCCTCGGTGGCGGGGCTGTTGGCCATTGCCCTGCTGCTGGCGAATCCGCTGGGCCTCGGCCGCCGCGGCCAGCGCCCTGCGCACTTCAAGCTTGCTGTCCTGCTTGCCGGCGTGTCTCTGCAGCGGCGGCAGCCTCTGTACGCTCCCCGCGGGGCTCAGTGGCGGCAGCTTCTGCAGGCTGCCCGTGGGGCTCAGCGGCGGCGAGGCCACCTTGTTCTTCTTGTTCTTGCTGGTCAGCAGCCCTAGGAAGCCGCCGGACTTGTCCTTCTTGTCCTTCTTGCCGCCGTCAACTTGGTGGTCCCCGTTGCGTTCGCCATTGCGTTCGCCATTGCGTTCTCCATTGCGTTCTCCATTGCGTTCTCCATTGCGTTCCCCCTTGTCGTCCCAGTGGCCCGCGGCCTCGGCGCTCCCCTTCCGGACGAGCAGGCTCCTCCTGGCGGGGCTCTGCCGCCGCAGCTCGTCGATCTTGGGGGTCTTGTCGGCGTCCTCCGCCTCGGCGCTCTTGCCGTTGCGCCCGTTCTTGCCCTTGGCCTTCCTGGCGCCGCGGAGCGACGTGAGCGACGTGGAGCGCGGCGACGCGGCCAGGCGCTCCCCGTGCTGCTGCTCGTGCTCCTTGAACAGGATCACCATCTTGTTGATGAGCAGCTGCTCCGCCTGGTAGTCGAACTGCATGGTGGAGGCCATGGCGGACGGTGCGGCGCTCGGCGCGCTCGGCCTGCCTTCCGTCAATCTAGGACTTGACCCGAGTCAAGTGCCGGTGGTGGCGGCCCGAAGGCACCCGAGGGCCTGCCGGCCGTTCGGCCGGGGAAAGCACTGCTGCTGGTGGGCGTGGCACGTCAAGTTGGTGCTGCTGATGTTGCTGCTTCTAGCCCGCCATGCGCGCGCTCTGCCCTCGGCTCTGCCTGGCCAGGCCGGCGCTGCGTATTAAAAAGCATTTGTAAGGATGATGTCATCGTCAAGTAGTGGCGCCTCCCACACGGCCGGACCGTGGGGCGTGCTGTGGCGTGGCGTAGCTTGGCGTCGCTTCGCGGGGCGGGGCGGGGCGGGGCGGGGCGGGGCGGGGCGCGTGCCGCCGGACAATACAACGCGATCATCACCAGATCGATGGCGACGGCCTGCTCGCCTCGCGGTATCGAGTCTAGACTTCCTCCTGGAACGCGTCGTCGGCGCTCCAAACAAAAACGCCCCGGCGCGCGCACGAGTAGCAGAGGCTCGCCGACAACGCGAGCGGCGTGGCGTGGCGACACTCAATGAAATGCAATCCGCGGCACCGTTCGCCATTACCATTTTTCACGTTGCGAGGCTTCGCAAGGCTGCGCGCTGCGCGGACAGAAAAACTCGATTGAGCGTGAAGCTGCCTGACCCGGCCCGCCCGGCCCGCGCAATCGGGATAATGTCACCCACAATCGGAGGGCAATTATCAAAACCACGCCCTGCTGGCCCGCTGGCCGGCTGGCCGCGAGGGGGACCTTGGGGACGAACAATGGGCTGCGCGCTGCGCTGCGCCGCGGTGACCACACGGCCTGTGGTGGTCATCCTCCGCGTCGTCACCGTCGGCGTCCACAGCCAAAACGTTTCATTCATTCCAGTCACGGAAAGGGGCGCGCTTTCTCGAACCGACGGAAAGTCGAGTCAAGTCCGGCTTCAAGCGGAGCGACACGGCACGGCGAGCCACGTCGTCGTCGTCGTCGTCGCCATGCCGCCATCGCGAGCGCGCGCCTCGGCGTGACTACACTGCGATGACTCACGGCAGGTTCGGCTGGTTCGCGACGCCGCGACGCCACGCGCATGTGCGCCAATAAGAGGCCGGCATTACAGGCCGACACCGCGCGCAGCCTTGGGACGCGAAGCGAACGCCGCGCCGATGAGCTCACGCTCGCGCCAAAACACCCGACCCAAGTGGATCGGATCAAAATGCACCGAAAACGCGGTGTGCGCGAGGCGAGCGGCGCGAGCGGCCAATCCAGTCATTACACGACTCCAATTTGGCGTGCGCTGCTCGCGCGGAAAGGGGCCCGGGCAGCCCAGGGGGCAGCAGGCAGGCAGGCAGGCAGGCAGGCAGGCGTGCGTCGTCCTTCGACGCCCCAAGGCCCCGCGGCCCAGCCTCGCGTCCTGGCCGGCCCCGCTGGCTCCTCACACATGCCGGCCGCGTAAACAGCTGACGAAACGCGCCTCGTAAAGCCAAACCAAATCAGCTGGCCGGCTGCTGCAGCGCTGCCGCCGCCTGGGGGGCGGCGTTGCGTCACGGTGTTCGCCTCCCGTGGAAATAAAGAAATCTTGCGAACCAATTTGCGAAACGGCGTCGCACGGCTCACGCCCCGCCCCGCCCCCGACATCCCGTCGTCGTCGGCGGTCAGATGACCACTCCGTCGGACCACTTCGCGGCTACTTGACACTCCCCCGCCCCTACTCCCCACCTCCCCCGCAACGCCCTTTTCGCGCCTCGAAGCTTCGCGGTACAGCGCGCCCGCCCCGCCCCGCCCCACCCCGCTTCGTTCCGGCTGCACCCACACCGGTGCAACACACTACAGCGCGTTGAGTCGCGCTTTTGTTTCGAAACGCGTCACTTTCACCCACGGCCCGCTTCATCAATCATTCCCGACGGCACGCCCCGCCCCACCCCGGTGCATCCGCACACCGCCGCGCCACGCCCGCATCCGCCGGCGGCGACGCCACGGCGACGCCAAGCCCGCCACGACCACGATCCAGGGACCGCCACTTGTTGCCAGAGGGCCCAGCGGGGCCCAGAGGGCGTGGGCCGGACAGGAACCAGGCCGGCGGCGGTGCCAAAGCAGTCCGTCGTCCCCTTTGACTCAATTCGCACCGCCGTCGCCCCGGCCCGTCCCGCCCCGCCCCCCGACGCCCCAAGTCAGTCATGTCACTTTGTCCACGCACTCACACAAGCACACACACACGCACGCACACACAGCGGCGTCGACGTCGACGTCGTCGTCCTCGTCGGCACTCGCGACGGCCGTTCGTGTTCGGTACACTGGCGCTCCAGGATCGGCACTGAGGCCCGTGCCCGCTTCGCGCTCGCGGCTCGCGGCTCGGCCGGCTTGGACGGGCAGGCGGGGCGGCGCGTCGCGGCACGGCGCGCTTCGACTCTTGCCAGCCTCGGGTACTGACTGACGTCCGCCCCGGCCCCGGCGTCCGCGTAGCGTAGCGTCCGCGCCGCAGCCTTGGCTTCCCGCGGACCGGAGCGGGCCGGGCGCGGCGTGGCGGGGCGGCTGGAATGCCGCTGCTGCAGCAGCAGCAGCAACAGCAGCAGCCTGACGGAACAGCTTCGGTAAAGCATTGCCGCCGCTGCTGCGCCCGCCCCACCGAGTCCCCCGCAGAGCCTCCCGCACGCCACCATGTCCCCCACCAGCCGGGCCGGCGTGCACGGCGCCCCGCTGCAGCGGTGGGGACGCCGCCGTACGCCACCGTGCCACACGGGTCTTCCTTCCCTGGCGCGCTGCCGTGCTGCAGGCCGTGCTGCAGGCCGTGTTGCTGGTCACACACCTGCATGCACCGCCGCGCACCGCCCACACGCCATCCGGGTGCGGGCCCTGCCAGCGGAAGGGACGGGCCGAGGGTCCTAGAGGAAGCCAACCTTAATGTCGGCGGTTAAACCAAGAAGAGCGTGAGGTCAAACCAAGACCAAGGGTCAATCCAAAATGCACCCTCCTCCTCACCTGTCCCCTGAAAGAACCGAAGGACCCAGCTGAGCGAAAAGAGAGGGGGGGGGAAGACAAAACCAACAACTGCCGCTTTCAGGGCGACAGACAGCCTATCTAAACTTGGTCGGCGTGGGGGCCGGGCCCATGCCGGCCTTGCAGCCAGCCACACCTGACGGGACGCGCCACACGACTCGCGTTGCATCATGGGAGCGGAGTGGAACGGAGCCATCGACAGGATGCGTGTCACCACACACTCGCACAGCACCGGGCCTGGCGCGGTCACTGTAGGTCACTGCAGACCGGCACTCCGAACCAAAGGGCCGCCCGTGTTGGCTTCGACCTGCCGGCCCGGCCAGCCAGCGGAGCCAGCGGCAACCGCACCGAGCCCAACCAGACCGCGGACTTGACCCCTGGCGGGGCGGGGCGGGCCGACGCATTGCACGGGAAAGCTGGTGGAATACAGAGCGCGGGGCACGGCGGCACGGTCGGCTCGTCGGTGACCTTGAAAAGCACTCGCCGGGCAGGCAGGGCAGGGCGCGGCCATGCACGTCGCCGACGTCCCGTCACCCAGCCAGTCGCAGCCAGGGCGGCCACATTCACGGTCAAAAAAGAGAACAACGTCGCAACGAAAGAAGACGAGACTCGACAAAAGAAGTCACCCGTCATTCCGCCGCCGCCGCTGCTCTGCCACCGCCCAGTGATACAACAAGCAAAGCCAGAGGCTAGCCTCGCTCTGCCGGCTCTGCCCTGCCTCGGCCAAATTCGCGTCGTAAAACTTGAAACGCGCGTCACTTGTACAGCGCGCCGGCTCGAAGTACACCGCGTAGACGGTGGTGTAGACGGTGTAGACGCTGGGACCGCACCGTTATTTTTGGCACGTGACGCCGCGGGCTTGGCCCTTGGCCCCGCTTGGCCCCGGCCGGCGCACAAGTACCAACGGATGACTTTTTCCCGCGGCTTGCTGCCGCTTGCCGCTTGCTCGGGACTAGGCCGCTTATTTTTACAGCCGGCCCACTGACCAAGCATCGGGCAACGGAGGTGACGGCTACTGTGTGGCGGTGGCGGCGCGGCGGTGCGTCGTCGGCGGCGCGGCGGTGCGTCGTCGGGGACGCCAGCGCACACAAGACCGCCGCGACAATGTCCCGAGCGGCGATGAATCTTTTCGGAGCGCCTTCCCCTCCACTAATTGCGCTTTTGTCATCGCGTTTCATCGCCGAGGAGTCCAAAGCCGTGCGGCCTCGGGGCCGTTCCGGCGTTCCCGTGTGCCCGCTGGACCCAGTGGCCTCGCTGCGCGCTGCGCGCTCCGCGCTCCGCTCCCAGGCAGAGCCATTCCCATGCCCAGGCCCGGCCCGCGGCCCGGCCCGCCGGCGACGCAGTCAGAGCACATCGCATTGCGGCTCCAGCGAGGCTCCCGTGGGGCTCCAGCCAGTCGCAGCAAACCCAAAAAGGACCCGGTGGAGAGACTGGAGGACTCGATCCCAGCGGACCACATCGAATGATTGCTAACATGAAAATCCGGGGGTGCACTGAGAATGCTCAGAGTGTATACCCCCTCGCTCCAAAAAGGCGGGGACGGAGAAACGGATGGGCAGGGGGCCCGCTGCAGCCCAGTGCACCGCCTCACATGCCCGCGTCGACGCGTCGCTGTCCCGGCGCGGTGCTGCGCGGTGCTGCTGCTCCAATTCCACGGCCGTACACTCCGTCTGTCCGTGTCCGCGTGCAGCGGCGCGGCACGGCGCGGCCACGTGGCACGGCAGGGCAGGCAGGCCGTCGACGGGCGGAGAAAGGAGAGGCCCTTCGCCCTGCTCCGCCCTTCCCGTCGGACGGCCGGTCGGCCGGTGTGGTCCTGTCCCTCCGACCGCACCGAGCGAGCGAGCAAGCGAAGCAAGCGCCAGAGAGGCAAGCACCGCTCCGTGGGTCCGTAGGTCCGTGGGCCGAGCCAAACAAAACCCCGACCGCAGCCAGAGCCGCAGCCACCGCACTCGCTATCCGCGCCACGATAATGACAGTCCAAACAGTTTGACAGGCAGGCAGGCAGGCCGCGAAATGCTTCGAGATTGCAGCGTGATGCGCGGTGCGCGCGTGACGGGCACGCGTCGTGATGCCGTCGTCAGCGCGCTCACACCTCACCTGCGTCGTCGCCGTGTCTCTCTCGCACCCTGCGGAACGCCACACAGGTGCGAGAGAGAGGCGGAGCGACCTATGGGGGCCTTCTCCGCGTTGGCTGGCGTCCTCAAAGGGCTCGCGGCTCGCGGCTAGCACAGGCAGGCTGCGGGCCGCGCGGGGCCGCGCAGGCAGGCGTTAGTGTCGCGGTTAACATTAACGCTTTCACTCCACTCCCCTCTCTCTCTCTGGGCACGATTAAGATTTCCACCAGCGCGCCACGCCGCCACGCCTCGCCACCGTTTCTGCGAAATGTCAAGAGGAAACACGGTTCGGCTCACGGCGTCGGTGTTGGCCGTGTCGGCTGGCTAGGTTGGCGTCGAGCAGCGTCGAGGCGTTGGGCTGGCTGTGCTGTGAAAACGCCGGGGCGCGCCGGGGAGGGGGTAAGCTGCCCCATTAGGCCCAACTGCGACCACGCCGATGCGATACTTGGCAAAAATAAATGAACAAACGCTGCTGAGCGCGCTCAGGGGGCTTGCGGGAGGGCCAAGCCTCCCCTTCCTTCTGCGACGGCCTGTGACTGTCTCTGACCTCTCCAAGCCGCCTTCCGTGCGAGGACCGAAGGACGGCCGCCGCATTCGCCCCGAAAGCCATAAACAGTGAGGACACGAACAAGTGCGCCTAGTCGCTAGGCGGAGCGCGGGCGGCGCCAGTCTGGCTGCGGAGGGTGGGGTAGGGCGCGGCCGGGCGCGGCCAGCACGCGACGCCCGTTTGTGCAGCGTGGCCGCCTGGCCGCCACACCCCCAGGACGCCGCCGCGCCGCGCCGCGCCACCCCTCGGCCCTGAGGAGAGGAGGGTGGCCGCCGTGCCGCCGTAGGCCGCCGGCCAGGGGAGGGGTGGCGTGGGGTCCGGTGGCGGCAGAAGGGCGCGCCCGCCCCGCAGCCTGCACGGCCTGCACGGCCTGCACAACGTGGCCGCTGCGGCTCGCGACTCAATATGTCGATGCGGCAAGGACAATCGAATAGGATATCGCGCCCCGCCCCCGCCCCGATCATGCGACGCGTACACCGTGCAGGGCTACGGCTACGCGCTGCCGCATCGCGGAGCGCGACCCGGGCCGCGGCCGCCGCAGCGTACCGCAGCGAGGCCGCTCGACCGGAGAGACGGGGGACATGAGCAGAGCGGGGCGGCGCGGCGGCGGCGCTTTCGGCTGCCGACAAAGGGCCCCCCTGGCCGCCAAAGGACCGCCAAAGCCAAAGGGACGCCGAGGACCGAGGTGCCCCGCGGCGTGGGAAGAGGAAGCAACTGTCACCGGCTCCGGGAGGGGTGAGGGGCGGCCGACGAGGCGAGGCCCCGCGGAGTGCGCCTCGCTGCCTCCCAGCTCACTGCTCCGCAAAGGGCCCGCCTGCAGCCCGCGGCGCATGGAGATGGCGGCCTGTGCGCTCGCTCTCGCAACGCCGCCCAGGACCGCGAGGGCATGATGTGACCGCTGACGTGACGTGACGGTGTGACGGTACGCCAGCAGCCCGTCGCAACGGCGACAAGTGCAGCGGGGCTGCGACGACGCGACGGGCTGCTGCGGCTGCCGCGATCGATGGATGGGTGGATGGGTCACCGTGGGAACGGAGGTGGCCTCGGACTCCCGTCCCGCACGCCTTCGAGTCCTTTGAGTCCGTCGAGTGCCTCGAGAAGGCGGTCGGCCTGCACGCCGCACTCAATGGTCTGCATTCAAGCACAGGGCACGCAGGGCGCAGGGCACGACCAGGCGGCGCGGCTGCATCCAAACAGGAACCGGGCCGAGGGGGCCGGGCCGAGGCCGAGGGCCTTAGGGGGGCCGCCCTGTTGCATTAGGCCGAGGAGCAGTGCGCCCCTGACGTGACGCGTTTTGATGAGCCCCAGCACGCGGCCGCCACGCCCCGCCACGCCCCGCCACGCGGCACGCGGCACGCGGCCCAGGATGCGGCGAGCATGATTCGGGGACACTGCACCCGTCGGAATCTGTCCGACCGAAATACACCACTCCGCGTGGTGGCGCCGCGGAGGGCGACACCTCGGCCGGGGGGCGTGGCCGGCGTGGCGCGGGCGGAGGGGCGTCATCGGCGACGTCGGCGACGTCGGCCTCCGCGTCCACGGCCGGCCGGTCGCCACCTCGGCGGCACTTCACGCCGACGGGACGGGACGGCCGACGGCGGCCTTCAATTATCAGCATTGGCACTTGGTCGGAGGGTCCCGGAGAGAAAGGGACGGGAGAAAGATGCACTTCTCGGCGGCGCCGGGGGCGGGCCTGGGCCGCGGCGGGCGAAGGCGTGTCCCAGCGGAACGACAACGACACCGAGTGGGACGGGACGGGACGTACGCCGGGACGCGCGCCGACACACGACGGCCGGAAAGAGGCTTTAAAAAATCCAGCGGCAAAAAAAACTGGCGCACGCACTCGGTGAACGTGTATGTATGTATTAAGCTGAAGCGGAGGGGGCAGGAGTTTTCTTTTCCCGGCACTTCCTGCACGGGGACGGCACCAATTAGCGCCCCGAGCGCCGACTCTCCACTCTCCGCTCTCCTCGATAAACACCGACACGCCGATTGTTAAAAACAAGCTCAGCAGTTCCAAGTCCTACATACTGCCGACCAGGCATCCCTGAACTTCTGGGAGATTCAAATTCAATGCATTTTCTAACACGCTGTAGCCAGACATTCCATCAAGGAAGCTCTTTCAGCAATAAGAGGCATTGATCACATGCCCCAAAGACAGTGAAAGTGAATTTACACAGTGACGTTGCTGTCTTTCGTCAACAAGACGGCATTACTCACACACCCTTTGCTCTGCCACGCCTTGGCAAAGCGCAGGTATGGGAACGAGATAAGACGCAACTGATAAGAGGCGAGCAAAGGCCCCAGATAGCATATTTCTTTCGTGAAATCCGACAAATCACCCTTGCTTTTCGGTCAAAAGTGGATACAAACAGTTGACGCAATTGTGTGGCACCTTGCGGCACCCTCTCACCCCACGAAATGATTGTTTGCATATTGACTGAGCACATACACCATCCATGAGGAGTAAATATTTGGAGACAATACACAAGGCAAAGAAAAGGTCGAAACTACTCATAAGTAAATAATCAACAGTAGTAAGAGCTGCAAAGTGGTGGCAATTTGACCATAATATGTAAATATAAAGATATTAGATTTTTTTAAAATTCTATCAAGGCATGATAGTGACAGAAACATCTGAGTCACAATATTGCCAAATGAATGGCAGAAGTGAGGAAATAGAGGATAAAAATTAGAACTAAGTTAGGAGCAAAGTTAAATTTTTAACTTAAAATTTGATGGCAATTTTTTTAGGGTTAGCTCGGCTACATTAGCAGGCTGCTCCACAAAAGACATTAATACATCCTGCATATCCAATAGGTGAAACAAACGAAATGAATGGGAATTGCAATGTTCCTGCTTTACAAGGAAAATGTCAAAATTAAGAGTGAGGACAAGTGTGAGGCGACTACTTGAAGCCCGTATCACGCCAACCGCTACGAGTCAGAGAAACTGCTGACTTGCAACGTTTTCCAGTGCATCTGGACGCTGTAAAAGTGTTTCTCAGAGCAACTTGGGGTTCGCAGATCGCGAAAGACACCCTAGCAGAATGGCCCGAGCCGGGACGGCGATCCGGCTTGGTACTCACCCATTGTAAATCCTCGCTTTTACGTCAGATACAGCACTCGCAGCACAAAATCCGCAATGGGCGTTGTCACCTTGATCTCATAGTCACTTCAAAAACACTCAAATAGACACAAACACTTTGAAATTTACAATAAAACACAAACAAATGCACTAGCGCTCTAGAGACACGGCGGAGATGCCCCTTTTCGATCGAACGCGAATCACAATTCACAAGGGCGGAGGATGAAAACGGGAGTGGGAGGAGAGGGGGGGGAGGGCTAGTCCACGGCCACCTCGACTCCTGATCCCACACCCACGCACGTAAAGGCCGCCTGCAAAAACAAAAATACTGAGAATATTGCCGTTTCCTGATCATCTCTGTAAAGGGTGGGGGGATGGAAAAGCCATTTCTAGTCTTCAAAATTATTCACTGTGTTTCAGAAGACTGAAAATCCCAATCGTAGTGCTTCTCTAGTTCCCCTAGCGCCATCGGCCGGCGGTTGCGACAACTAGCTTTCTCTGGAAGCGTGGGGTATCGCCACCGCTTGTTCAATTCGAGCGAACGGCACTGTCCTTCGGATGGATTATTAAAGCCTGGATTCTGCTTTTAAGCAACCAAAAGAACCGCATCGACATATTTTCAGACACGCCAACTGCCAGTCTTAGAAGCTAGCTCCCTTTGAAAATTGTATGCGAAAGCACGGGGTATGTCTGGCCCGTGCTTCTAGTTTTTATCATAGAGGGAGTCTCTGTCGGCAGCGCAGTCGCAGACGCAGCTGTTACGTCGTCTGTTTGTTGACTTCAACTTTTATAACCTCATCTCGTATTTGCTGTAAGTCAGCCTTGAAAATCATTTCATTATGGTGCCTTGAGTTTAAAAACACTCCCTTTAGTAAATTTTATGACTGGTCAATGCGTCTGTTGACTTAAAACGGTACATACCCGCGCAATGTCATTCCCTCAAGCAATGGTATCTGAATCCATGAGACAATCCATTAACAAAAAAAATAAAAAAATGTTCTGAAGCAAGTTGTTTGCTTCTATTTTTCTGTTATCAGCAGATTGCTAACGATGAACTTTACCGCGCGGTCCAACATCTCACTGTGAAACTGGAGCTCGGTGCCTGAATTGTTCTGTACCTCATAACAATTTTGTTCTTTCTTAGGACGGAAAATGAGTGACAGAATTAACTTAGATTTACCTCGATATGATCAGTCTACATATTGGGGACGGGCTAAACATTTTTTCACCGTCACCAATCCTCTGAATGTCCTGGCCAGTGAGAGCGAACTAGATCGAGCGAAGGATATCTACCTTCGGTACAAGTGAGTCGATAAATAATGAAATGGCCATGCACCTGCTAGTAAGCATTGGTTGTGTATTATGCTTTCTATTTCTTTTCTATTCTTCTTATAGGAATGGTGAAAACATCCCTGGAGTTAGTGAAGATGAACTGTGGCGGGCCAAAAACCTGTATGATTCTGCTTTCCATCCTGATACGGGGGAGAAAATGCTGCTGATCGGCCGTATGTCAGCTCAAGTGCCAATGAACATGACAATCACAGGCTGTATGATGACGTTTTACAAGTAAGATTTTGTGCTCTTCTTTTACTAAGTGATCATTTCTTCTTGTTTTCAGCGTGTACTCATTGCTTCTTTTTGTTCCAGATCAACTCCAGCTGTTTTCTTTTGGCAGTGGGTGAATCAGTCCTTCAATGCTATCGTCAACTACACAAATCGGAGTGGAAGCACTCCAATCACACTTGAGTATGATTTTTGCTTCAATTCTGTCTGTTATTATTTCTTTATCTCTTTTTGTGATGTAAAACATTTTTTTTAAAATAGGGAAAGTGGAGTGTCGTATGCTTTGGCAACAAGCGGAGCTGTGCTTACTGCACTTGGATTGAACAGTATGGCAAAGGTATATGGAACTTTGATTTTATGTTTGTCTGCTATCAGCAATTTGCCGGCAATTTAACACAATGCGTGAATTTTTAATTTACAGAAAGCTCCTCCTCTTGTTGGCCGTTTGGTTCCCTTTGCTGCTGTTGCTGCTGCAAACTGCATAAATATTCCTCTAATGAGACGCAGGTGAGGGCTTACTATGAACTTTGCTGCAATCAATCTAGATTTTAATTTTTCTTTCAGTATTGGTGCACAGATACTGTTAAAATGATTTCTCTGAACAAATACCAGGTATCCAGCAACAACGACTTCAGGTTTAATTTGATATGTTTTAATTTTGGTTTGGTGTCAGTGGTTATTGCAGCATTGTAAATACAAGCTATTGTTTGGTTGCTTTTTGTCTGTAATAACCTTTTTATTCATTTTTACAAATGGAAGTATTGAACTGATCTCTTAGGGAGCTAAATGATGGTGTACCAGTGGTTGATGAAAATGGAAACACGTTCGGCAACTCTTCTGAAGCTGCCAAGTCGGGCATTCTTGCTGTACTCGTGAGCCGTATTGGCATGGCATCCCCTGGCATGGGTAATAAAATCAATGTGAAAACTTTTAGCCAACTTCGAACGGGAGGCGGTGATTTGGTGCTATGGTCAATGCGACCAATGGTTGGCGGTTGCCTTGATTTGGGGTTGCAATCATTGTGATGGGTTTGCTACTGAGTGGTTTCTATGTTCGCTCTTGAAATGAGGACACTGTTATCTGATGTGTTTTAGTGTTACTTGCAAAACTGTAAGAAAATTGGAAAAAATATTTGACGTTTACATTCTGCATATGCACATCACAATTTCAGTGTCTTGACTTCAAGTTTCAGCCTGTCCTCATGAAAAGCGATCCTTTGCCAGTGGGCTTTCATAGTCAACTTCTGGATTCATGGGTTTTGCAGGGAATTGAAACAAGGAATATCGTTGACAGACAAGGATGGCGGAAGGATTGGCCAATCAGCCATAGCAGCTCAGAAAGCAATTGCTCAAGTAACTTTTTCTCGAATTGGCATGGCCGTGCCCAGCATGGGTATGTGTTAATTTGAAAAGCCTCACAGTACACTGTTCAAGTAAATTTAAATTGTAGTGTCACATGTTTCTTCATATGCAAGTTTTATTTTCTGCTAGATTAGATTCTATATTCACGTAATTTCCAAATCCGTAAAAACTTGATTTTTTTTTTGTTTTATAAATTTAAAAGTTGTGAGCACCTAGTAGTATTCTTATAATAGTCACTGCACCTTATTTTCACTTTTTTTCTATCTTTTAGAGAAATTAGAAAGCTTTTTAAACATTAAGCCAGCACCTCTCAATAGAAGTTATGAGGATTTTAGCCTGCCATTTTACTGCAAAGTCAAAAGAATTAGCTAAATAGAAAATGAGCGTGCTTATTTCTGATATTCACCCAATAGCCGCCTTGCTCTGGAAATTAGATCTTGAACATCTGATTTCACGGTAAGGGGGTGTGAAATCAGTCCATCTTACATGATACTGTACTATGCTGTTCTCATTTCTAGATTTATTTTCTCAAGTGCTTGATCATGAATGTTTCACAGGTTTATTGTCAACATAATTATTACTCTTGCATTATTTGCAGGAATGGCTTTGGTTTGCTTTCTAGATTTGAAGCATGCTTGAGATGATTGGAGCCGTTTCGTGGTAGGATCATGCGTCCCTGATCACTCAGTGTTCTGTCTCAGTTTATTAGATGAATGGGTTGGTAAACCTTTGTTCATTTATTTCCATAGTTTATAATTTCTTTTTTTCTTCTTAAAAAAAAATCAACAAATCATTGTGAGCTTTATTCATATGTGCTTTTTATCATGGCAAAAGCTTCTGCTCTATAATGGAGTCCTAGAGTAGGACTCAAGGACTCTATATATAGTTGGCAGAAATCATACCATATTTATAAGAGCAGCATGTTCTCAATTATTTGGTTTCGACTATCTAGAAGCTTCTAGTAGTTAAGATAGAGCAGGGCATAAAATCCATGCAAGTATATTCTTCAAGGCGACCATTGTGTCCCTTCTCCAATTTTACCTTCATAATATTTAGCTTGTTAATTTCTATCAAGAAAAACAAATTGCATACAAGAAATTTTATTGTTGAGGATTTGATACAAACTTCTTTATTTTAGTGCTTACTCCCGTCTTGATGAATGCTTTGGAGAAACGTGGATTCCTTCGTCGCTTCCCTTGGGCTAATGCTCCCATTCAGACACTGTTCTGCGGGCTTTGTCTGACATTTGCAACACCAATGTGTTGCGCTCTCTTCTCTCAGAGAGCTGCGATTGCTGTGGACCAGCTGGAGCCTGAGTTGCAGGTGAGAACACCGTATTCCTATGACCTAGAGTGCCACTGCCAATTAAAATTGAAACCAAACTGAAAAATGGAATTGTGTTCTGTTGTATTTTACATAGGAGGAGATAAATAAAATGAAGAACCCACCCAAGGTCGTCTACTACAACAAAGGGCTCTAAATTAGACCCTGGCTGGACAACTCCGCCTGGAGACATTTCTGGCAATACTAGACGTTTTGTGTCATATTGACTCACACCTTTCATATCGAAGTAATTATATTTTCTGGGTGGGTTATGGTTGTGTTATGAATACTATATAGGGTAACCCTGAAAGTGTAAAACGGCAGGGATCCCTGACTAGGAGTGTACTTAAATGGCTTTCAGATAAATTTTATCTTATAACTCCTTCATGTACTCTTAACTACTTTTTAAAGTAAAGACATTTCAAGACATTGTTATTTCTTCCTGGCCTTTAGCCTTTTGCTTGAGTTTGCCAGGAGAAGAGACGCTTCATGTTATTATTGACAACATGTTAAAACTCTATGAATTTTAAGAAATGTTTCTTGACAATAAGTATCTATATGAGTGTCAGTTTTCATCACTACTGCCAATGTTAAAAGTCAGCTTTTTAAGAAGACATGCCATCATATCAATTAGTTTGATGAATCTTTCATCAATTGGATAATTTATTCAAAGCTTTGGGGGCAAAATGTCATGGGCTATCTGATTATTTTATCAACCTGTGATTTAGGTAATTTTGTTGTGACATGAGCATAAAAGACATTGTTCATGAACATTGAAATTTTATGGATGTTGCAAAGTTGTGTTCATTTTTACTGTTATTTGTTTTTATTTGATGTGAATTTTGTGTTATATGGTTTTGAAAATGGATCACATGTCTATCAATTTTTTGCCACTATTTTGTCAATTATTGAAAGCAATATTCTAGGCTAGTCCAATATATGTGATGTTATGCATTTATTGTTGTTTTTTGTCTTGTCTTTGACACATTTCTCATTTTAGCTCTACTGATGAATGATGTGTAATGTAATTACGTATTTTATAAATGTGTCATTTCTCAACGCACAGGGAATTGGTCCTTCTGTGTAGTGAGTCCAACAAATAACCATCCAAAATATGTGCCAGACAATAATAATGTTATGTATAACCCTGACTATGTGAAATACAAAATTTACAAAAATATCATGTGAGGTGTTTGATTGTGTGGCCTGTACCCTCAGTAAACGAAGCGGCTTTCGGGCGGTACGTTGGCAGGCTCCGCAGCCCTGTAGGCGGCCTGCAGCACCTGTGCGGGGGACTGCATGACACGCACGGCGCCGCCCGTCTGCGGCAACGCCATGAAGTACCCTGTGGAGGAGAAGCGGCATCCATTTTGAGTTGGCGACACATGGACAAAAGCGGCCAGCGAATGTCGAAGTTGGGCCGTGTCGGCTAGAGAGCCACCTGGGAACCACGGCGGCGGGGCGTCCCCCCTGAGCTGCACCAGCGTCTGGGCCTTGAGGAGGTCGCCGGGGTAGCCGCCGCCGAAGCACACGATGGGGCAGGGCTCCGCCTTGTGCAGGGTGTTGTCGTTGCGGCTGAGGCCCTTACTGGCTGCTTGCTCCGCGCCCTGCTCCTCCGCGGCCCCTTCTTGCGACGGCTTCTGCGCCATCTGGGGGAAGGGGACCGGTCAGTCTGCCGCTCACGCGTTGGCACTTCCCTGAGCGTAGAGCCGTGCCTTGGTCTTGGACACGTTGGGGAACAGGAACTTGAACAACTGCTCGGGGGGCGCGTCCATGCTGACGCCGTGCTCCAGGCGGTGCATCATGGCGGCCACCTCGGCGGGGGTGAGGCTGCCGGGCTCTTCACCCTCGCCGTGGTACAGCACCTGGGGAGGGGAGCATCGACGGGGTGGAGTGGCGACGGCGGGAGGGTCGCCGTCGGGTCGGCTCATGTCGCACTCACGTTCTCCCCGACGGGCATGGCGCGCATGTCTTTCTGCGCGTGCCGCACGGGCTCCGTCAGCGGGAACCGGGGACCGGGAGGGCCGAAGCTCGCGTCGAGGCCACCGCCGGCCGTCGACCGCCCCAGCAAGGACGCCAGACGAATGTCCTCGGCCTCCTCCCGGAGCAGGCGAGCCACGGAGTCGTGCGTCCACGCTCCTGGGGGATGGCGGCGGCTAGCATGCACTTGTTTCGCGTGATTAAGGCCGCCATCACGTCCATGACGTCCATGACGCACATGGTGCCTGTGGGCGTGCCGCGTGCGTGCGTGCGTGGCCACGGCACGCCACCGAACCACGCGACGCCCCCACGCGACGCGGGCCGTGCGAGGCCGTAAGGCCGTCGGGGCAGTGGCAACTGGGGGCTCTGAGGCACCCTAATGGGACCTTGATGAGGTGCGCGCACCGCGGCACCGCGGTGGGGTTGGTACCTTCCGCCGAGCCGAGCCCAAGGTCATCATACTCCGAGAGGTCGCCGAAGAGCTTCCTGGATACGTTGGCGTTGGCGCGGCCGCCGCGCCTCGCTCCGCCACTGCCAGTGGAACCCGCCGAGGGTCTCCGCTGCGGGCACAGAGGGCATGGGCTGTGGGTTCGACTACCGGCAGCGTCGCCTCTAAGGCAGCCGAAGTCCTACCCGCTCCCGCTGGTCCTGCCTGGCCGTGTAGAACTGGACGTTCCTGGCCGAGCTGGGCGTCGCCGGGGACACGGGGCTGAGCCTGGGAGAGCCGCCACCACCGCCGGCACTCGAGGGACTGCACGCAAACGAGCGGAGAGACGTTTCCACAGTTTGAAAACGCCGCTAGTACGCTCAGGTCCTGGTACCCAGGACGAATGCCCACCCCGGCGCGGAGGAGTCCTTGTTGGGCGTGCTGGTGGCGCTCACGGCGCACACCTCGAACTCCCGCTCCGAGCTGCTCTTGCTGCTCTTGCGCGACATGTTTCACGCAGCGCGCGCGACGATAGCGGCGAGGGAAGAGCGAGGTGCCTGTGTTGCCTAGTTGCCTACCCTGCAGGCGTTCAGGGCGCTCCCCTCACTCGGACAATTGTTGCCCGCCCTGTCTCTTCCACCTGAGCACACACACTCTCACTCACTCCACGGTGTCTACTTTAAGCATGACAACATGATGATGACGCCCAAGCAATTCTATGTACACAGGCTGGGACTCTTAAAGAGGAAAAACACCAGAAGAATTCGCCCGATTAAAACCAGCCAAAACTACTTGCATGCACTCGGCCGACTTGGCCGATTCCATGTGTTGCTGTTGTTTCAAAGGCTTTCGATTCCGTTTTCTCCACTGAAAATGTATCGGCATGACTTCAAGCCGTTTCAGGGGCATTTCAGGGGCACGCCTTAATTTGACGATTTGGCCATGTGTCGGACCATTCAGTTTTCAGTTCAGTTCGAAGAGTTACCCCCACTGACCCCCGACACGCGGCCTGACCCAGCCTGACCTCCCCGTCCCCAGAAACCACTCGACGGCCAACCTCTTGGTGGCGCTGCGGTTGCGGTGGTCTCCGCGGCCGAGACCCCGACCCCGAGACTGAAGCGCGCAGGCTGCGTCCGAGCACGACTGCCCCTTCCGTCCGATTCGACTCCGTTTCGAACGCCGCCCCGCTTCACTCCGCCCCGCCCCGCCCCGCCCCGCCCCGCCCCGCCTGGCCTGGTATTCCTTATCAGCAACCTGCCTCCCAGCAACAGCACACCGACTCAGTGTAGGCATTCGCACCTTCGCCAACACGCCGACGCCGCCCCCGTGCCGCCCCACCGCCCCCTGAAAAGAAATGAGAAATTTTCCAGGCGGACGTGTGACGTCGTTACACATGACTCGTCATGGCGGGGGCCCCACCCCACCCCACCGCCCTCCCCGCCCCGCCCCGCCCCGCCACTCGCGTGGCGTTCCACGGCTTGGCCTGTCATCCGGCCTGCGCGATGTGTGGACACAGGTGCATTCGCCGGTGCTCGCGCTCGCCGATTGACGAATTGACGGCCAAGACGCACTGGGATAAAAAGACGCCGCCGCCCCCGAAAGGCACACCAGTGTAAGGAAACACCGACACCATGCTGGCCTACGTCGTCCTTGGCCTGGCGGCCATCAGCGCCGTCAGCGCAGGTAAGCGTCCAACTTTGTGACGGACTTGGAGTCGACGGCGAACCTCGTCTTCACATGACGTTTTCTCCAGACTGCTCCATCGACATGAACAGCGACCTCGCCAAGCACAAGGCTCCCCTGTTCCTGGACGGCAGTGACATGCTGCTGCCCGTGCCCCAGGGCAAGAGCGGTGTCCTCAGCCTCAGCAGCGGCCAGGAGGTGACCCTCGCCTGCCCCGGCAACAAGAACCAGGTAAGTGGACTGGATTGGATTCCCTACCCTCTTAACTGCCGTAGTTGCTTGGAGCCCCGCAAGTGGCGGTCCAACAAAAACGCCTCGGGCGGACTGAACGCCGCCCGCGAGAGAGGAAAAGGGGGTGCGAGGGCGGCAAATTAATTTCACTAGGACGAAGTTAGAAGAGTCTCTGAAAACATTTGATTTTAACACGCACAGCGAAGTCGTGCCGGGAATGGCGCGAGCTCGTCCACGCTCTCGGATTCGACGACTTGCGAGATAGCGACGTTCGCGGGCCATTAGTTCGCTGGTTCGGCGGCCTTCCCGCCGTCCACGCAGGTGTGCCACCGCACCGGCACGGCAGCACGGCGGCACGGCGGCACGCACGTGCGGTGCGGCCGCGGCGGCGATAGTTCGGGCCGCTCGGAGAGTTAAGCTTCCCAGCGCGGAAACGCAACGCGGTCATTGTTGCCAACTCTTGAGCGATAATCGCGGTGGCTGTGGTCGTGGACGCCACACGCCTGGACTAGTAGACTTCGCCACTCTCGGCGGACTACCCACTCTGCCCCAGGCGGCGGGGTCACATGCTCCCCGAACTTCCCCCGCGTCTGGGCCCCGGCCGCCTCGGCTTCAGCCCGGGGCGCTTCGCACACCTCCTTGCCAAGATTCGCGCCATCCGCGCGCTGTGCGTGGCGGACGCGGGGCACGCGGGGGCGGGGGGTGGGGGCGCGGAGGGGCGTGGCAGGGCACGACCCGCCCGCAGCCTCACCCGCAGCCCGCACGTGGATGACACCGACCCCGTCAGGGCAACACCCCGTTAATGCCGAGTCCGCGGGTTCGCGTCCCCGCTCCGGCCGCCTTTTTTGCCTTGCCTCATCCCGCTCTCCCGCCGCAGCTCTCCGCCGCCAAGTCCGCCGTCGTCAGCGCCACCTGCGACTCCGGCAACAAGCTGAAGGTGAACGGCAAGTCCGTGGCCGCGCCCAACCTGGGCTGCTCCAAGACCGCCGGCTCCTCCCTGCGCGTGACCGAGCAGTCCTGCCAGGACGGCGGCAACCTCCTGGAGCTCGGCTTCGAGGTCGACGGCCAGTGGATCAAGCTGGTCGACCTGTGCCACCAGATCGAGGCCGGCAACACCCTGTGGGCCCTGCACACCGTGCACGGTGCCGCCCTCGCCGGCGCCGAGGTCGAGTCCAAGCGCCCCTCCTTCACGTGAGTGTTGTGGTGTTCGCCGTCCACGCGTCGCGCGTTCTCTTACGCAAGAAATGACCGGGCTTGTTCTTGTTGCAGCCGTGGTGACAAGGCCCTCTACAAGGGCTACAACCCCGACCACATGTACAAGCAGGCGACCCACAAGAAGATGCTGGAGAACTCTCTGGGCAAGGCCAAGGCCGACGAGCTGATCGGCAACACCTTCATCGCCCGCGGCCACCTCGCCCCCGACGCGGACTTCATCTTCGGCTCCGGCCAGTTCCTCACCTACTTCTACGCCAACGTGGCGCCCCAGTGGCAGTCCATCAACGCCGGCAACTGGCTGGCCACCGAGAAGAACGTCCGCAAGAAGGCCATCGAGCTCGGCCGCGACCTCACCGTGTACACCGGTACCCAGGGCATCCTCACCCTGCCCAACGCCTCCGGCGAGGACACCCCCCTGTACCTCAACGCCGACGACAAGACCCTCCCCATCCCCGACAACTTCTGGAAGGTGCTGTACGACCCCGAGACCAAGCAGGGTATCGCCCTGGTCGGCTCCAACAACCCCCTGCTCGCGTCCGAGGACAACCTCCTCTGCAAGAACGTGTGCGAGGCCAACGGCTGGTCCACCATCCGCGACTTCCGCAAGGGACTCATCTACTGCTGCACCGTGGCCGACTTCCAGAAGGCCGTGTCCTACGCGCCCAAGCTCAGCGTCTCCGGCGTGCTGCAGGGACCTCAGTAAGGCGTTGGTGTCAATAACGTCAATAAAGCATCCCCACCCCACCCCCTTATTCTCACTCCGACCCTCGAGCCCTCGAGAGCCACCGCCATTATTGCAAGGCGGCGGCATGGTGGCTGACGGCGGTGCCGGCGGTCCCGGTGCGCGGTGGCGGCTGTGGCTGCGCGTGCTGGAGGGCCGGCACGCCCGCTGGAAGGGCCTGGAGTCGCGGCTCGCGGTGCGCGCCGGCCGGCTGCTGCAGACGGGCGCGCCGCGCCAGGCCGCGTCCAGCCCCTACTACGGCGAGGTGGGTGCTGCCGCGACAGGTTAGGGGAGGGACACTGCAGGGGATGATTCCATGTCGTCATGAAACAAGTTTTAAAAAATTCAAGAAAATCAAAAACAAAACATGACAGTATGTGTCAGGCGAGGGGCACTGAACCTAGGACGTCCCACTCTTTGCTAAAGTGACTCAGCCACCTCACCCACGTGTGACTCTTGTTTCCAAGGAATTCACCTTCGAGTTCCACGAACCTCTCGAAGACTTGTTGGACAAGACGATGGTCATTTCGGTAAGTTCTGAACTTGGCATTTCACACAACAAAGGAGGTCTGCAGTATCACTCGCATTGACGTCCGCACAGGTGCAACAGGCCAGGAACCTGCTCCCCCGCAGCAAGGTGCTGGCCTCCATGGATATGGAGCTGGCCACCGTATGGTCGTTCCCTGGTACGCCCCTCTCCGCCACAGCCTTCCTTCACTGGTCCACTGTTAACCTAACCTAACCTAACCTAACCTCCACCCGTTGCAGAGCACCAGGCGCTGCACAAGTGGGCCGTCCTGTGGGCGCGCGGCGTCGAGGGCCCCGCCGGCTTCCTGCTCGTGGACGTGGCCCTGCTGGGCCTCGGCGACTCGCTCAGGTTGCCGCCGGCCGACGTCAACAGCGCCCTGCTGCTGGAGTGAGCGCGCGCCCTTGCTCCCTTCCCCAACACTCAGACGCACACACGCATCCGTCTACAAGGTCACGCGTGTTTAGGAACTTGCTGTCGCCGTCCTGGGCTGGCGCGGGCCCCCGGGCGAGAGCCACGTACATGGTGAGGCTGTACCGCGCCGACGGCCTCCCCTTGAAGCACCCCGAGGCCGAGACGCAGGCCGACGATCTGCTGCAGGCGTCTACAGGTCGGGTGACAACAGCACTCCACTCTGAAAGAAAGGCGTCGCGTTCTGAAATACGAACGGATGCAGCGCCAAGTTGTTTGCTCTCGTACACGTGCGTTGCAGATGGCCCAGAGCGGCATGCAGGCGAGGCGTCGGACGCAGCCCCGGACGCAGCAGCGTCGCCCGCTGCCTCGGACGCCGCCCTCACCGAGGCCCCTGCCGCGGCGGGCAGCCCCCGCAGTGGCGTGCGCCGCGAGAAGACGCGCGCCGTGGGCAAGATGTCGTCGGCGCCGGCGCGGAGGGCAAGGCGGAGGGCGGCCGCGGCGGAGGCGTGCAAGTGCCGGCCGCAGTTCCGCGTGCGCGTGTCCTTCGCCGGCCAGACCGTGAGCCATGAGGCGACGTCATCGCGAGGCCGCAGCCCACCGCGGGCCTGACCACGGCCACCTTCCCCGCAGGGCGAGACCAGCGCGCGCGGCTGCGACTGCCGGCAGCCCGTCTGGGAGGAGCAGCTGTCCTTCGGGGACCTGTTCCCGCCACTGCACCAGAAGGTGGCCCTGCAGCTGAGGCGCGGCGGCCGGCTGCTGTGCGAGCGCCACCTGCGCCTGGACGCCATCTGTCAGGACATGCCCCCCGGTACAGCACCCCGGCAGACGCGATGTAACGCCGCACGCGCCGCCTACACGTGTGCGGCCCCTGTAGTGCGTTTCGCTGTTGCCCAGAGGCTCCTCAGGCCGGAGCCGGCGGCGTGCTGTTCGGCCCGTGGTGGGTGGGGCTGGAGGGTGCGGCGAGGCGGCGGGCGGCGGGGACGGCGGGGACGGCGCGGGCTGCATTCCCGTGGCGCGGCCGGCTGCTGGTCTCGCTGGCCGTGCGCTGCTCCGACCACCAGAAGCCCGAGTGGCCGCGCAGGGTGGTGCGGGATGCGGCGCCCAGGACCGCGGAAGTAACTTGCTAATTCAATCAGGCACTGCTCGAGGGGGAGGGGAGGGGAGCGATTCGTAGGAACGTCGCCGAGTTCCTCGCTCCATTAGTGCCCGGCCCGGGCCCCGGGGCCGCGGCGTGCTTGAGGCGTTGGAGGCCGTCCGCGCAAACTCTTGCCGAGCAATCACGTCGCTTCAATCGGATTATGAAAATGCTTTCCATTATTTGTGGGACGCGGGTCGCGGCGCTCCAACCCCTTGTTCTTGTTGTGGCGCCGCGGCGGCAGGCCGGGCTGTGGCGGCAGGCCGACGTGGTGGTCGTGGCCGTGCTGTGGGACGCCTTCCTGCTGGACCGCGGCGTGCTGGCCGGCAGGGACTTCGGCCTGGAGCTCAGCCTGGGCAGCTGTGGGGACCGCCTGCTGTGGCAGCACCCCGACAAGGGTGGGCTCGGTCGCCGTGTGTCCGTTGCGTCCGCCTGTTCCTGTTCTGCCCCCACTCACGCCCGGTCCGTCTTGATCCCAGACGTGGCGGCGCGGCAGCTGCGCCGCAGCGCGTGCTGGGGCCTGCGGCCCGCGTGCCACGACGGCGTGTACGCGCACGCGACGCTGGGGCCGCGCAAGCCCGTCCTCGCCGTGCGCACGCTCGCCCCGGACGTGCTGGCCGACCTGCGCGCGGCCAACGCGCTGCACCGCCTCGCCGAGGCCCTGTCGCAGACCGTGCGCGGCGTCCGCCGCTTGCAGCGTGACGGCGAGGAGGGCGCCCACGAGCTGGTAGTTGCGGCACTGGAGACGACGCGGGGCGGCCTGCAGTCGCTGGCCGCCCTGCCGTCCTCGCAACACGGCCTCAAGATGATGGTCAGTTCAAAGTGGCTGCCGCTGGCAGCCGAGAACGTAGAAATGAGACGTAAAGTCAGTTCGAACCGCTATTTTTGCACATATGCCACCGTTTTGAACAACTCTACCCTTCCCCTTCCGTCCGGGGAGCAGGCCTCTTTACCTGACTTCCTCTTGCAGCGGCAGCTTCTCGCGGTCGGCGCGAGCGTGGCCGAGGCAGCCAAGGCGTCGGCCTCCACCGAGGGCCAGTGCAGGACGGAGGCGCAGTTGTCCGCGAACTGCGATCGCGCGGACGGCCTGGCGAGGCGAATGCGGCGCGTGGCGGAGGTAGGCAAGGCGAGGCAAGGCGCCTGCGAGGTAGGCAGCGCGGATGCTTCAGCACAGCGGTGCGTGGCGTGTTGCCTGCCGCCACGGCGCTCGCCGAGTGCACCGAGTCAGTCGGTGGCTGCTGCCTGCCTTGCCTTCAGGCGGAGAGCGGCCTGGGGGACGTGTTCCTGTGGCTGACGCGGGGCCGGCGCGGCGGGCGGCTCCAGCGCTGCGGTGTGGCGCGCCTGCACCCGCGACACGCGCTGCATGCAGTGGACGACGACCAGCGGGGGCGGCGCGCGGGGCAGCTCAGCACGCTGCCGCTGCAGGCGGTGGTGGCGAAAGGCCGCGGGGGCGGTGCCGGGGGCGTCGTCGGGATGCTGGAGGTGCTGCTGTGGCTGGGCCGGCGGAAGGACGCCCACACCGCCCTGCATGGACTGCCGCGCGGCCACGACGGCGACCTCGGCACGCCGGCCGCTCTGCACTTGCCCACGGCGGTCAACTACACCGAGGAACACGTGAGCATGAAGCTTTACTTTAAATTAAATACTATAAAAATAAAATTAAAGACGGGATGTCGCAGGTCTACGAGTGCCGTGCGCACGTGTGGCACGGCCGCTTCCGTCCCGGCGCCGACCAGTCCGGCCTCAACGACCCCTTCGTGCGCGTGGTGTGCGGGCCGCACAGCGCGCAGACCCAGGTGGTGGCGGGCAGCCTGGTGCCGTGCTGGTCGCGCTCGCTGCGCCTGGCCGTCGTCAAGGTGTGCGGCGACCCGGCGGACATCCTGCGCCGCCCGCCCGCCGTGGTGCTGGAGGCCTGGGACCGGGACGCCTGCGTGAGTCGCGCGCTCCGTCATCCACTGTCGACTGATTCCGAGGGCCGCCTTCGTCGCTGTCTGTCTCGCACTCGTGGGGCGTCCCCTACAGGTGCGAGAGAGACAGAGCGACGAAGGCGGCCCTCGGAATCAGTCGACTGGCTGGACAGGACCCCCCGGGCCGCCTTGGCCAACCATTACGGCCCTTCTTCGGCCCGACGCAGACGAACGAGTTCCTGGGCAGGGCCGTGCTGCGACCCCGCGTGCTGCTCGCCGCGCCGGAAGGGCCACCGGAAAGGGCGGCCGACTCGCTGCCGGAGCCGGCGGAGCCCACCGGAAGTGGCGAGGACGCTGACCCGGAAGCGACCGGAAGCGACGGGGCGGGGGAGGCAGGTAGCGGAAGCGAGACGGAGAGCGACGCGCTGCCGCCGTTGTTGCCAGGGCGCGGCCCTTGGCGAGGCCCGCGGTGGGCCGAGGGGCTGCGGCGGGGCCGCGAGTGGGGGCAGCAGTGGGGCCGCAAGCTGGGGGCCTCGTGGGAGCGCGGGGAGCGCATCAGACACCAGTGGGAGAGCAAGTGGGGAGAGCAGTGGGGAAGATGGCGGGACGGCGTCGACGACACGCCGGATGCAGGCCATCCAGGCCCAGTCCCCGGCCCCAGCCCAGACCCACGACCCGGCCAAGCCCAGCGCGCCGAGAACGCCGAGCACGGCGACGGCGTGCACTGGGTGGCGATGATGCGGGGCGCGCGGAGGACGGGGGATGTGCTCGCCGCCGTGGAGCTCGTCCAGGTGCATGCGGCGGTACAGTGGTAGAACGGACAGGCCGAGGCGCGGCTGCCGCTAAGACACCCTCTCTTCCCGCAGGTGCGCCCCGACTGCCCCACACCTGTGGAGCACGGCGACGAGGCTGCCGGCCGCCCCACGACCCCCATGGCACGCTACAGGTGTGATTACGGGCAGAGACAAACTTTGCCTCAGAATTGGACCAGTTCTATGGATGCCAATTGCCCTACGCTTTTTTATTTATACGAGGGCTGAACCGACCCCTCCTACCACCGCGTGCAATTTTGAATACCCGCTGCGGTATGAAGTCAAACTAACCGCACTTGTCTGACTCGGCCGGAGCCGGGCCGGGTTGCCTGTGAATTGGCACAATCTGGCGCCGCGGGCCGCGGCGTGGGGAGAGGAGGGGGAGGGGAGGGTCCATCACAGTGACCGCCGAAACCGCTAGGCAAACGGCAAACGGCGGACGTGGCTCGTCCAAAGTTTTGCACGCTCAGCAAGTTCGAGGTCGCGCTGGTCGGGAGGCTCTTCGCCGCCCGTGGCGCTGTGGCGGGTCCGGCGGGGCACTGGCCGCTGGCCACTGGACCGCAGACAGACGAAATTGCACTCCAGGCTGGAGGTGCTGTTCTGGGGACTGCGGGACTTGCGGCCGTCGTGTGCCCCCGGCTACCAGTACGTCGCGGTGCACGTGGCAGGGGCGCGCCTGGAATCCTGCCGCCTGGACCCCACGACCTCGCTCAACTTCAAGGAGCCCTTCGCCTCCATCGACCTGGTACTCCGCAGGCGACTATGCCCGTGTCCCCTCCTTCCATCCCCTGGGCTGCTGTGTCGAGCTGCGGGTGTGTGTCCAGGACCTGCCCGTCGACGCGGCCCTCATGCCGGCCGTGCACCTGGTGCTGCTGCGCCGCGCCGCGCTCTGCCTGTTCCGCCGCTACGCCGGCACGCACCTGCTGCACAGCGCCGCCACCCTGCAGCGTCCCGCGTCGTGCGCGTGGCGGTGGCTGCCCCTGAGCGCGATGGGGGCCTCGTCGGGGGCCTCGTCGGGGGCCGCGCGCCGAGTCGCCCCGCCGCAGCCGCCGCCTCAGGCACCGACTGCACCGTCCCCGGCGTGGAGCTCGTCCTCCGAATCGGTGGTCGTCGACGTGCCTGAGGAACCCGCGCACCACGTGGCCGAAGGTTGGACAGCAGCCGGTTCAAACACCTCAGCGTCCTTTGAAATGATAAAAAGCATCTTCTTCGTGACCCTGTCGCCGTCCAGGCCGCCGGGGCAACAGACTGCTCTCACGCCTGGGCGGCGCGGTGCCGCGGCGCGTCCTCGCGGTGGGCGGCGGGGCGGTGGAGGCCGTCAAGACGAAGCTCTCGCGGCGCTCCGACAAGGCCGGCAAGGCTGAGACGGTGCAGGACGACGCCCAGCAGCCCGAGGAGCCTGACCCGGACTGGTGGACTCGCTACTACGCCACCATCCAAGCGCGCGCTGTACGTCGATCGAGACCTTGACTCATAGAGGACGATGGTTTTCATTGAGGCCAAATTGGTTGTCGATTTGTGTTTTGCAGGAAGGCGCAACGGACGGGCTGGCCAAGCGAGTGCACGCAGACTTCCAGCTGCAGGTGTGCCGTCGCCACATTCGGGTATCACTTGTTTGGCGTCCAAAGGTTGATCGTAAAGGGCAGTTGTCCACTCCCAGCTATACCCCGGCGAGCTGGAGTCCCAGCCCGAGTTCGAGTCCTTTCAGGACTTCCTCCGCGTGCTGCCTCTGAGCCGCGGCAAAGTGGACGACTTCGACGGCGACCTCGAGGGCGCCGACGACGATGACGATGACGTTTCGCCGCCGCGTTGGGAAGACGGGGGGAAAGTCATGGGTCGGCTGAAGGTGATTGCTCGTCAGTTGACACAACCTCCTATTTTCGCTCGTTGCAGTTGACCTTTGTAACTGACCCACCCGAAACACGATCCACCCCAGGCCACTTGTATCACGTGCACTGCACTAGGTGGCCATGGAGCTCTCACGCTTGGCCGACAGCGGGCCGCAGTCCGAGGCGGCGGCGTCCTCAGCGGCCCCAGTCGCGGGGCTCTCGGCGGGGACGCGCGCGCGGCCGCTGCCTGTCCTGGTGCGAGTGTACGTGGTGCGCGCCCTGGCGCTGCCGCCCAGGGACGCCAACGGCTCCTGCGACCCCTACCTGGTCGTCAGGCTGGGCAGGCAGCGACGCCGAGACGCGGAGCACCGCGTCGTGCGGAGCCTCAACCCCATCTTCGGCAGGTGCATGGTCTGGGATAGGGGTCCGGCCCACTCACCCAGACGTTATTCACCCAAAACCCAACAGACCCAAAGTCAATACACCCACGGCCAATTCACCCTCTAAAATTCACCCGAGGTCCGTTAACCCTTTCTCGATCTCACCCACGTCAAAATAATTCGCCCAAGCCCACTGTGGGAGCGAGGAGTATTGCTTAAAGAGAGGGGTATTGTCAAAAGCCACAGAGCTGTCGGTGATCGGCCAGGGAAAACTATTCCGGCAGCTGGGAGAGCCAGGGAAAACTATTCCGGCAGCTGGGAGGGCCAGGGAAAACTATTCCGGCAGCTGGGAGGGCCAGGGAAAACTATTCCGGCAGCTGGGAGGGTCAGGGAAAACTATTCCGGCAGCTGGGAGGGCCAGGGAAAACTATTCCGGCAGCTGGGAGGGTCAGGGAAAAGTATTCCGGCAGCTGGGAGGGTCAGGGAAAACTATTCCGGCAGCTTGGAGGGCCAGGGAAAACTATTCCGGCAGCAGGGAGGGCCAGGGAAAACTATTCCGGCAGCTGGGAGGGCCAGGGAAAACTATTCCGGCAGCAGGGAGGGCCAGGGAAAACTATTCCGGCAGCTGGGAGGGCCAGGGAAAACTATTCCGGCAGCTGGGAGGGCCAGGGAAAACTATTCCGGCAGCTGGGAGGGCCAGGGAAAACTATTCCGGCAGCTGGGAGGGTCAGGGAAAAGTATTCCGGCAGCTGGGAGGGCCAGGGAAAACTATTCCGGCAGCTGGGAGGGCCAGGGAAAACTATTCCGGCAGCTGGGAGGGCCAGGGAAAACTATTCCGGCAGCTGGGAGGGCCAGGGAAAACTATTCCGGCAGCTGGGAGGGCCAGGGAAAACTATTCCGGCAGCTGGGAGGGCCAGGGAAAACTATTCCGGCAGCTGGGAGGGCCAGGGAAAACTATTCCGGCAGCTGGGAGGGCCAGGGAAAACTATTCCGGCAGCTGGGAGGGCCAGGGAAAACTATTCCGGCAGCTGGGAGGGCCAGGGAAAACTATTCCGCCAGCTGGGAGGGCCAGGGAAAACTATTCCGCCAGCTGGGAGGGCCAGGGAAAACTATTCCGGCAGCTGGGAGGGCCAGGGAAAACTATTCCGGTAGCTGGGAGGGTCTATGAGCTATATAGCTAAAAAAAAGTAACAAAAAATACTCTGGGTGAACAGCTTTCTGGGTCAATCGCACGTGGGTCAATTACACCTGGGTGAAATACTTGGGGGTGAATAGCGTATGGGTCAATCGCACCTGGGTGAGTCGGCCTAGAACCCTGGGATAGCTTCGTGGCTCCGCGCGGTGCCCCCGAGTGACCGCCGCGTGGCCGCCTCCACAGGGTGTTCGAGCTGGAGGCCGAGTTCCCCCGCGACCACGCCCTCACGGTGCGCCTCATGGACTGGGACGCGGCGGGCCGCGACGACGTCATCGGCGAGACGACCATCGACCTGGAGAACAGGGTGTTCTCGAGGCACATGGGCGGCTGCGGCCTGCAGAAGCGGTTCACGCTGTGAGTGCCGCGTTCGGGGCCAGCCAGCACGCTGCCATTGGCTGCGCGCTTCGCGTCACGCGTGCACGTGTTCTCTAGGAAAGGGAACAACCGTTGGCGGGACAGCCGCCTGCCCAGCGAGCTGCTAGCGGAAGTGGCGGCCCACCACGGCCTGCCCGCGCCGCGGTACCAGGACAGCACCGTCACCGTGGGGGACTGGACGGCCGCGGCGGACCTGCCGCCGGAAGGTACTCCACCAGCAGCACGGCCTCGTGGGCCTTGTGGGGCCCCACCTCACCTGCACATGGTCCGCAGCTGAGTCGCCGACGGAGCAAGTGGCTCTCGCCGCGCTGCACGCGTGGGCCGGGGCGCCCCGCCATGGCTGCGCGCTCGTCCCGCAGCACGTGGAGACCAGGTCGCTGTACCACCCGCAGCGCCCAGGCATCGAGCAGGTAGGCTGGCTCTTATTTCTGAGAACTTGGCGAGCCAGCCGCCATGCCTGTCTCTCGATCTCGCTGCCAGGGGCAGCTGGAGCTGTGGGTGGACGTGTTGGCGCGGGCCGCCGGCACGCTGCCCATGCCCCCCGCGGTGCCCTTCGCCCCGCCGCGGCCCTCGTCGTGGGAGCTGCGCGTCGTGGTGCTGGAGGCCGCCAGCGTCGTGGGTACGGAGCGCCTGCTGCTCAGCAAGGACAAGTCCTCTGACGTGTACGTCAAGGTAAGGCAATGTTGTTTCAAAATGTTGTCGAGCGTCTCTAACGTCGTTGACGTTTCCGCCGACTTTCCGGCTGCAGTGCTCCCAAACTGAGATGGCTTCTCCTTCCCCCTGTCCAGGGCTGGATGTCGGGGCTGGAGCGGGAGGCCCAGTCCACGGACGTGCACTACGCGTGCCTGAGCGGCGAGGCGCTGTGGACCTGGCGCATGGTGTTCCGCTTCGAGCACGTGTGGCCCGAGAACCGCGTCGTCGCGGAGGGGGCGCAGGGCCGCCACCCGCCCAGGCTGCACCTCGCCGTCATGGACTACGACACCTTCACCAAAGATGACGTGCTCGGTGGGTGATGGAAACAGCTATTTATTGCAAATGCAAAACAACGTTAATCTGGGACAGGTTTTAAAGTTTGAATCTCGGCGACTACATATTTCCCAAGTTGTATTTGAACCTCTGACCTGGCGCGCTGCTGACAGGCACGCTGTCCCTGGACCTGTCGCGGTTACCCCGCGGCGCGTCGTTCGCTGCCAACTGCAGGGCGCCGGGCAAAGAGGCGCGGCCGACCGTGAACCTGTTCCTGGCGCGCCACGCCACTGGGTGGTGGCCGGCCCTGCTCGCGCCGGACGTCACCAAGGCCCGCGCCAAGGGGCTCGGGGTGAGTCCACACGGGCACCGCGAGTCAAAGCCGTGCTATTTCCACCGCTTCTTCTTCTTCTTCTTCTTCTCGCCGGACTCGCAGGGCAAGCTGAAGTTGGAGTTGACCCTGCTGCCCGGCACCGAGGCGGCGCGCGACCCAGCGGGGGTCGGCCACGACGGGCCCCAGGCCCTACCCAAGCCGCAGTGAGTTGGGCGTGGAGGCCACTGGAAGCTGCAGCGCGGAGTCCCTGCTCAACAAGGGCGTGTTCCAGGCGGCCGGTGGAGGCCTTCTCGATGCTGCGGCACCCCGTCATGGGCCTGTACCACTTCGTGTGGCGCCGCCACCGCCGCATGCTGCTGTGGGGCCTGCTCCTCTTCCTGCTCGTCGTGTTCCTGCTCGTGGCCGTGTACTCGCTGCCCGGCTACATCGTCAAGAAGGCCATCGGGGCGTGAGAGGACGCCGTGTCTTATTGCAATTCTGTTTTATTGTTTCGACGTGACTGCCATCGGCCGGTCTATATTATTCGTATAACGGAATGCGGCCCTTTGTGAAGGGCTGATGAAAACGGCGCAGCGAGAGACGCAGCGCGACCTTGAGCTCGCCGTTTGCATGCACCCTCGAAAAACTTGTGTTATAGAATCCTTTGTACTTCGCTGTGCGAATCTGACTGCATTATCGGCGTGTTGCCGTTTTTATCCCCTGACTTTTGTGTGCGTGGTGAAAGGCTTTCCAATAAAGCAACAAAATAAGCGTCATTAGTATTATTTGCCCTCCTCTCTGGCGGTACATATCAGCCGGTGCTGCGCAGCGCGTCACCGGAGCAGCAGGTCAAAGGCAGGAATTCAGCGCTCCGTCTCTCTCGCACTCATGGGCCGCTTCATAGCAGTGCGAGAGAGACGGTGAGGCCGCGCGAATTGTGGAGTGGCAGTGAGGCGTGGTGACGGTGGCACTGTAGACCACCCGGACGCACCCCGCGACGACGGCGTTGACGGCGACGCCCTTCACGGCCCGTGCACCACTCCGTCGTGTGCCGAATCCGAAGCGAAGCGCCTTAAGGGCGTCAGGGCTTATTATTCAAAGGGTATGGCGCAACGTGGCGGGGGCGGGGTGGGGTGGGGTGGGGGCATAGCCAAAGCAGGCGTGCCTTAACGGAAGGGGTATTGCGTTCTCTCTCCTTGTGTCGTCTTCTTTGACACCCCGCCGTGCCCCCAGCGCCCCACCCCTTCCGCCAGAGTGCTGCGGTGCTGGCTCTCCGCCCCGCCGTGCCCCGCCGTGCCCCGCCCCTCGCCCTGGGCCAGGGCGGTGCGCGCTCAGTCGACGGCCGATCCTCCCTGCGGTGACAGCCCTTTCGCGAGTCGACACACGATTCCTGGTCACGCCCCGGCCCTCGACTTTCCGCCGCCACCGCCGCCAACGACACCGCCAACGACACCGCCAGCGGCCGAGCTTCGCGAAGAGGCGTGACGCGGCTCCACCTGGGTGCCACGGAGCTTGTGGTGGAGCAGGACCGCAGCGCGCCGCCGCCATGCCGCAGCGCAGCGCGCCGGGCTGAGGGCGAGGACCTCGCAGGCCTGCCTCCTATCAGGTGAGTCGCTGGCGGGTGGCGGTGCTCGCGTTGGAGGTGGCGGGGCGGCGGGGACCTGTATTTGGATGCGGGCAATCAGCGCCGCCTGTTTGCCGGCCCCGATGAGCGGGCCCAGCACGGCGGGCAGGGCGGGCAGGCCTCCAAGACGTGCCGCGCCGGCGCCTCTGCAAACAGGTGGAGGCGCGGCCCCGCCCGGCGCCCCGCCCCGCCTCGACCCGGCGCCTTATCCATCACCCACCATTGTTTGCTGACCGCCCCTCCACGGGCCTCGCCGGCCTCGCCGGCCTCCAAGACGACCCCAAAATTGGCAGTGATTTGCCTCGGCGAAGGTTCCAGGTCCCAACAAGCGGCCCCGCTGGGCCCCGCCCGGGCGGCGCTGCGACACAGGGACGCGACGGGTGTCGGTCGGGTCGGCCGGGACTGGGCTTTATTGCCCGCCGAGGGGCGGCTGTAAACTGCACAAGGCTCGGCCGAGGGCTGGGTGCTGCGACCCACGACCTTGCCGGCCTTAATGAGCCGAAGCGCACCTGTGATCCCCGTCCAGCCGCCCCGCCCAGACCCCGGCCACACTTAAACCAGCGCCGCCTGGTGAGCCCCTCGCTGCGGCAGGCAGGGTGCACGTGCACCGAGCCGGTGGTCTAGCCCGTAATGGTAATGATGGAGCGCCCGGCAAGTAGGCAATTTGTGTCGCGAGGACACCGGAGTGCTGCGGCACTGCCTACCCGGCAGCCGTCAGGCGCTTGACGCGGCTCGACGCGCTCTCCCTGGCGGTGCAGTGCCATGGCAGAGCGGTGCCTCTCTCGGCACCTCGTCATACAGCCTCCCCTCGCCCCTCTCGCCCCTCCCCACCCCGGCGGCTGTGATGCGGAAGCGAGTGGATGGCTTTGCAGACGCGTCGCGACGAGAAGGGGCGAGAAATCGAGTGGAAAGGGCTAGCGCCTGGCCGGCCGGGCCTAGCCAGCCGCAGCGATGCTACAGTGGTGTCGAGCCGGGGGCTGCCCTTTGCTCCCTTCGAACGGCGTGGCGTGGCGTGGAGAGGGGCACACAATTAAATGAAGACCCTTGCTCTGGCCGCAGGCCACGGCGCAGGCCACGGCGCAGGCCGCGCCGCACGCCGCGCCGCGCTCGCCCGGCCCGACTCCTCCCATTCCTTCGCCACGCCGACCGAAAATCGGCTCCGTTGGTCTCCGCTGTTGTGCGCGTTGTTTCGCGGGGGCCGCGCTGCCTCCTGGCTGCCCCATGGCTGAGGTCGCCGCTTGTCTCGCTCGCACTCGCGGGGCGCTCCGGAAGGGTGCGAGGGAGACAGAGCGACGAGGCAGCGCTGTTCGGAATCAATCTGAGCGGCCGAGCCACGGACGTGCCCCGCGGGCTGCTCGCGGGGATCGCAGCGCCGCGATGACGCAGAAGGACTCGAAGGGCAAGTTGCCGCGACAAAGTCAACTTCTGCCTCTGTCGCACTCATGGGGCATCTCGAGGGGTGTGAGAGAGACAGTGCGGCGAACCGACTGCAGCCCGCGGGCAGGGGGCGTGCGAGTGCGACGATACAAACACGAAACGCTGTTTCCGTTCCCAGAGGAGGCCTGGCCCGTCTCGGGGGAGGCCCGGCCTGTCACGCTGGCCCGCTGGCCCTGGCAATGACCTCCCTGCCCCTGTCCGTCCTGCCCGGCCTGCCCGACCCTACGCCACGCTGCAGCACGCCGGTCGCTGGCGCCTCCCTGGCCACCTCTCTCATTTCCACCCGTTCCGCTCACTTTCTCAACGTTGCGATCGTGAAAACGGAAAATGAACTTTAAGCCCGAAATAACTTTGGATGGAATCATCCCAGCTCTCCGAAGTGTTTTTAAGAAGATTTGTTTCACCTTCTAAAAATAGGCATACTACATGACATGGGCACACGACCCCAGGACTCAAGGCCACGTTCGGTTGAGGCTCAGCTCAGGTTGCAGCTTGTAAATTTGTATTTGGTAACATGAAAACGTTTTGTGCAACCGAGCCTGACCACATGTCCGAAGCGGGAAGGATTTTTGTTGTTGCTGCTGCGGGACGCTGTTGCCAGTACTCTATAAACCTGCCAACACCCACTTCAACCTGACGTTCCCATCCCATCCCGACCGTTGCCCGCATTCCCCCGTGTCCGCCCCGGGCTGGATTTCACTTCAGGACACTGTTTGGTGAAAACCGATCCGCGCTCGCTGCTCGCCTCGCTGGGCTGGCCGTGGCTGGCCGGGCGTAGGGGGCTCCACCCGAGGCTGCGCGGGCTGCGCACCGCCGCGGCGAAGTTCCTGGGCCAGGTAGGCCGGGCATGGGCATGGCCAGGTGGTAGTTGGTTTCGGTGATAATTTGTCGTAATCGCCGCACCAAATACTGGGCGCCGGCTATCGGAGCCGCAACTATCGGATGAGCAAACGCCGCTTCGGCCCTGGCGATTGCCCCGCGCGATAAGGGAGGTGGGGGTGGGGGTCAGAGCGTCGGACGCGCACTCATCCACTTCCGAGAATCCGGACCCCCCTTTGGTGAAAGCTGAAAGCTAAAAGCTCGCTGGCCTTGAAGTGCGACCGCCCCACGCCTTGCCCACGCCCCGTTTGGCCTGGCCCTCGGCATCGCTCGGCATGGCCCGGCATGGCCCGGCCCGGGCTGTTCCAGCCGCTGTTTCCAACCTAGCCGCTGCCCGATGCCGTCACTGGCCTTTGTACGTCTTCGGTAGTCTGCGTTCGCTCGTTGCGCTCTCTGCGTTCGTATTCGTCTCGCCCTAGGCGCGGCCTCACCACGCGCCCACGCCCCGCCCCGCCCCGCCCCACCCCGCCCCACCCCACCCCACCCCGCCCCGCGGCGCCACATCCCGCTCCCGGTTTATTTACCCTCGGACCATTTATGTTGTGCAGATCCCCGTGGCAGACGACGGCCGCCACCATGCTGCCCAAGGGCCTCCGCGACAACCCCGACGACTACCCGGAGTACTACATCCGGCCCGAGGCCCGGGCGAGGGCGCAGAAGAAGGCGCTGTCCCCGGCGACGACGCCCGCCGCCAACAAGGTACGTCAATGTGTGCCGGCCCACCGGCCGCACCGGGCCTCACCCCCGCCAACCCCCGCCCCCTGGACGAGTGTGCCTTCCACTAATTAGAGCGAGTGACGCGGCCGTCGCACGTCGGACGGGTTGCGCAAGATTGCCGCCGATTACGTTCGCCGCCCCGCCCCGCCCCGCTCCCCGAAGGACCCGAAGGTAAACGACTCGTTGAGCCGATGAGCGCCTCGTTATCGCGTGCGAGAGGGAAATTACCCCAGCCGCTATTATTTCGGATGGGCCGTGTCTTTTCCGCATCCTCTGTTCTTTTTAACCCCCGGTACCTCCGCATGGTTTAGAACAACGATGCATTTGGCTTTCTTTTCAAGAGTATGGGATAGCCTGAGTCTGACCAGGAGAGTTGGTCGCTTCAGCTTAACTATCCCGAATCTCGAATCCCGAACCCTCCATGACAACAGGGTTGGCCGGCCGGGTAGACGACGGATTCGGCGCCAACGTTCTGACAGATAACACCAGATAAACCCCGCTGGATGTCACTGCGTTCGGGGCGGCGGGGCGCCGGGGCACCGCGGGGGTGTGACGGCGGGGCGGCGGGGCGCGGGACGTCGGCGGGGCAGCCCCTGACGGGCGCAGTCAAGTCAGTCAGTCGGTCGGGTCGCCCGCAGACCAGTCGCAGGGAATGGTGGTCGCCTCCGTGAGTGCCTCCGTCTTCTTGTTGCTCTTCTTGTTCGACATGGCTGAGTGCCATCCATCCCCGGCCGCGCGCGCGCTTCGCGATGTAAAGATGTGTTGATTGCAGTCCTTTGTAACGCGAACCAGCGACAAATTGGCCACCGTGATTTGTAGCCGGGCTGGCTCCGCGCGCCGCGGGCGGGTTGGGCTTGCGCAACGTCCCACCCCGCCCCGCACCGCCCCGCTCCGGTTCCAGAGACCGGGGCAGGGGCACTTCAAAGGCGTGACACGGCACTCTGGGGGGCAATCATTTCATCTCAATTTTCCTCCGGCAGGAGATGTCGACGTGGAGCAACCTCTGGGCGTCGCCGGCAGGGCGCGCTGGCGGCCGCGGCCTGGAGGCGTGCCCCGACCCGCAGGGCCCGCCGGCGCTGAGCTACTACAAGGACGCGGCCAAGAAGGTGGGCAGAGGGGTGACAAAGCGCGGCGAAGGAACGCGAGCGGAAGCTTTGTAATTTCCCGCGTCAGCAGCACCTGGTTCGCATTCAAGTTGGCACCCCACTTCCGGACCACATTGCGGTCCAAGCCACCCACCTCCTGGCCGTCCTGCATGCTGCATGCTGCATGTTTTCCAGGTGCACCCCGCCTCGGCCGGCACGGCCCTCGAGCTGGAGCAGGCCTCGCTGCTCGTCGCCAAGGAGTCGTCCGCGCCCAAGGCCCCCGCCGTGGCCGCGTGGAACAAGAGGAAGGTAAACTCGCGCTTGATCGGCTGGCAGCCTCACGGGGCCCCGGGCCTCGGGGTTCGGGCTCGCCAGTCCGGTGGCGGCGCGGGGGGGTCTGTGCAGTCCGTCGTGCATCCATTCCCGTCCCAAGCGCCGCGCGTTTGGTGTTGCAGTCGCAGCTGCTGAGCGGCTTCTGGCGGCGCACCATGCCCGAGCCCCCCGACGGCAAGGGCGAGCTGCAGACCATGCTGCACCACCACAGCTCGCCCAGCCTCAACGGCGCCACCGTCGTCAACACGGCCACGGCCGCCTACACCGCCGTCACCATCCCGCCCGAGGCCCCCGCGGTGCCCGCCGTGCCGGGGGCGCCCGTCCACGGCGAGATCTGCCTGCTCACCGAGTCGCCCTTCCGCATCCTCAGGGTGAGTGAGTCTGTCTCTCTCGCTCACCTTCGGGACAGCCCGTGAGTGCGAGAGAGAGGGAGAGGGATCTCAGGGGACCGACCCCTGCTCGGCGCCGCTCAGTCTGCCAGCCATCACTGCCCGTGGGAACGGAAGCTCAGTGGCGAGCATCAGCTGTGAAAATAGACCGCAAAGATTCGGAGGGAAGGGGAGGGGGGGGGGCTGCTGCGTGCTCTCCATAACTTCGAGAGCAACATACGAAGCGAGCGGCGCGTGCCATCGTGGGCAGACGGGGAGGCAGCCGGTTCACTGCGCGGCCACTAGGTGGCGCTGCGCCGCGCTGCGCTCGGGTCGAGGGGTGCCGATACTCCATGCCCTGCGGGAGCTAGTATGCGACTCTCGCCCTCTCGGCCTATCCTCGTTTTTCAGTTCCATAGCTCGGCGATGATGAAATACACTTTGCAGTCATAAAATGACTTTGAAAATTTTCATTTAATCTGCATAATAAAACGCTTCGTCATACTTTGTAATGTCTCTTCTTGTGCTGTTCAAACCTCATGCACTTAATGCACATGAGCATGTGAGCCGAGGTGGCCAAGAGTGAAGAAGCATCGGCTCTTAACGGTGCCCTCTTTCGCTGAAATTTTCTATGTCGGATTGGTTTTATTTCTGTTCTTTGCTTTAAAATGCGTTTGGAAATTATTTAAAGGAGAAAAATCTCATTCAACGAACGTTAATGAAAGCAGATGATCAGTCGCGTTTCACAACTGCTGTGATAGCCGAGAGGTTAGAGACGTGGGATCGAGCTACCGCAGGCCGGCGTTCGAATACCAGCCTCACAAAAGTTTTTTCGACTTGCTATCCTAGGGGTGGTGGTTCGAGGCCATGAGAGCGGAGCCGTGTGCAACAGGCCCACATGCCGGAGGTTCGACTCCTAACAAATATTTCCATTTAATTTTACTGCCTCACCCAGTGCGGTTGAAACCCGTGAACGTGAGCCCACTCCGAGCACGGGACGTGGTGGTCCAGGGAGTAGAGGCGTCGGTTACCACTGCTAGCGTCGGCGGTTCGACTCCCCCAACTTCTTGCGAAATTTTGACCGGGTCGGTCGAGTCTTGTTGCGTCAAGAACCCACCTCACGCCGGTCCCCTCATCATGGGCCGTGGTGGCCGAGAGCGTAAAATCGTGTGATCCCGATGGCGGGGTCCGGGGATCGAATCCTATCAGTTCATTACATTTTTCGACCGCCTTGCTCCCCGTGCAACTCAAACCCGTCGTCCAACACGCTGCCAGACGTACAAGCGTGATAGCGTAGTGGTCAGAGTCACATTCACCTGGCCACTCCGCTGTGGGTGTCTAAAAAGCAATCCGCTTCGGCGGGTTGGCCTCGGCACTGGAGCGATGGCGTATTTGATCCATCAATCCAGACCACCCGGTGTGTGGTTGCGGGTGGTGCCTCCTTGACTTGTCGGGGAGGCGATGATAAGTCCTTTGAAGCTGGCCTAAAACGCTGTATGTTCGGTACGGGAGCGCCGGACAGTGGGGGTACCATGGGGTACACAACCAACCCTACGAAAACAAGAAGCTCCCACCAAACCTCTTCTCTGTCTGAGTCTCTCTCTGTCTCTCTGTCGTCTCACTCTACGTCCCGCCCCTCAAAGAGCTTCACACTGGGTGCTCCGACCCAGCTGTCTGAGCTTTGGGGTCCTACTGGGTCCCCCGGCGAACGCTTGGGTCGCTGACGGGATTAACCCCAGGTACCTGATAGCACCGGTTCCCATCCCGAACACCGAAGTAAAGCAGGAGGCCTCCCCATTAAGACTGGGGAGGGGGTGTAGAGCTCAAATTTTTTTCTTTTCCCTTTCAAATTTCTCAGTCAATACTCGTTCGGTTTCCTTATACGGGGTAGTATGCGGGCTCATTCCAGAGGCAGGTTCCAGCCACGTGCTGTTGGTTCACTTCCGCCGCGTTCCACCGCGCTGGCACGCTGGTTGATGAGGTCGCGATTCGGCGCGACGTTGGCAGGTCGGCCGTTCTGCCAGGACCGCAAGGACTTGATGAAATTAGGGACGTTTCCAATCAATCACGGTGCGGCGGCAGGACCTGGCCGTCCTGACCGTCCTGACCGACCTGGCCGCGGCGGCCTCAAGGACAGCAGCCTGTCCCGCCGCGTCCTGCGACCGGGTCACCAAGGCTAGCCAAGGCCAAAGCCGTCCTCGGACACGGCGGTGGCTGACGAGCACCCTGTCCACGTGGTCCGCGCCGACAGGCAAGCTGCCAAGCTGACGAGCCGACAGGCCATCCCTCCGACGGCCGCCGCGTGCGTTGCGCGCTGCCCGCCTCAATCCCCTAATGTGGGGCTGGCGGGCAGGGCGGCGGGTCGGCGGGGCGGCGGGGCGGCGCGGCCGGGACGGTGGCCTCTTGCATAACCCGGAGGCCGAGGACCTGGCCCAACCTGGCCCGCCACCGCATACCGCCACGGCTTCGGTTCACGCACCGCGCTGCTAAATGAGGCAGAGAGAGCCTGCGAAGGGCGGTCGAGGCGGAGGCCTGATTACTTCGAGTAATTGACGGCGCCGCCGACCTCGGCTGACCTTTGCGCCATTAGGCGTGTCGCGGGGAGTCCTGTAAGGCCGAGCGACACCGCTGGCACCGCTGGCGCTCCCCCGCCGCCGTGGCCGCCTTGGGGTGGGCCGGGCCAGGCCGAGCCCGTGGTCGAGCCCCTCGCTCCCTGGGGACGTCCAGGACGCGCGCGTGGCGGCTGCAGACACGCGACCCGAACCGAGCGCCCCTCCTAGCGCAACGTCCGGCGGCGGCGGCGGCGGCCCGGGCCGAGACGCCGAGACGCCGAGACGCGACGCCGGACACACTGTCCAGTCGAGGGCCGCGGTCTTCGCCGATCGGATGGACCGCCGCCGCCGTCGCCGCGGACGCGAGGCCCGGGGCTGGCATCCACTCTGAGTCGCCGCCGCCCGCCGCCGCCACCATGACGGAGGGCACGCAGGCCGGCGCCAGCGAGGACGCAGACAAGCGGGAGCAGGATGGTGGCTGCTTCATGACGGCCGCATCAGGTAGTTTGGGACTTGTGCGCGTGCCGCCAAGGTGCCGCGCCGCGCCAGCCTCGCCACCCCCAGCCCCGCGCCGCGCCGCCCACCCCATCGACAGCGTCGCGTCCATCCCCGCCACCTGCAGCGGCAGAGCCAGGCGGAGCGGAGCCGGCGTCTCCAGTTTCCCTCAGGCTCCCGGCGCGCGCGGCCGTCTGCGGCTCCGGCATGTGGTAGCGCTTGCGCGGTGCGGAGCGGCGCGGCGCGGTGGTGGCGGTAGCGGTGGCGGTGGCGGCCCGACCCATGCCCCACGTACTCCGTCCTAACCCTGGCCATCCTGGTCACCCTGGCCCTGACCCAGCCACCCCTCCGACGCCCGCGCGGCGCAAGCGCTGGCTGCAGCTGCTGCCGGCCGCGGCCAAGACGGGCGACGCCGCGGCCAACGCCACGCCCGTCCCCGGCGCCCTGTGCATCCGCCGCCGGGCCCTGGAGAACTCGATGCGCGCCGCCCGGCCCTGGCGGCGAGTGTTCCTGGGCCTCAACTCCCTGCGCACGCTGCCCATGGACGAGTTCCTCAAGGTACTGCACGTCACACGGGTGCCTCTCACGCACTCGTCACTCTGCGAGAAAGGCGACGCGACGCGACGCGAAACCTCTCCGCTGGGCGGGGCGCCGTCTCTTTCCCGCCGTCGCTGCGGAGAGTGTACAGTGTACAGCACTTGGAGGCAATTGGGGGGCGCGGCCCGCGCGGCCCGCGGCCAGATGAAGGCAGTTTCTAAATGAGGCGCGCGAGAACGCGAGAACGCGGAGCACTTCTGGGTGACACCAGAGCGGCTCAGCCCAAAACCGTCATTAATTCCGGGGGGAGAAAAATGATGAATAAAATTGTTAGGCATGAAGCGAAAGAGATTGGTCGACTGGGGAAAAGAGTGCCAGGACGTCATCATGACGTCATCGCGTGTTCGCATGCATGTTGCATGGTCGTCGTGTCAGGGCACACGGCCCTACCGCTCCACTCGGAACACCCACAGTGTCGCAGAACGTGCATCACAGTGCAGATGGTGAGAACGGTACTCGCATCATAGACGGGTCCTTGGTTCAATTACCGACTCCAGGCGGTCACGTCGCAGTGAACGTGTCAATGCCTTTGATCCGGTCACATTGGCGAAGTCTTACGCGTCAAAGCGTCCCCACAGTGATGCAACGTCCATTAATACGCCTCCCCCACGCGACGCTCGCTCGCACCGTTGAGGGGTTTCTGCTGGTTATGTGGCTAATAGGGTTCTTCGGAGAAAGGGCGGAACAGAAGTTGAAAATAAATCTGGAAGAACCAAAGCGAGACGTAACAGGGGTTTGGTGCGGGTGCGAAACGTGGCCGACGCGGAGCCGACACCGCTGTGTTAGGCGCGTTGTGCGGCGACTCAGCGGCCGCGCCGTCTTGCTCCCCTTGCAGGCGGCGGAGAGCGGCAACGTGGAGGACTTCGCGCGCCTGCTGCTGGCCGACCCGCGCCGCCTCACCGTCCGGGACTCGCGCGGCAGGGTCGCGGTGCACCAGGCGGCCGCCAGGAACAGGATCAACATCCTGCAGTTCATCGTGGCGCACGAGGGCGGTAAGCTAAGCGAGGAACCCGGCGGACCACGAACGAACGCCTCGCCGTCGGCACGACGCCTACACGGCACTTTGCTTGCAGACCTGAACGTGCAAGACAAGGTGGGCAACACGCCGCTGCACGTGGCCGTCGAGGCGAGCGCCCTAGAGGCCCTGGACTTCCTGCTGTCAAGGTGAGCACGCCATGTGGTGGGGCCCTGGGCCTGGGCCGAGGCCCGGGCCGAAGCCGAACGCGGCCAAGGCCGTGCTTGCGTAACCCTTCGCGAGGCTTTCCGGTCACCGACCTCGCCATCCTCGCCGGCCTCTCCCGCTTGGCCGCCCGGTGCGGACCTCTGCTTCGTCCACAGGGCAAACTCGACGAGGACTCGGAGCAGCCGACGACGGCGGGGACAGAAACGACGGCCCCACCGGCCCCACCCCGCCCCGCTTGCTTTCCGAACGGCCCGAGATGCACCGCCGCGACAGCCAGACAGCCACGCCGCCGCCTGCAGCCCGTCCGCTACCCCGACCGCTTCCCCGTCCGCTTCCCCACCGTCGAGGCCCTGGCTTTTGTGGACGTCAACGTTGTGTTTGTGTTCCCCAGAGCGAAGCCCGTCTCTACTACTACCACCCTCGACGCCAAGGGCAGAGCGAAAATCATCCGGGTGCCCTTTGGCTCCCGCAGAGACCCCTCACGGTACTGTACATATTGCGACCAAGCACCCCGAGTAGCGCGACCGGGGCGCAGCGGTCAATAAGGCCAAGACCCCACGCCGCGTGTTGGCCGCTGCGCCCGTGTGTGTGCGCGTGCCCGCTTGTCCGCAGGCATGGCTTAGCTGGGCTTATCACGGTACGGCAGAGGCTTGCGCACCTAGACCACCTAGACGTAGACCACCGCGTCGGACTGTGGCGGTGGCGGCGCCATTGACCGAGTCCTGGTTTTGCAGCAACGTGGACACCAGCATCTTGAACGAGAAGCACCAGGCGCCCATCCACCTCGCCACCGAGCTCAACAACGTCAAGGCCCTGGAGGTGATGGGCCGCCACAAGGACAAGGTGGACGCCATGCAGGGCGGCGAGCATGGACGCACCGCGCTGCACATCGCCGCCATCTACGACCACGACCAGTGCGCCAAAGTGCTGGTAGGGGCAATGCCGGGCAATGCGGCCTGGCCGGGCTTGGCGGCTTGCGTGGTTGTGCCTCGCCGATGGCAGTGACGGACGGAGCCGTGTCCGTTGCAGATCTCCAACTTCTCGGCGTGTCGGCGGAAGGCCTGCGCCAACGGCTTCTACCCGATCCACGAGGCGGCCAAGAACGCGTCCTCGCGCACCATGGAGGTCATCCTGCAGTGGGGTGAGACCAACTGCATGTACACCCGGGAGCAGATGATGTCCCTGTACGACGCGGAGGGCAACGTGCCGCTGCACTCGGCGGTCCACGGCGGCGACATCAAGGTAGGCGAGCGGCGTGGCGAGCGCCTAGCGCCTGGCGCAACCCCGCGCACACGCGTGCGTCGGCCGGCGCGCATTGCCTACCCCGCAGGCGCTTACCGCCACTTGTTGCACTTGTTGCAGGCGGTGGAGCTGTGCCTGCGCAGCGGCGCACGCATCAGCACACAGCAGCACGACCTGAGCACGCCCGTGCACCTGGCCTGCGCGCAGGGCGCGGGCGACATCGTCAGGCTCATGTTCAGCATGCAGCCCGGCGAGAAGGCCCAGTGCCTGGCGTCGTGCGACGCGCAGAAGATGACGCCGCTGCACTGCGCCGCCATGTTCGACCACCCGGACATCGTCGAGTTCCTGGCCGTCGAGGTGAGGGGGTGGGGTCACCCTGTGGGCCACCACTGTCAGGACCAGGCGCCGCGCGGTGACGGCGATGCCGTGGAGGGATTGCGGAATCAAATCCTCGGGTCGGCGGGGCGGGGCGGGGCGGGGCGGGGTGGGGCCGGCCGAGACGGCTCTCATTCAGCCCTTTCTCGGCGGCTCCGATTCCTCCTCCCTATTCCGGCGCCTTTTCAGAGGATTCCCCCGGGGCGCCCGGGCCGGGCAAGCTCAGCTCGGAGGCGAATATGAGCCGCGCTTGGCTGCGCTTGGCCCGTCCAGCCGACAGTGTTGTGCCACAGTGTACCCGCCGGGCAGAACGTTTACTAACGGCCCTTTTTGCCCGTCCGGTCATTTGGCCCTTTGGCGCTTTGGCGCTGGCAGGGCGCCGACGTGAACGCCAAGGACAAGGAGAGCAGGTCGCCGCTGCTGCTGGCCGCGTCCCGGGGCGGCTGGAGGACCGTCATCAGCCTCATCCGGCTGGGCGCCAACATCCGCGTCAAGGACAACAACACGCGCAACGTGCTGCACCTCGTGGTCATGAACGGCGGCCGGCTGGACGAGCTCGCCTCCACCGTCATCAACGTCAGTACCCTCCACCCTCGCCAGTGGCACATTCGTTTCTCCCTCAAATTAAAAAGACTGGTCGCTGGCTTGGCAGGCGCAGGCGCAGAAGGACCTCCACGAGCTGCTCAACGAGAAGGACTCGGCGGGCTGCTCCCCGCTGCACTACGCGTCCCGCGAGGGCCACATCCGCTCCCTGGAGAACCTCATCCGCCTGGGCGCGTGCATCAACCTCAAGAACCACAACAACGAGAGCCCCCTGCACTTCGCGGCCAGGTACACTGACCGTCTCAAGCTGACTACCAAACTTTTTTTTTTTTTAAGAAAAATATTGAAAATGTTTGGTTGTCTGTTGGTGGCAGGTTCGGCCGCTACAACACCGTCCGGCAGCTGCTGGACTCGGAGAAGGGCTCGTTCATCATCAACGAGAGCGACGGCGAGGGCCTGACCCCGCTGCACATCGCCAGCCAGCAGGGTGAGCCGCCAGAGGCCTAGAGGCGCCAGAGGCACGCGCCTCGTCACCCTCAATGCGCCCCCCGGACTGACAGAGGAATGAAAGTCCATTTCCATTCCGGCAGCGCCTCAGCGCCGCCACCCTTTTTTCTGAACCCCCTCCTTACTCCTTCGCCCCACCCCACTGTATTTCCTGACGCGCGCCGCCGCGCCCGCGACGCAGCAGAGGCTGCCTCCGAACGGCGCTTATTCGTCGCTCTGTCTCTCTCGCGCTCTCCCCTGGGACGCCCCGTGAGTGCGAGAGAGATGAACGAGCGTCGAGAGCGCCGCCTCGGCCCACGCCACCTGTCCAGCCTCGTTGGGGATGGCATGACCCGCACCGCCGATAAACCGATAAACACAAGTTTGGCGAGTGGCGGCGCGCGGCGGTCCGGTCCGGCCCGGTATTGTGGATGGGAAACTTTCAACCGCTCGCTGGACGGCGGATCGGAATGGCGGCGGGATAATCGATTTGTCTGCGATCAGTTCCTCCACTTTGTTTACATTTCGAGCCTTTCTTTCCCTAGGGCACACCCGCGTGGTGCAGCTGCTGCTCAACAGGGGCGCGCTGCTGCACCGCGACCACATGGGCCGCAACCCGCTGCACCTGGCCGCCATGTCGGGCTACACGCAGACCATGGAGCTGCTGCAGAGCGTGCACAGCCACCTGCTGGACCAGGTGGACAAGGACGGGGTGCGTGAGGCGGCGTCGCCGTGGCCGAGCGGCTAAGGAACTGGCATGTTGACTGGTGGAAAGCGGGTTCAAATACTGCGATTATTTTTTTTTTCAGAATACCGCGTTGCATTTGGCCACGATGGAAAACAAGCCCAACTCCATTTCGCTGCTGCTGTCCATGAACTGCAAGCTGCTGTACAACTACCGCGAGCTGAGCGCCATCGACTACGCTATCTACTACAAGTACCCCGAGGCCGCGCTCGCCATGGTGACTCACGACGAGAGGTGAGTGTTCGTCCGTCGTGCTCCTGGGCGAAGGCCTCGGCTTAGGCGATTGTCGCCGACGCGCTGTGACGCGGTGCTGCTTGGTGCTGCTGCAGGGCCCAGGAGGTGCTGGAGCTCAAGTCGGACAAGCACCCCTGCGTCACGCTCGCCCTGATCGCCGCCATGCCGCGCGTCTTCGAGTCCGTGCAGGACAAGTGCATCACCAAGGCCAACTGCAAGAAGGACTCCAAGTCTTTCTACGTGAGTATGGCCAGCAAAGTGGGGAAAGCCGAAAAAAAATTCAATTCTGTTACTTGTTCAACTTGACCATGATGATTTGTGCAGTTTTGGGCGTTTTGGGTCGCGGGTTACTGTTTATTGTCCGGGCAACCCATGTGACGTGTTAATCACTTCCAAACAGCCCTTCTCGCTTAGTCGTGTACGCTGATGTGTTTCTTCTTCCTGTCACGTTGCTGTTAAATGTTCTAACAAAACTGACAGATGTAAACAGTGTACATAGTGTGCTCGTAGTTAATGCAAACCAGTGTGACTACTATCTAAAACCCGCACCGGCAACACTGTACAGTCAACTGAAACAGTCAGTCGAAAGACACCGTTTCTGAACCGTTCTGCTTTGAGCTGACCGGCACGTCGTTTGTTGGACACAAACGTCGGTGCTGTGTGTCGTCGTGTCCGAGTCCCTCCCCCTGGGCCAGGCAAAGCAGAATGCGACCCTGTTGGCCCGCTTGCCCCGAACGGCCAGACGGCCTGGTGGCGTCTCGCTTCTCGGCTTGTCCTTCCCCTTCGCCCCGTTCACCCCGATGTCGTCCCTGCCGCACAGATCAAGTACAACTTCGACTGTCTGCGCTGCCCGCCCATGCCCCCTCCGGAGGGCGGCCACCCCGCCGACAACCTGCTCAACTCCCAGCAGCCCTCGCCGCTGCCCGCGCTCAATGTAAGTGGGCCATGGGCTCCTTTCGCGTGTGCCCGTCACTCGCTCGCAGTGCAGCGCGGTGAGTACCAGGAAGACGAGGACGACGACGAGGACGACGACGCCCCGCTCCCCAAGGCCTCCCCTCACCCGCCTCGCCCGCTTCGCACGCAACCTCCACCCCGGCTTGCCCTCTAGCGCACCACTCGCATGTCAAGGCTTTTTTGTGTCTCAACCACTCTTTTTCTACTCTCCATTTTTTTTTCCACTTTTTGGAATTGTTTTTTTTTTATACCTCAGATGATTTTCCGGGCAGGAAATAATCCCTTTTTGATAGTCCCTCTTAGCTTGAAAAAAAAAGAAATTTGTGTTTTGGGTGGCTCACGAGTGATGGCCGAGCCGAGGACGTGGTCTAGTTCTAGCTGCACGTCTTAGTGGGCGCATGCTGCTTCTCCTGTCCCCAGATCAAGTACAACTTCTTCCCGTACACAATGTCCCAAAGCAAGCTGGCCAAGTACCGCAAGGAGCTGGCCAACCCCAGCTGGTACCCGCCGCCCCTCAAGACCATCAACGTGAGTAGTAGTCGGCGCGTAGTGTGTGAGAGCCTCGTTGAGCGTACCGGCTCGGCCCGGACGGGCGGGCCGGGCGCTGACGCGGCGCCCTGCGGCTGTGCAGGCCATGGTGGTGCACGGCCGGGTGGAGCTGCTGGCCCACCCGCTGTCCCAGAAGTACCTGCAGATGAAGTGGCACTCGTACGGCAAGTACTTCCACCTGGCCAACCTGCTGCTCTACTCCATCTTCCTCGTCTTCGTCACCGGCTTCTCCACGGAGCTCATGCAGTTCATGCACGAGCACGACCGCCTCAACAACAACCTCACCCAGGAGGGCGACGCCACCACGCCCAGCGGTAGGGGCCACAGTCGCTGCCATTTCCTGTTTTGTTGTTTTTTTTGTTTTTTTTAAAGGGCGCAATTTTTAAAATCCTTACTTGCGTGCAGATGTCGCGCCGGACGAGGAGTCGCCTTGGACGCACGGTTCGCACAGGAGGTTCGGCCACCGCGAGAGCAGGCTGAGCGCGCAGGAGGTGAGTCACATTTACAGTGCGTCGCTCTGTCTCTCTCGCACGCCAACGCGACGCTCCACGAGCGCGAGCGAGAGAGCAGAGTGACAGAGCGTGGTTGACGGTGTTGGTGACGGTGTTGGTGACGGTGTTGGCAGCCGCGGCCCCGGCCCTGGCACCTGGAGGAGAAGGAGCAGCGCTTCGTGGGCACGCCGCTCATGTACGCCTGCTCCGTGGTGATCGTGACGTACGTGGCCATCCACACGGTGCGCGAGATGCTGCAGCTGTACCAGCAGCGCGGCGCCTACCTGCTGGACCCCAGCAACCTGGTGCCCTGGGTGCTGTACCTGGCCGCCGCCTACACCGTGCTGCCCATGTTCGCCGGCGTGCTGAGCGAGCAGCAGGTGTCGTGCGCCTCCATCATGGTGTTCCTGGCCTGGTTCAACCTGCTGCTGTTCCTGCAGAGGTACTGTTGACTTCTCTCACAGTGAAAAACACTTTTTCCAACTTTTTTCGATTTTCCACTAGGGGCTTGTGGCTCGGGAGTGCCCTGGCACGGCCGCAGCGGGGTGTGGATAGGAAAACTAATTAAATTGCTTGGCAGGTTCGACCGCGTGGGGATCTACGTGGTCATGTTCCTGGAAATCCTGCAGACCCTCATCAAGGTGCTGCTTATATTCTCCATCCTCATCATCGCGTTCGGGCTGGCGTTCTACATCCTGCTCTCTCGCGTGAGTCTCCCTTCAGTGCGGCAGTGCCAACTTTCCGCGGGAAGTACGAAAACTGAATGGTCGTTTTGTGTTCGGTCCCCAGGGAAACCACCTGTCGTTCGGCACGGTGCCCATGTCGCTGCTGCGCATCTTCTCCATGATGCTGGGCGAGATCGACTTCCTGGGCTCCTACGTGCAGCCCTTCTTCCTGGTGCACGACGCCGAGCCCCGCTGGCTGCCCATGCCGCTCACCACGTTCCTGGTGCTGGCCGTGTTCATGGTCATCATGCCCATCCTGCTCATGAACCTGCTCATCGGTTTGGCCGTCGGCGACATCGAGAGCGTGCGCCGCAACGCGCAGCTCAAGCGCCTGGCCATGCAGGTACAAGCCTTGGCCGAGTGCACTAAGGGAGTGGATGTCTAACTCGTGACACGGGTTCAACTCTTCCCAACGCTCTGTTTTTTAAGCGGTCTTGCTACCGCTTCTAGCTCTGCATCCGATCCCACTCATCCCATCCCATCCACCCATCCATCCATTCAGCGCGCTCGGGCTCGGAGGGGACTGCATGGTCGTGTTGGTCGTCGTCTGTCGTCGTCCTGCGCCGCCGCGCCGCCTCGCCAGTCCCCACTCCTCACAGCCACCCCCACCCTTCTTGCCCCCTCTCTGCCCGGCCTCCCCGGCCGGTCCACGGCAAGACCGCTTTGCTAAGCTTGCCTTGGCGGAACTTTTTCTTCTCTAAAATGGCCTGTTGACAGGTGGTGCTGCACACCGAGCTGGAGAGGAAGCTGCCGCGGTTCATGCTGGAGAAGGTGGACAAGATGGAGCTGATCGAGTACCCCAACAACGAGTGCAGCCGCATCGGCTTCGTGGACACGCTGCTGCGCAAGTGGTTCTGCAGCCCCTTCAACGACGACGGTCAGCATCAAGACAAAAACAAGCGGCCGGAAACAAACATCAATTATGAATTTGCTGCTTCGTCTTTTTCTAGATTTGGACTCGACCATCCCCGACCTTAGCGAGGACGTGCTGAGCGAGGAACTGATGAAGACCAAGCAAAAGCTCAAGGAGATAACCACGGCGCTCGAGACGCAGCACATGCTGCTGAGGCTCGTCGTGCAGGTACGTGCTGCGGCCTGTGCGGCCGCGGTCGCCTTCCTCACGCTCGCACTTTTGCCTCACTTGTTTGTTTTTTTTGGCGCCAGAAAATGGAGATCAAGACCGAAGCAGACGACGTGGACGAAGGCGTGTCCTCCAAGGAGCTGAAGCCCGCCTCGGGCAGCTCCAAGTGGACTTCCCCGCGAGTGCGGAAGAAGCTACGCGCCGTGGGCAGGAGCTACAGCAAGTCCGCCTCGATGTAGTGCGTCGCCATGGCGTCGCCGACGACAACTGACTTGGGAGAGAAAAGTTTTCGTTCATGACAGCTGCCAGGGCGTAGGCGGTACGTGGCTGTCCCTTTTACATGGTTATCTACAGTTTACGAGTGCGGCGTGCATGTGCTGCGTGCCGACTGCAGTGCGCGTACACTGCAGAGTGGGCAGTATTAACGAGTGATCCTTGACACTTTGTCAATTTCTTAGTGTCTAGAAGAAGAAACACAAGGAATTTAAACTTGTGCCGAGCGTGTGTGATAAGCGTATGTGTTGTCGATGGCAGAGAGTGTGGTGGCGGGCGAGTCGGAGTGATAGTGGCGTATCAATGAAGAAAATGTGTGTTATTTATCAATTTTTCTATTTATTGGATGAGTCAATCTTAATCATATACGTAAACCTTAACGTAATCGAGTCTAGATCAGCGAAGGAGATAACATTGCTGTAAAGCGATCAACTTCATGTTTGTGCAGAGTCCCGCCCTTTCTTGGCAACGATGAAACATGTTACAGGGCATTTCATTACTCTGGTATTCTCTTTTTCATTTGTGAGGTGGTTGAATTATCGTCAAGACAATTAACCTGTCGACGATTTATGAGAAACTAAAGAGAAATACGTGGTTAATGTCGGTTTAGGTCATTGACTGCTATGGATGTGATGTAAGGGAAGGGGAACTAGTGTACTTTTGTCACGTGTTTGAATTGGTGATACACCCACTTACAAAAATAAAATAATGCGTGAAGCAAAATGGAGAATTCCTAGTCCTTATTCCGTCCACCTTTTCCTCCTATTTCGGATCTCCTCAATCAATCTGTTAAAATGACGCAACTCTCCATTGAGGAACACCAATCTGTTAAAATGACGCAACTCTCCATTGAGGAACACCTTGCGGCTCAATCTCCCGGCGCGTGTCAAACTGTACCAGCCATCCGTAGTCCATCGAAAACCAATCAACTGCGGCAAAGCATGTCATTGATTGGGCCAGTTAATCGCTGGGATCTCCGTGAAAGTTGGGCAATATAAAAAGTGCTTATCGGTGCCAGCTTGTTGCCGCGGTGTTGTTGGAGGCCTTGTTGACGTCCGTGCAGAGCAGAGGCGGCACCGGCCTTAGACTTAGCGGCCTAGTATTGGCAATCAGCCGAGAGTCTAAATTCCTCAGGGCAGGGTGGGTCATTTACTGCCGTTCCGGCCGTTTCAAATTTTCACCGCTTTTGTCTACACGGGAAAAAATCTCCAATTCTCTCTTTCCTGTTGCACCATGCAAAAAAAATAGTGTCGAACCGAGATGATGTTCTGATCCAGAACGACTTTTTGCCGAGTATAAACACACCGACCGTGGCCTCGCGTTTTGGCTTCGCGTTTGGGCTGCGCTTTTGACAGGCTGTATGGATGGCTCGCTGGGGCGTCGTCGCGTAACCCGCGTCCGCCGCGCACCTGCGGCGTTGTCACTGTCTCTCTCGCACTCATGGGGCGTCCCGTCTGGGCGCGAGAGAGACAGAGCTACGAAATGCTCTGTGGAATCAGTCTCAGGCCGCCAATCACAGCCTCGCTCACGAGCCTCACGAAGTGCCCCTGGCTGGTATTTCACGACGATGCGAAAGCAGAAAAAAAGACACGCCTTTGATTGAACCGGAGGGGTGGCGCCGGGTTCGATACATAGCCGTATCGCGAAGCCTGACGAATATCTGATTCCCTTAATTGGAAGTGGCGGTCTGGTACAGTGTGGACCGACCGGAGTTCTGGGAGGGGAGTGAGGGGAGGGGGTGGTGTCGGGGCTCTCGCAGATAGCCGCCATAATCGAGGCTCTTTGGCGCCCCCTCCTCCTCCGCCTCGGACACACCTCTGGCTGCCTCTGGCGTGGTGGTGGAGGCCGCCCGGCCGCGGTCACTCCACTCCGGCGGTGGCAGTGAAACGACTGGCACGACCAGGCACGACACCCCGACGAGGTAAAGTCGCGGCTCTGCACCTCGGCGTCGTGCGATAAGGTAAGTCCGTCGGCGTCGTCGCGGTCGCTCGCCAGCGGGCTGGTGCCGCACCGTGTTTTCGTCGCGCTGTCTCTCTCACGCCCCATGAGTGCGAGAGAGACAGAAAGCCGAAAACACTGTTGGTGAGCATCGGCGTGGCGGTAACCCCATTAGCGCGGTGCCGCGGTGCCGGTCCCTCGCATACAGTGTCGAAGCACGCGCCGCGCGGGGCGGAGCGCGGGACGGCAGAGCGGGCACAAGGCACCGAGAGGCTGACCGACTTGTTTACCACTCAGGCACACCGTCACCGTGACCACGGCCTGGCCAGAGGCTGCGAGCAGAGTGACGAGCTGAGCGACAGCGCGTGTGTCAGACAGTGTCAGCGAGTGTCAGTCAGCATGGCGGCCGTCGAGAGGAAGCAGCCCAAGGAAGGTAGGCGCGACATCGGAATGGCTTTGGTTCTTGTTGGGCTGCGGCAGGCTGCGGCCGGCAGGCTGGTTCGTAAGTTGAAAAGCCTGAGAGAACGCCTCCGACTTTAATGCGGCAAGTTTGTTTCTCGCTCGCCGCGCGACGTGTGTAGGTGTGTGTGTGTGTGTGTGTGTGTGTGTGCGGGCGTCTCGGTGCGCCGCCCCTCCCCATCCTTCCCCCCACACGTCAACTGCGATTGAAACACTCAAGGTCGCGTCCGTGGTATCTGCCTGGACGGACTGCCGATCCGTCCGCTCCTGGACTCGAGCGGCTCGAGGAGGCTTTGAGGAGGTCATGCCGCGGCGCACCGTCGCCGCCACGCTTGGTTGGCCTCGACCGTCAATGCTTGACCTCACTATCGGCAAACCGACTGGTCGGTGATTTGTCGTCGTTTGAGGGACGCGTTGCACCGCAGCACGCGCACTCCGGTGGTGGGGCGAGGGGGCGCGGGGCGGCGCGGGGCGTGTTGCCGCTCACTCACACCTCCTGAACCTCCTCATAGCGAGCCAACGCGACATCTCGCGCGCGGGTGGCAGCGAGTTATTAGCTCTCCTTTACGGCGAACACGTCAAAGTGAAGCGCGATGCTGTGGCTTTCTTCAACAGCACTGGCGCCGCACTGGCGCTACACCGCACAGCAACAAAGCGTGGGAAAGTTTCCCCAGAACGCTTCAGGCGGCACTGCCTTGGCACTGCCACGCCTCAGATTCGCCACCGAACGGCGGGGGAAAGCGGCAGGAACTGCGGTGGTTGGAGTGATGAGCACGTCTTTACGGTGTGTCAATGTCAATTAGCTTTAGTGAGCGGCGTGATCTCCGCGGCACTTTGAATAGAAAGCCGGGGAATGCTGTTTGCGAGATAGCGGCAGATGGGCGGCGCCCTGCGCGCCCTGCGTGCCCTGCCGCTCTCGATGGTGTAAATATGAGCCGCAGCCCCTTCAGTGCTGCCGCCCTGCTGCCTATCTAATCTGAGGGGCGTGCCCCTACCGTGCCGTTTAGCCGTGCCACTGCCGCCTGTTTTTGTTTATATTTTTAGCCTGTCTAAACGCTTTTTTCCTGCCCCGACGCCGTGTCGCGCAGATGGCGGCCAGGACGGCGGCGAGGACGCCTACGGCTGGGGGATGCGCCAGGTGCAGGTGGGGCTGCTGTTCGGCGCGCTGTCCATGGCATACGTCTTCCGCATCAACCTGTCCATCTGCCTGGTCGAGATGACGGACATGAACAGCACCCGCACCGTCAGTGTCCGACAGGTCTTTGACTTCCACGCGACGAGTGCGAGCGCGCCGCTAACCCCCTTGCCTGCCTGCCCCTCCAGGACGTGGTGTTCTACGACTGGAACGCCAGCGAGCGCGGCCTTATCCTGTCGTCCTTCTTCTGGGGCTACATCGTGACGCAGGTGCCGGCCGGCATCCTGGCGGTGCGCTACGGCCCCAAGTGGTTCCTGTTCGTGGGGGTGGTGGCGTGCTCCGTGCTGAGCGCGCTCACGCCGCTGGCCGCGCAGTGGGGCGGCTGGCAGCTGGTGCTGGCGTGGCGCGTCATGCAGGGGCTGGTGCAGGGCTTCATCTACCCGTCCTCGCACGCCATGCTGAGCCGCTGGGTGCCGCCGCTGGAGCGCGGCCGCGCCACCGCCATCGTGTACAACGGCATCTCGGTGGGCACGGTGGCGAGCATGGCGGGCGCGGGCGCGCTGTCCGCGTCGCCGCTCGGCTGGCCGTCGGGCTTCTGGGTCCCCGGCGTCATCGGGCTGGTGTGGGGCGCCGCCTGGGTACTCCTGGCCGCCGACGCGCCCTCCACCTGCAAGCGCATCAGCCCCGCCGAGCGCGCCTACATCGAGAGGGCCTTCGGCGACACGTCCAGCGGCCAGAAGGTGGGTCCTGGCCGCCTGGCCCGGCACGGCGCATGGCGCCACGCCACCATGCCCCTCGCCTCACACCGCCATTCCCTTTGCAGAAGCACCCCGTGCCCTGGAAGGCCATCATGACGTCGCTACCCATGTGGGCCCTCATCATCGTGCACTCCGGGCAGAACTTCGGCCACTGGACGCTGCTCACGGAGATGCCCGCCTACATGAAGCAGGTGCTGGGCTTCGACATCGAGGCCAACGCCGTCTACTCGTCCCTGCCCTACATCTGCCTCACGATCTCGTCGCTGTTCGTCAGCTGGTTCGGCAAGGTCGTCAATGAGAACGGCTGGCTGTCGCTCAACGTGTCGCGCAAGACTTTCCAGAGCGTCGGTAAGAAGTCCGAGTTCACCCCCAGACCGGACACGGACCGAAGCTTCCCACTTTTGACCCCCGCCGTTCCACTTGCAGCTCACTGGGGCTCCGGCGCGACTATGCTGGTGCTGGGGCTGGTGAACGTGTCCTCGACCATGGCCATCGTGCTGCTGTGCGTGGCCGTGGCCTTCGAGGCCGGCACCCTCACCGGCTACCTGTGCAACCACATGGACATGTCGCCCAACTTCGGCGGCGCCATGATGGGCGTCACCAACTGCCTGGCCGCCGTGGTGGCCATCATCGCCCCGCTGCTGGTGGCCGCCATCACGGGCGACTCCGAGAAGTTGACGCTCGAGGTAAGCGGCCTGCGTCTGACGGCCTGCGTCTGACGGCCTGCGTCTGACGGCCTGCCTGCGCGGGGCGACGCGGGCTAACCCGGGCCCTATCGCTGGGGGCGCTGGCAGAGGATCGTCTTTGGTCTCATGTTGGTCCCTGTTCTTGGCTGGCCCTCAGCCGACCGGGGAGGCAATCAACAGTTCTTGATGGGTTCCTCAATCAAGTGTTGTTACTGCGCGTCGCGCGACCGCCAGATAAGCGCCTCTCGCGGAATGATCGACTAATCGCTTTCCGCAGGAGACCACCATGCGGTGGAACATCGTGTTTATCCTGGCGGCTGGCGTCTACTTCGTCGGCAACCTGCTGTGGGTGCTCTTCGGCTCCACCGACGTGCAGCCCTGGAACACGCCCAAGCAGGACGAGGAGGAGGGCCTGCACTCAGGCTCAGGTGCGTGCTTACACCACAAAATATTACTATTTTTTACTATTCGCTATAATTTAAACCCATCCTGGTTTCCTTTGTTTTTCCTACAGGCGACACCACTGCCACAGTGGAGGAGCACTGCAAGTGATCGCGACGAACTCCTCTCCTCACTGAGAGGGTAATGATCGACACCTGTGCAAGCTTCGCGGGCGGGTTAAATCTAGTCATTGAGAAAGCTGTGATTTTGTGGGTAGTTCGGAATCGCTCCGCGCCGCTCCGCGCGGGCCGCGGGGCGGGCTAGTGGGTTGGTGCAAGCCCCTGTGCAAATGGTTTGATACAGTTGATGAACGCTGCGAGAGAGGCCACTCAGAGAATGACATAGGAAAAGAAGGTTTATGGATGAAAAAAAAAGACTACTCCGTACGATTAATTGTATGAATGATGTTTTTATTAATTTTTCTTCGTGAGCAAAGTGTACAAAAATAGTTGTCTAAGAACACAATTTTCTTAAATTTTGTATACATTTGTTTGTTTTTAATTTTTGTAATAAAGAAAAGCGATATTCGTAGACGGTCACTCCACCGTATGTCCACGAGGACCAGGGCGCTGTCCATGCTCACAGCCTGCTCGGGTTGCCGGGGACGGGGACTCCCACCAGCGCGCAGCTCTTCTCGAAGACGACGCGGGCCAGGTCCGCGTTTCGCGCCTGCGCCGACGGCGCCACTTCCTGTGCACACAAACACACGACAGGATGACGGGCCGGCCTCCAAAGGCTGAGAGGAAAGGCTAGGTTAGGTTAGGTACCTTGCAGTCGGAGAAGTACTTCCCCGTGACCGCCTCCACGTCCTCGGACACCGCCAGGTAGATGGTGGTCTGCGCACCCTCCTCTGTGCTCTGCAAAAGCGCGGTACCGATGAGCAAATTTGGAGAGCCGCCGACTCCGGGCCGCGTTCCAACTACCGACCTTCATGAAGAGGCGCAGGACGGACTTGACGAGGGCCCGCGGCAAGCTCGGCAACCTCTCCCAGATGTCGGTCAGCACGGCCCCGGGGTGGAGGCTGTTCACCGTCACGCCTGCCAACAGTGCCAACGCATGAATACGTTAACATACATCGCGCATTGGGATTCCGCCCTGCTCGGCTCGGCGGGCGGCCCGCGACAGGGCAGGGCGTTGGTGTGGCTCGTGCGTGGGCCGGGCACACATTGCGCCGTGCCAGCGCCACGCGTCGTACGCCGCCGCCGCTTGGGTTGCCTACCCGCCGGTCCGCGGGCGTACGCGGGCGGCTGCGGCGGCTGCGTCCGCTACTTGGCGGCAGCAAGCCGCAACGCCACTGCCAGACGCGGCAAGGCTGGGCGAGGCAGCACCTCTCCGATCATCTCTCGTATTGGGCGAGCGGCGAGCGGCACACAGTGCCGGGCCGACCGCAGCTCCACGCCGACGGCTGCGAAAATGCACGACCCGCGTTCGCCCCCCGACCGAGACACCCGCCAGGCCACCGCAAAGTAGTGGAAGTCGGCGCCGAGCCACCAGCTGCCACGCTGCGCTACGTACCCGAGCCGCTGAGGATCTTGGCGAGGTGGTTGGAGGTGAGGATGTTGCACAGCTTGGTGTTGGAGTAGGCCACCAAGTGGTCGTACGGCACCAGCTTCTCGTGCACCAGGTCGTTTACGTCCAGGCGAGCGTACATCAAGTGCATCATGGAGGACACGAACACCACCCGCGCCGGCGCTGACCGCTTCAGCAGGTCTGCGGCACACGACACACGCGCACAGAGTCAGCGACGCGCCGAATACACGGATGTTGGAGGGCGTGAGTAGTGTAGTGCCCACCCAGCAGCAGCACGGTGAGAAGGGTGTGGCCCAAGTGGTTGATCTGCACGCACAGGTCGAAGCCGTCCGCAGAGCGCTTGCCCCGGTTGCCCGGCATGCCCGCGTTGTTGACGAGGATGTGCAGGCTCGGCTCGGTGGTCACGATCTCCTCCGCGAACTCGCGCACCGACTTGAGGCTGCTCAGGTCCAGCGGCCGGACCTCCACGCTGGAGTTGCCCGTGGTGCGGATGATGTCCGCTGCGGACGGAAGACAGGAGGGTGTCGGTGAGGCGTGAGGCGTTCGCGTGGTGGCGGCGCGCGCCGTCCCTCGCGCGGACTTACCCTTGGCCTCCTCGGCCTTGACGAGGTTCCTACACGCCAGGATGACCCGGGCGCCGCGCTGCGCCAGGTCCCTGGCCGTCTCCTTGCCGATGCCTGCGCCGAGCGGAAAGGCGATGCAAACCAAATGGCCACTCCGGACTGACGCACGTCGCGCACGTCCCATGAGTCACACGTACCCGAGTTGCCGCCGGTGACGATGGCCGTGAGCCCGTCCAGGCGGCGCCGGCTGTGGCATCGCCCCGTCGTCAGCTTGAAGTACAGCTTGACGGCGAGCAGCACCCCGAAGAAGCCCACGAGGCGGGGGTGCCTGTACAACCTCTCGCACAGCGCCTCCATGCCGACCGGGCCGAGCAGGCCCAGCACCTGCGACACAACGCGGTCTTCAGAGCGCTGACACGTCGGTCGGACACTTCACCTCAACGAGTCTAGCCGCCGGGGCGGAGTGGGGCGCAGCCTCGCGCGCAGCCCGCAGCGGCCGGAGCGAAGAAGGGGAGGTGCTATCGCCGACGGGACGGGGCAAAGTGCACCCAAGTGCACCTCGCTCTTTCTGACATTCCCCGAAAGAAAATGAAAGGCCCGGGCTGACCCACGCGCCGTGCGCCATGCACCCCACTTTCCAACCAGAAGTGCGCTGCCCCGAATACATGAATGCATTTGAATTACTTTTTGAAACAAAATCGAAACGCTGGTGCACTTTCAGAGTCCGGGCGACACGCACCCGCGGCCCTCCGCGGTAATAACACGCAGTCCCTTACGGCAGCCCGGACTGGCGTGGTCTGGCCGTGTGAGGGGCCGGCCCTCTATGTTGTGTGCGGTAGCGTCCTTACGCATTTACAATGCAAAACAAGGCGTCTCTGAGGGCTGGGTTCCGTGAGGAGGAACTACCAACAGCCATGAGACTTTCTCATCAATATTGTTGAAAGGGAAAGTTGTTAAATTTCGACATACCATGAATTAATCATCCCACCTGTTGCCGTCCCGGTCACGACGGCAGTGCGGCGGGGCGCTCGTCGCGGTGCTCTTGGAGGAGGCGTTGCTCGTTCTGCTGCAGCCCCCACAGTGTGACGGCGTCGCACGCCCAGAAGAAGGCCCCTCGCAGCGCCCTCCACAGGACGGCCCAGCAGCGCCGGCACCTCCTCCTCTCCCTGGCGCGGGCCTCGCGGCGGCCCTGGCGGCGGGCGTCGCGCTCCGTGGACCTGGACCCGGTGGCGCTGGGGTGCGCGACGGCGACGTCGCTGTCCGACGCCTCCTTGCGCAGCAGGCGCCGACGCTCCGCCCGGCCGCTGGAACGACCGCCGTCGCGACGCATTCAACGGGGCGGGGTCGCGGGGCGCGGGCCGGAGCCGCAGAGACACTCCCTCGACGGCGACGCGCTGTTCGACCACTCGCGAGACCGGTCGCTGTCGGTGTGCGCGGCGCGGCCTGCCCGCGCAGTCCGTCTACTCCGCGTACTCCGTGCGACACTGGGGCGGAATCGGTAATTGGCTCATTAATGCGCTGACCCGCGCCCGCCCTGGCCCGGCAGCCCGGCAGTGTGGTGGCTCCTTTCGGTTCACGCACGCCGGCCAGCCCAGGCCAACCCGGGCCAACCTGGTCCCTAGCGTCCCAGGTCGGCGTGGCCTTTGACAGCCAAGTGCCGGTGCTGGGCCTGCTGGGTGGAGTGCAGCCCACCGCGCTGTTTGTTTTCGCAGTGGCCCGGCGCCTCGCCACTGCGAACCGTAACCGTACTCCTGGACCGGAATAGCCACGCAGTACATAGCGCGGCGCGTAGCGCTTGGCGCGCCAAATGACAAGTAGCCTCGCTTTGCCGGCTTTGCCCCAAAATTTTCCGAGCTCGTATACACGGCCCAGAGCAAGGCGTAGCGTCGCGTAGCGGACCCAGCGGGCCAATTACGAATAGTGCTTTCAATTTACCCGAGCGGGGCGCCCTGTAGGGGCGGGAGAGTGAAAGAGCGGAGAGGCACTGTTCGGAACCGGATTACAAAATGGGACTCCCGCCCAGAGCGAGCAGATCCCATCCCCGACCACGCTTGTCGTGGTCCCGTGGTCCGACCAAACACAAACTGAAAAGGTTGAGAGCGAAATTCGGCGCGCCAAGTGTGCGGGGTGTGCGGGCGTTGCCCGCGCTGCGTGGCTAAGATCAGTGGGCCAGCAGTTCCTGGCGGTGGCGGCGGCAGGGCCGTGTCCGGTTTAGTTCGTCCCCCCTTCCCTCCCCCTCCTCGCTCATCTTCGGTCTCTCACGCGCGCTTTTCTCAGTCGCGTGGAGCTCGCTGTTCCTGGAGGAGCGTTGGGCGCCGCGTAGAGAGAGGCCCCGGCCGCCCGCGCGGGCCCGTCCTCTCAGCTGTTCGGGCGGCCGCGCTTGAAGCGGCCTGGCTGGCCTGGCTGGCCTGGCTCGTCGCGCGTCCTTGTCGCAGCGTCGCGCGCCCGGCGGCGGTGGCAGCGGCGTCCCGACGTCCGCCCGTCTGACGATCCGACCGACGCCGCGGCCGCGTCTGGCGGCGCGACACCCGCGACACACCTGCAGCGGCGACGCGGCGACGGTGAGTGTGCAAGCGTCCCGGCGCCTACCGGCTCATTCCGCGCATTACCGCCGTCACCTCGTCTCTCTCGCACTCGCGGGGCGTCCCGTATCGGCGAGAGAGACAGAGTGACGGGATGAGTCTGCTGCACGGGGTGCACCCGCGGCGAGTGAGGAATCGTTTTCGCGTCGCAAACCGCACGCTGCGCGACGCCCATCAAAGCGATTCCGGCGCGCGAGTAAACAGCAATTTCTCATAATCTGTCGATCTCGCGTGCACGACGCGTCTATATTGACGCGCTGAATGGGGAATGCATCGCGCCGCCGCACGCAAGTGTCGCCGCGATAAGATTTCATTTCGATGGCTTTTAACTTGGAACCTGCGCGGCAGGTGGCAGCGGTAGCCGAGCGGCCGGCGCGGCGAAGGTCATCGGGCCCCGGGTTCAAACCCTGCCAAAAAAGACGCTGCCGGCCTGCTTTCCGCACTACCGCGCGCTACTGTGGCGCTTCTCCCGGTTTTATACGCGGAGCCTCGGACTCGAAGCGAAGCACGCGAGTGACGCGACGGCACCGCAGGCGTGGCGTGCACGGCGTCACGGCGAGCCGTGCCGGGTACAGTCCGCCTGGCGTGGCATGGCGTGGCGTGGCGGCGGGCGTGGCGATGTCCTCGGGGCCGTCGGAGCGGTCTGGGGCCAGGGCTGCCCGCGGCCCGCGGCCCGGCATGCCGGCCGGGCTAGGCCGGCGCTATCATTACCCCCAAGATCATGGTACTCATTTCGGCCGTCCGCGACTGACTGCTGGTTGCTGTCTGTTGGCAGTGCTTTCAGAATTGGAAGCGGGAAGGCACGCGGACGCCCAGGAGGGAGGAGGCGCGCCTAGGCGGCCTAGGCGCACGAGGGACCATGGGTATGTTGTGCGAGACAAGCAGCGATGGCCGTCGGGCGGTTTCCCGAACCTAGATTCTTATACGTTTAGTATTCACGAGCACGCGTAACAGATGCCCCCAAAGCGCGCCTTTGTGGAGCCTTGCTTTGTTTGGACCTTAACCCGCCTTTGAACCCTTTCTTAAAAGACACGCCAAAGTCCGCTAGACTCATAGGGCCGCACAACAGTCTACCCAGACGCAGCTGCTTTGCTGCAGGCTCGGGATCGTCCTCGTCCTCCAGGATGCCCGCGGCGACGGAGAACGGCGACGTCCGCGCCGACGTCGCCCTGGACGTGGACGTGGGCATGAGCGTGGACGTGCCGGTGCGAGGCGACCTGGAGAGCCTCAGCCCCGGCGCCAGCACCATCGTCCTCACACCGCGACGTCGCGATGCCGAGGACGCCCCCGAGGAGCCGCCGAGGACGCCGTCGGATGCCCTGGCCACGGCGCACGAGGCCCTCAAGCAGTGGAGGTAAGCCAAGCCCCCCGCGCGCCCGAACACACGAGTCCACGACTGCGGGGACGCCAGCTACAACGCCGTCTAGTGCCCTCTCAGACAAGCCGTCCGTGGACACCCGGGACGACGTCGGCGACACCGAGACCGCCACGGCCACCGAGGATGACGATGACAACGACGACGACCGGGACGCCGACGACCGCCACCAGAGCAGCAGCCCGGGGCCGCCGGAGTCGCCCGGAGCCCCAAGCAGCGGCGGCAAGGGGTGAGTCGCGGGGGTCTGCAGCTTGTTAGTCCCCCGACAGCAGACTCGTGCCGGGCGGCAGGTCTCTCTCGCACTCGTGCGACGTCCCGGATGGGTGCGAGAGAGACAGCCAGCTCGGCATGCAGTCTGCGCAGCATGCCGTCAGCAGATGAGGCTCATCGACTGGCCGCGCAGGCAGGGCCGCCAAAACAGGCTGGCCAGAGCAAAGCAGCAGAGCAGGCAGGCTGCCAGAGTCGATCAGGATCACCTGTTGACGCGATAATCGAGCCCGGGCCCCGCACCCTGCCTGGCTCCAAATCAAATCCCAGCCCCCACGCCACCCGTCCATGCCCCGGCAATCCAAGCCGCGGCCTGCCATGGCAGAACCGCGAACCACCTCGTTGAGGTTTCCTTCCTGTTATTTCTCTCGGCGTAGCTTTGACCTCGAAGCGGCCTGGGGCAGACAGAGCGGCGAGATGTCTGACGGCTCCAACCCCAACAAAGCGCAGAGCGGCACCAGCGGCACCCCGACCCAGGCTTAGAGCGGCAACGGCAGCCCATGGCCAACGTCAAAGGAGGCATTTTTAAGGCCTGCGCCGCGCCGCCACGCGCTTGCAGCGTTTGAAGGAGGCGGCGCGCGATCACGCTCAAACGCTCCGCTTCTCGCTTCGCCGTGCTTCGCAGTGCTTGGCAGGTTGGCACTGCAGCCAGCGAATGGGATACAGCTCCCCGGCAGCCCTGAGGGAAGGCCAGGAGGGCCGCGGAATGCGTTGCCCGTTGCCCTTGCCCCGCAGCGGAGCGCCGCGCTGGGTAGGCACCCGGAACGCGCCCGTGCGTGGAGGTCTGTTGGCTGCCTACGCGGCAGGCGTCTCACGGCAATGCTCCCTCTGCTCCCCAGCTTCATGATCTGCACGGTCATCTCCATCCAGTACGTCAAGCTGGTGGTGTTGCTGGGACTCGCCCTGCCCGTCAGCGAGGTTCTAGTCTCGGACATCTTCCCGCAATCTTTCGAAGTAAGCCTTTTTCTCGCCTGTTCTGCTTGATGCTCTCCAAATGTGAAGTTTGATTGTTGTTCACTTTGTGATGTGTGAAGCAAACGTTCTACCTGTACCTGTACTTGGTGAGCCTGCTCTTCATGCTGTACGTGTACATCGCCTCGGCGTGGCGACACAGAAGAAAAGTAACGGTCAAGCGTTATCGAGGTGATTTTGACTTGTTTCTAATGGAGGCACCATGGTTTTCACATTTGACTTAAGCGACCGCACTGTTGTTTGCAGGCCAACGCGGAATTCGATACCGACTCAAGGTCCTCCGACAGACCCGAGCGGTGGAGACTGTGCGCTATGGAAGCGTGTACCTTAGACTAGCAATGAACGGTAGGCGCAACAGCCGCAGTGATAGTATGCACTACAAGGTTTGTCTGATAGCACTCAGCAGAAAAATTGATTTGCAGCGTTTGGTATTGGTAGTATGATTTACTGCTGTCTGGAAGTCGCCCATGGGCTTGTGAAGTACCAAAACTACCATTGTGAGCAAGCAGAGCAGCAAGTGAAAATACTCCTCCCAGCATGTCGAGCAATTTTGACACTAGCACAGATGCACTTCATGCTTTTCAACAATAAGGTAAGAAAAGAATTGATTTTCTTGGTTTATTAAGGACTTTTTACATAAATTCAAACAAAGATCTCCATTAAAATGTATACAGGGTGTACACAATAACTTTGGCCAATCTTCTGGAAGAGGTAGTACAATTTTTTGTCTTATGTTCTACCTCCTTCAGATGTTTGGCCAAAGTTACTGTGAACACCCTGTATATTCATAACTGCTTAAAAAGAAAGATGTGACAGAAGTACTGAAAAAACAGTACATCATCGGCCATCAATGAATCAAAAGGCATGGGTATAAAAGTAATCATCAAACATTTCTTCATCATCATCATCGTCGTCGTCATCACCACTTGCATTGCCGTTGCTAGATGGAAAAGACATGATGTCGATGGGGGCTTCCTCTGAAATCACTCTCATAAGAGCATATCGGTAGTTTTTGAATTGTCTGTAAGTTAGAGGATACTTGTCAGCAGATGAAACTTAACACAAATCTGCAAGCAATAAACAACACACTGCCTTACCCATTAGTGATGTCGTCTACCAGAGAAGAATATCGCTTCTTGGCCACATTGAAGTGGCGAGTTGCAGTTCTTTCATTACTATTTGGCCACTTGAAGAAAATGCCAGCAACGATGTTAACAATGGAGCTGTGAGGGGCGAGTCTCAAGGCTTTACCAAGGGTTCGGTCAGCCAATTTTGTGTCTCTCACACGATAATCATAAGTCAAAACTCCAATGGTACACATTATGTTGACATACACAGAATTTGGCCAACTCTCCAGGGCAGTCCTAAAATAAATAAACGAAGAATGAGCAATGTCAAATCACGAGTTAAGATGCACAAATTAAGTCATTACTGTGGGGCCAGGACCCTGTCTTACTTGTAAAGTCGAGAAGATTCTTCGCGCTTTTCTGAGGGACCCACTTCTTTCTTTACTGAGTCGTAAAGAGATGCGGCAAGTCCAATGAAATGGGAGGGTGTATGTTCATCATAAAAATGAGCTAGTTGAAAACTTTTTAGCTCCTCTTCTGATGGAGGCCTCTCTTCAATAGATATGCATCGGAGTCTTTCATAGCGCAAAGCTTCTGCTTTGAGAAAATGCCAGTGACCTTCATGTTCATCGTACTTGATTGCTTGTTGGATAGTTTCCACAGCACGTCTATTTCCTGAAGTTGAGTGTTAACAAAAGGAGTTAACATAAAGGGAAAAGAACATGAAACGGTCTGTCAACACAAGAGAATTAAAGATACTCCTTACCCTTAGCACCATACTCCATAAGGCAGGCAGCATGAAGTGCCACAACCCCAGCTTTCTGTTTGGGCGTCATCTTTCTATAGATTGGTATTTCAGCCATATAGTCTTTGAAAGTATCAAACGATTCTGATTTGTCAACTAAATGCAACCATGTAGAGTATAATACATGCTTTATTCCATCTAAATTTCGGTCAATCAAGCCAGATTTCAAGAAGCATTGAGATTGTGAAATTATATCTTCACAGGCTAAAAGATGGTCTCGGGCAGCAGGAGGCTTACCCAACCGACTACTTTCAAAGGCTAAGACAAGGTGATACACGACCGATGACCATTCGCAATCAGAACAGCTCAGTTTGTCTTCCACTGTGTTCACAACCCAATGAGAACTGATGGGATATGGTATTTCCTTGTGCCATGTGAACATGCACTGGTACTTATCGAGGTTGGTCGCAGCTGCCATTCGTGAGGCCATTTTGTAACCTAGAAAACAATCCATAATATTAACATGATTGAAGCTATTAGCCTTGCCAGAAAACGGTGAGCACGAGGAAGATCTAGCATGATAAGGTCCAAACGACACATAACGCGAAATGGTGACAATAACAAAGCCTATCCACAGAGCGGACCGGTAACCACAAGTCTCACATCTTTACGTGACAAACTCCGAGACAAACGGATTACCATTTATAAGTGACGCTAAACGTCACTCACGGGAAAGCTCACATCTTTAAAGAATGAAATATCACTGAGATTGTCAAAAAATCTGAAGCCTAAATTCTGTTATGAAGTTACCTCTTGCGCTGCTTCCTTCACTGGGTTTTGGTTTTGCTCAACGAAAAACAAAAACAAAAACACAACACCACGTGGGTTGCTCGGGTCTGCGTACCAACTCTACCTCGAGCACGATGCACACCAGTTTTCACCCTTCAAGGATTAATTGCATCAATTATAACGTCTTAAATTTCTTTTGTTTTTATTTTTTTTACTGTTGTGTCGATTTAAATGCTTTCTATTCGAAAACAGAGCGTGTCGATTATTATTTTCTCGTGTGAGTGTTGGCTCTACAGCACATTCCCATTCCCGCCAGTCGACAGCCGCAAGTGCCCTTTTTCGAAGTTCCTCCCTTGCGTCAATGACAATTTTGTTTGGCAGGCCTCCGAAATCAGCCGACATCGCTGCATCTCTCGCATTGGCCTGGCGCACATGATTGCCACCAACATTTGCGAGTGGCTCAGTGTGGTTGTGGAAGAAACCCGGCACGAAATCGCAGAGCTCGGCACGGGCGGCCATGCTCTTGCCGACCGGGGTAGGTCTTAAAACTGTAGTTATTACCCAGACTCAGGCGCACCTTCAAGGTACCTCATTTTGATACCGTTTTTTTCTCAATTTCAGACGAACTGGACAGCTTGACCGGCAACTTCTCCAGCTTCGACTTTAACTCCACTCGGTCCACACCGCACCCGTGCGAGCCAGCCTCCGACTCGCCCGAGAAGGACGTCATCGGCAACCTGCTGCAGAGCTCGGGGCCCTTCCTGTTCCCGTGCACCATCGAGTACTCCCTGATCTGCGCTGTCATCCTCTTCGAAATATGGAAACATGTGAGTTGATGTCCGTGCCTCTCGGCCGCTCTGTGCCCGTCTGACCGTCCGTCTGAACGTCCGTCTGAACGTCCGTCTGAACGTCCGTCTGAACGTCCGTCTGAACGTCCGTCTGAACGTCCGTCTGAACGTCCGTCTGAACGTCCGTCTGAACGTCCGTCTGAACGTCCGTCTGAACGTCCGTCTGAGTGCCCGCAGGCAGGGAAGGCCGAGGACGAGGGAAGCGCCAGCAGGATGGGCAGCCGCCTGGACCTCAGCAACGGCAGCCGCAGCTCTCGCGTCGTGGACCAGGACCAGGCCTTGGACCCGGACACCGACGACGACATGGACTCGGCCGAAAAGAAGCGTCCCCAAGCGCAGTCCACGGTTTCGGGTTCGTAATCTGTTCCGGCTGGGAGTGGCGGGTCGCCAGTTTGAGCGTTGATGGCGTTATTGCGTTTCCAGGCGGGGGCACGGGGACGGGGTCGGTGCCCTGGCGGACAGCTCTGCACCTGTCACTCGACCTGACGCACTCGCAGCGCGGCATGTTCCTGGGCATCGTGCTGCAGGTGGCCACCATCATGTCCTTGGTGCTCTTCTTCGCGTTGGGCGAGGCCGACGGCTACCAGCGCGCCGCGCACACCCTCGTGTGCTACGTCGAGGGCAGCCTGCACGTGTTCGTCATCCTGGGCGTGGTCTTTGCCACCATCAGCATGCGCCGCCTGGGCGTGGACCGCGGTACGCAGTGCGAGTAGTGCGACTGTGTCGACTGTCGACGCGGACCGCGCGGACGCCACCGGCTGGGTCTCAAAGAGCCTCGTCTCTCTTGCAGTGCCCTACCACCCCCTGCCCATGGACATGTTCCTGCTGTTCGTGGCCCAGACGGGAGCGTACCTCTACTCCATCTTCTCCATCGTGGGGGCCTCCCTGATGGTGCTGCAGGACGAGGAGCCCACGCGCGCCAGGGGCGCCCTCAGGGTGCTTGTCGTCGAGGTGAGTCTGTCAGTCTGTCTCTCTCGCACCTAGAGGGAGCACGCCATGGGTGCGAGAGAGAGCCAAGCTAATCCCTGTTCCACGCGCATGACCCCAGGTGCTGTCCGTGGTGCACGCGGGCGTGCAGACGCACTTCCTGCTGCGCGCGTGGCACATGCGCTGCGTGGGCGAGCGCCAGTGGAGCAGCAAGCCGGGCCGCGAGTACATCACGTTCCTGATCCACGGCAGCCTGTGCTCGTGGCTCGTCGCCACCTTCTGCAAGAGCCGCGCGCAGTTCCGGCCGCTGCACCTCACCCTGTTCGGAGTGTGGCCCTGGACCGTCATCACCCACGTGTCCATCCCCCTCACCATCTTCCTGCACTTCCACTCGTCCATCTGCCTGTTCGAGGTCTGGAAGAACGTCTACAAGTTCCGCCCGGACTAGGCCCAGCGCGCACTTCCGGTGTCTTTAAATATTTATTGCTGTTTCCCCACTATTCATCCCAGTATTTCTCATCACTCGCCAATCTTTGTCTATTTTCATTTTATGTTCCTCCAGCATTCTTTTATATGTCGGGATTTGTATTTATGGATTATCTTGCCCAGTCTACAGATAGGGGTTGGGTTTTGCTGGTAATTTTCTACATGGTTCAGAACGTGGTTTGTGAGAGTGTAAATAAAGCACAGACTTCAATTATTAAGATTACAATTTATTTTCTTGTCAATATGAAAAATACACAAACACTAATAATTTACATAATTCAAATTTAACATTTATCTGAAATAGTATTTACCTCTTTAGTACAATATATATATATTTATAAACCCTTATCATTTTAATAACTACACTTACTTACATGCAGCTTTTTTCACAAGATTACAAGAAGGACTTACAAGAAACAGTCTTTGATATTATTTACATGGTTATTATAGATGTATTCTCTTAACTCAGTTGAAGGTAGATGACTACAATGACAGGCTGACTATGAAAGTATGAATAAATCTACATCAATGTGACCTTTCAGCACTCATTCAATCTGTGTGCATATTATCAGAACAGGAAAATGAATGCTTTCTTTGGTGGGACCTGTGATAAAAACAAAATCAACATCTAAGCGAACGCAGGAATTCAAAACTATATGTGCAGCATGCAAGTGACTAACCAATCAGAATTCATGCACATGAAAGAAAATTACTGTACAAAACCAAATCTAACTAAAAAATATTACAAAGAAAAACAAACCACTACAAGGAAGCCAAAGTACGTTCTTGTAATACTGCAATTATCTAAGGAAATGAATATAAGTTGACACAACAAAGCACAGCATTAGTAAGATGGACTTTGCTCCTTATTTGGCAGTGATAGCTTATATACACGTAGGTCCACCAAAAACAGTGCCATTGCATCACAGAAGCGTTAACAAGATATGTCCTATGTAGCTGATACATTTCATTAACCCCTCTTCAAAAAAAATGTACACACACACCACACAGCTAAATTAAAAAAATGAAAATAGTTTTGTTCTCTACACAGGGAAAAAAGGCACTCTCTGGCAGTAGTTACATATAATATATATTGTCGTGGAATATGTACAAAGTAGGCACAGTTAAAATAAAATCGCTAAGATAGCAGTGTATCAATAGAATGAGAAACAAATCCTGGAAATGAGCACCAATTGGAAAATCGAGCCGATCATTTGAACACAATTCTCAAAAATCTACAATACTTGGCAGTAATGAAAAGTGTTTCCAAAGGAAACTTAACTTTTTCACAAAGTAATGGCTGGTACTCAACTCGTGAGTTTAACTCCGAGATCACATAATTCTAAACTTACATTGAATTACTAACAAGAAAACTTACAACAGCTGTACAGATCCCCCTTTCAATATCTCCAGAAAAAAAACAACAATCCATACATGTCAGTGCAACTGTACAAAAGATCCAAACATTTACTTGACAAAATATGACCAGATCACTTGGTTACTCTACATGCAGTTTGAATTAAGTAAATGGTAATAAGAGCACATGTTTCAAACAAAACAGAAGGGAAAAAAATACTCGCTTAAAATTAAAAGAAAACCTGGCACAATGCTGCACAGTAACACATTTACACTTCATTAACGTTAGGTAAAGAGAAAGAAGAAAATCTTACGGCTAGGGGAATTGATCGCATAGATTTTCTTGCATTACACAATTACATCAGTCTTCCTGTCACTACACATAAAAGATACAAAAAAAAAAACAAAAAAAAAAAAAAAAACTGTCAAGCATATTACCATTCATCACAGATAGGCGCTAGTGTATTGACTACTACAGGACAAATCGTCCTGGAACAAGACGCACCGTCGCAGACAGTGTCGTCGATCTGGCTCGGGCTGCCTAAAGGGCTGCCCCCGCGGCGGCTAGTCAGCTGCATTTCACCCCTCGCTCCTGTCGCTCCCGCTCCTGCCTCGCCTTGGGGTCTGGGACTGGGAAGGTGGGCGCGCTTCCCGCTCCGTGGCCGCCGTGGCCGCCGTGGGCGCGCACGGCCTCGGACTTGGCGGCCCTCCTGGCGCGCTTGCGGCGCGCGCTGCGTTGCTGCCTCGCCTCTCGCTCGTACTCGTCGCTGTCCTCCTCGAGCCAGGTCCAGTCCTCTTCCAGCAGCCGCCTCACCCGCGCGTCCGCAGGCTTCTTGACGCGTTGGGGGCAGGGGGCGTGTCCGGGGCTGGGGGTGGTGGTGGTCGCACCGGGGGTGGTCGTACCGGGGGCGGTGGTGCCGGGGGCGGAGCCAGGGATCGTGCCGGGGCCTTGGGTCGACCGCGAACGGGATCGGGCGGAGGGGGCGTCAGGGTTGATGAGCAGCTCTTCGTCCGTGCTCTCGTCACTGCTAAAATCAAACACACTATAGTCAGTGACGTCATGCATGCTGGCCCGCCTCGGTGCTCTGGTGGGCACGTGGAGCTGCCTGTTGTCCTGCACAAGTACACTCAAACCAGTTTTAAGAGATGCTTTCGCTCGGGGAGAACGATTTGCTTTGCCTACCTCTGATTGCTCCTTTGCGTCAAGGGATGCTGGGGGTCCCTCTACAGCCTCTCCAGGCAGGGGTTGGGGGTCTCGCGGCAAGGGCGCTGGGACTGGGGCCGGAGCAGGGGCCTGGGCAGGGGTTGCTACGTGGGGCTGCTCCAGCGAAGGTTCCTGCGTCGTCGGCTGGGTCGGGTTGATGGGGACACCTTCCGCTCCAGTGGGTGCTGTAGTTTGGTTGGGCGCCTTGGCTTTTTTACTTGTGCTTTTCCGAACTCTCGGCTTGGGTTTGGGTTTCGCAACCTCCGTTGCACCATCGGCTCCTTTCTCACCGGCAGCAGCAGCTGCCGCCGCCGCAGCCGCTTTTTTGGCTTGAGTTTCTTTTCTGGGTGCTCTCTTTTTCTTTTTCGGTGCTTCAGCCCCAGGGTTAGCGGCACTGTTGGCTTCATCATTTTGTTGTTTAGATGAACTGCTCTTGTTTGCTTCATCAAAATCATAGACATCAATTTTCTCTTTCTCTGACTTGGCATCGTCACTTCCTTTGAACATACCACCCTTCTTACCCAGAAAAGAAAAGCGAGGCGTATTGTTCGGCATTTTTCGGACAACAGGAATGTTTATCTGCTTCTTCTCATTTTCTAGTGTTGGACCAAACACGCCAACAAGGGGTGGCTCCTTGGTTACCGTAAATTTCACAGCATCCACACCCCACTTGGCTTCTTTCGAACTTCCCTTGGCAGGCTTGCGAGTCTGGTTCAACTCTCTGAGAGCAGCTTCTGCTTTAATTCTCATTTCTTCTGTGCGCTCCAGGAGAGCTGACTCAACAGCTATGGCAACTTTCCTGTTTTTCACATCTTTGCCAAGCGGATGTCTTCCCTTCGGCGAGCTTTGGAGTTTTGTGTGGTTCTCTATCCATTTCTCAGCCTTCTCCGCTGTTTCAGAATCAATATGAGGTTCTTCTGCACCATCACCCTCCTCTTCATGTGACGTTCTGCGGTTGAGTACGTGTTCCATCCGTTGATGTTCCATCACTTCACTTGGTGTCTTGAAATTGATACCGCAGACTGCAAATGGTTGAAAAAAAGAAAAATAAATAAAAGAAACAGGAAAATAAATAAAGCAAGCTTAAAGAAAGAAAAAATACTAATTGGTTTCTATAATAAAATAATAAATAAAGACAAAACTAAAACAACTTTTTCAAAATAAAAATAGAAACACACTGCACTAAGTTGAGTGACGACACTCACTAATGCAAATGAACTACACTATAAGGCTCATGCACAAGCAACATCAATCTAACCTGAGCAAAGGAAGGCCCCATCCAATCCCACAGCAGGCTCCATACACGTCTCCATTGGGCTATCCGGCCGGGACACCGGGGCTGCAGGGGCCACAAAGCAACACATCAACACTACTGCACTACTACCATTTCATCAACAGTTTTACCGCATTTTCCAGCCAGATATAGGGAAACATTATTTGGAAATCACTTTCTTAAATGTCTCAACAAAATACTTTACACAATCATTTAGAAATACAAATAAGAAGACTTCACTGACCAAGACAACTTTGAAAACCATCAAATATCAGTTTCAAATTCAAACATGCTATGCTAAATAGTTTTGAGAGTAAATAATACATGCAAGTGAGAAAATTGGCTCTTGCTTACCTGATAAAATTTCTTGTGGTTGCTCGGGAGGGTCTCTCCTGTGCGACATCAAATGCCTCTTCATAGACCCCTCAAATGCAAATCTAGAACACAAAATGTGTTTATATGAATGACAGCAAAGAAAAGTAACATTTGCGCGAGGTTGCTGGGCGAATTTAAATGACAGTTACCTTTCATGACAGACAGGGCAGCCAAAGCTACCATCAATACCAGGGCTACTAGCTCCACTTGACCGGCGACGCATGCTGCCACCACTGCCACGTCTCATTCCAAGTTTTGCAGCAACAAGCTGGTCAACTAGCATACTTGTTGTAGGACCACCTCCTCCTCCGATAGTTCCAATACTAACGCCACTACCACTTGGCAGAGAGAGGCTTGATTGATGGCGCAATGCTAGTTTGCTTAAGATACCCAAAGTCAAGCGGCTGCACAGCATAAAAAAGAAAAAAAATTGAAATGAAAAACCTATTCTACTAGTTTAAAATACTACCTGTTTTACCATCATCCAACAAACCTTTTGTCTGTTTCTGAATTAGAAGCATTTGGTGCACATGACTTGCTCATGTAGCTCTTCAAGGCTCGGTCGAGTAAGCCACCAAGTGCAGAGGACATCTGAGTACGAAGTCCTTCACTGTTCCTAGAATACATTAAAAATGATTTATCATAAATACCCATTTGAGACTGCTAATCTATCTCCAATGCTGTGTAACAAATTATCAACACGTACTTGTTCTTTGGTTGTTCTGATCTGGGTGGATGCATCTCACTGTTGTGTTGTTGCAGAGCTTTTTCATCTGTAACCATTTCTTTGCAGACACTGCAACACAGGCGAGGTTCACTACTGCCTTCAGCAGATAATGCCAGAGAACGTCGTTCAAACTTCCGTCCTGATTAATAAAAAGTAAATTAGTAACAATAAAACCTAATATATATATGAAAAAAGGAAAAAAAGCCAGAAATGATTTTACTTACCAGCAGGCTCACCTTCACCTGAATGGGCATGGAAGCTCTCCATATGTTTTTTCATAGCAGCCAGACCCAAGAACCGGCGATGACACAAATGACACCACATTTGCTTGTCCTCATAGAGCTCGTTAAGGCTTGGACCAGTGGACAGCGAACCTTTAGACCGAGGAGGGGCATTGGCTGTGGATGTGGTAGCACCTAAAACCAACAAAACCCACAATATGAAAATAGGAGAGGTATTAAAACTCAGTTATAACTATCAGCTGTTTGAAAAAAATCAACAACTTACCGCTACCTGAGGAAGAGGATGATTGGCTGCTTCTAGATGAACCCGGTCTAGAAGACGGTAAGTAGGGCGCAGCTTTGGAGGCTTGTGCAGAACCTTCGGACCCAGATGATGGTCCAGCAATTGAGCGGTCGGATGCTTTCTTCTGATTGTCCAAGTCAAGCAGCTCAGCCTCCTCTGCTGGAGCCACTTGGTGGTGCGGCCCAATCAGCTCGCGCAAGGAGCCTTCCCCAAGTTGTCTCAGGACAGCCATCTCCTCGTCGTTGGCTCCAATAGCATGTTGCAAATCGCTCAATGATGTCACATCAGGGTACAAGGGAAGAGAATCTGACATGCCACCATCACCACTCAGCACTTGATTGACAGAATCCAGGATCGATCCCAGTCCCATACCTCCACTTGCTTCTTCTTGTGAGTAGGAGGGAATAACGTCTGGAATCCTCCATGGACCCCAGGAGTCTGTTCCTTGCCAATTTCCAGAACTATTGTAGTTATTATAGGATTGAGGGTGTTGCTGATTAGACGGTTGTTGATTATAATGTTGGTTGGATACTTGAGAGTCATAGGAATGACTAGTTTGTTGCGTTGGCTGCTGACTGTGGTCAAAAGTCTGCAATGTCTGCATAGCAGGCTGCGAATTTTCATCAAAGGGATGAGTTTGCTGAGGTTCCTGGTGATTGTAAGGTGGGTTTGGCTGCTGATGATCATACTGTTGGGGCTGGCCATAATGCTGCTGGTAATGATGACCTTGGTTGTAATTGTATTGATCATAATGCTGTTGATTATACTGACTTTGACTATATTGTGAAGCACCACCGACAGTCTGTTGCTCTTGAGAAGCCTGAGGCATTTCAGTGTATCTTGGTGCTTCAACAGCAGGTGCTTCATTGGAAGGAGCTTCAACAGCAGGAGCTTCAACAGCAGGAGCTTCAACAGCAGGTGCTTCAACAGCAGGTGCTTCAACAACAGTTGCCCCAACACTGGGCTCGTCAGCCTTCTGAGAACTTTGACTTGTGGCTAGAGATTCTCCACGCCTTTCCTTGCTATTGTCCTGAACGGGTACATCGGATTTGGGTTCTTGGTCCATTTCTGAGACAGGAAGTGCATTGGCATTTGTCAGGTCATGTGAACTGGTGGGTAAAACTTCAGGCTCTGGCATCTTCTCCCTTTCCTCAGAAAGTTTCTCACAATCAGAGGTCTTTTCCTTAGTTTGTTCAGAAGATGAAGACTCATCTTCAGCTGTTGGGCAACTAGAACCGGGAGGAACCTTCTGACTGTTGTTCTCTTGTGATTTAGGCTCTTCGCCACCTGCCACAACAGCATCAGGAAGATCAAAGTTGCCATCTGTACCATCACCTGTCTTGGTCTTGTCTTGGCTGCAATAGGAATTGAGATTTGACTTGTGATAGGCACTGGCAAAGTGCTTATGCAAGTTGAATGCAGTAGAATAGTGCCTTTGGCAAACAAAGCAGTAATAAGTAGAACTCTTCTGGGTCTTTTTTGGTTTGTTGTTAGTCTCTGGAGCTTCAGCAGGAGTCGGAGAGGCAGCAGCTGGAGGATTTTGACCAACATTTGCAGCTGGAACAGCGGCAGTTTCAGATGGGACTTGGGGTACATCTTCTATTAACGAACCATGATCATTTTCTTCAATGGAGTTTGATGTTGTTTCTTTCTGCGTAGAGCCATCAACAACAGCATCCATCTTTGGTCGTTTACTGGGCTGAGCCACCTCAGGTGACGCAGTAGCATCATTCACATTCTGATTATCCTCTTCGATATCATTAGACAACTGAGGCTTACCCTTGCTCTTCCTTTTGCCTTGTTTTTTAACTGATTGTTTGGAATTAGAAGTTGTTGAAGCCATGTCAATGGAGGCTGATGTGCTCTCAGTTTCAGATAAATCAGTAGAATTCTCCAGCCGAGACCTGCTACGCTTGCCTTTCGTAACTTCTGAACTATCTGATTCTGTGATGACACTGTCATTATCAGCTGAGTCAGCAGCACCATCATCAAGTCGTATCCGCTTTCCTTGATTATTTGTAGTAGCGGTACCATCTTCAAGAGATTCCTCCAGAACAGATCCACTTTTCATTCTTCTTTTACTTGACTTGGAATCACCATCAGATAGCTCCAAGAATTTCTTTGAGTTGATCTTTGGGGATTTTTCTTCTGAGTTGTCATCTTTATCTTCAGTAGGCTCAACTTCATCAGATTTTCCTTTAGCTTTCTTCTTTGACTTAGATTTGCTTTTGGTTTGCTTTGATGTGGCTTCAGTTATTGGAGCATCTCCTGAGGTATCTCCTGATGTTTCTGAAGGTCTGCTCTTACTCTTAGATTTGACACTCTTTGAAACAGGGAGGGAAGATGATGGTTCAGGTTCGATGACAAGTTTGGAACTTGTAGATGGTGTTGGAGTTGTGGTTGGGGTAGTAGACAGCTCATTAAAGCGTTTCCTGCTTAGCCTAGGAGTCAATTCGCCGATTAAGTTGGGATCCAGTTCGTTGACTGTTTCTGGATTTGGCTCCGGCATTGGAACAGGGGCTATGGACGGTGTTTTAGTTTTCTTTTTATTCTTGGACATATCACTACTTCTCTGAATTTCTTCTGATGAATCCTGAGTATGGTTGGCTAAATTTTGATTAATTTCTGGAAGTGTTCCTACGTCAGCAGATAACTTGATGCGTTTCTTGGAAGATTTCACTGATTGAGTTTCATCAGATAAAGCACGCGACTGAGAGTCCGCTTGCTCCTTTGATTCCATTTCAGGAGAGTCAACCTTTGCTCTCTTCTTAGAGCTCTTTGCTGAAGCACTAATTTCCATTTCAAGCTCAAGCTCAGATTCTTTACCCTTCTTCTTTCCACCCTTCAAATCTTGAATTTCAGGTTGGTTTTTCTCAACTTCTTTTGTCCTCAAACTCCTTCTCCTTGATGGCGAAACATCATCCTCATCGTCTTTAGGTTTAGTCACTTTGACAATGACTTTGATTGGAGGTGTCGCAACATCATTCAGCTCTTCCTCACTGGGTTTCACTTTCTTACTCTTGGCTTTACCTTTGTTCATTGAAGACTGCAGATCAGACAAACTAACAGCCATGGAAGTAGCTATTTCTTGAAGCTTCTTGATGGGAGTTCCTGAAGATTTCTTTCTGCTGGCTCTTTTGGTGCTTGCCTGCTCTATTTCTTCATCAGAACTTTCAGCTTCATTTGTTTCAACTCGAGCTACTTTTGAAGAGGCTTTGGGTTTGAGAGGGAGATCATCATCTGATGAATACTCTTCATTCACCTTTTGTTTGGGGACTAAAGGTAAGTCATCATCCGAGCTTCCAGATTCATCCCCCTCCAGAACTTGAGACAGAAGATCTAAATTCTTAATTTCATCAGGTGCCATTTTATCCAAAAGTTCTTCAAACTCGTCTGTATCATAATCAGCATCATCGTCCAGCACATCTGAGGCGGTCCTTTTCGAACCATGAGATTTACCAGTAGACTGTCGAGAATTTCGAGGGCTAACCATGGGTGAAGTAGCTGTCTGTGATTGCTGTTTTTCTGTAGAACCACCGGTCGTGGCACGGTCAATCCTCATCACAGGAATTTTGGCTGGGCTTGCATTTCTTGCACGAGTAAATTTCTTTAGGGGCAAATCATCTTCATCAATCACAGCATTTGCGTTGGCTGATAAACATCTAACTGATTTTCTTCTTGATTCATCATCCTCAGCAGCTGGAGTTGAACTTCTCACTGACCTTCTTTTACCTTTCGAATCGTGAGGGTTATCTTCATTTGGAGTGTCTGAAGGTTTCTGAACAATTTTTTCAACATGGTCACTTTTTCTTGGTTTTCTATTTTTGTTCAATTGATTGGAAGGGGTCTCTGTATCAGAAACCTCTTGCTCCTTTGTGTCATTGTTGACAGCATCATTTAATGAAGACGTGTCAACTCGAACCAAGAAAGATTCCTTAATGACAACTCCACCTTCTGAATTGTCCCCCGGGACTGTCCTCTTCCTGATGCCAACAATCTGTTTCTTCTTGTCCTTTGCCTTTTTGCTTCCAGAGGCAGGCTTCTTTTCAGGAACAGTCTCACCAAACAAAAGCTTATCTGCTATACGAGAATCAGGGCTGTCTGAACCCTGAACTTTAGCCTTCTCATCAGACGCAGGCAACATGGAAAGGTTGAAATCAGGTGGGTTGGAAGAAAGAGAATTCAACACCAATGGATGGTTGCGGTACTCTAGCTGCTTCCGTAACTTGGGCATACCATCTCCAGCAATCTGCAGGAGAAAAGTTTCACAGTAAGTGTATTATCAAAAGAAGAAATACCAAACTGACCTGATAGAAAAAAAATAATTAAACTAGTTGACATAACTTACCTGGAGAAGGAAAGGACAAACTTTCAAGTGCCTGTCACGATTTGAATTGTTGCAAAATGATCTTTGACATCCAGCACAGAAGTTGGGTGGCATGGACTTGGCTAAAAATTGGACAGTGGTCAGCTCCAGAGATGGGGCTGGAGGCAGGTGTATCTCTTTAACAGAGGAGGATGGTTCCACAGAGGCTTGCCTCAAAGCATTTTCTTCATCTTCCAATTCCATTGCTTGAACTTGCAATTCCATTGACAGTTTTTCTGATCTTAAGCACTTCTTTCTGTTTCCTTCTTCCACTGAATCATCACTGTCTGGATTAGAATCTAGCATGGCCAACTTCATAGCTTCAAGAATTGTATTTGTTCTCAAATTCTTTCGGTCACCTAGATGTGAAAAATACCATATAATGTAATGGTGACAAGTTTGTTTACAGTAGGTATTTAATATTTAAACCAGGAAATCAATGTTTACAAACCAGATGGCTCTGAATTGGTGATTGTTTTCAGAGTTGTTACACTACTGGATGCTGCATCAGTAACTGGTTCCTCCTGTGAGGCAGACTTTTCTGATTCTGATGGAGACCTTCTTTCTTCAGTAGCCATCGTAACATCAGCCTCCACCTCTGTAGTCGCCTCTTCCTCGGGGTCGGGGTCGTCGGCAGATGTTGAAGTGGAAGGCGCTGATAGAGGTCCGGAACTCGCCTGTGATCTCAATGGTCGAGCTTTTGGCATGTGACCCGGTTTACTTGAAGAGGCAGTTTTTGACCTGTCCACCAAAGCTCGACTTGCTTTATGAAGAGCAGACTGTGATACAGGGAAGGGAACCTGCAAAGACAATTAAAATTGTTTATGTCTCCTCTGTGCCCAGAAAATTTTACAAAAAGGAAAGAAATTAGAAAAACAAGCAGATTGTATCACCTGCTGAAACAACTAATAATAAAACAAAAGGAAGTGCAACTTGAAAGTACATTTTATAAGATTATTTAAAAAGAAACTTTTATAAGACTCATGATAAGAAAGAAACAGAAGCCACCACCAAATGACACCTCAAAATTGATGAGATGGTTCAAGGCAATGGATGAAGCCAGAGAGTCATGACGTTAAAGATATCATAAGTAACTCATAAGGCACAAATTTACAAACAAATGCTAGACCATGCAAAACCAACACCAGTAACATATAAAGGTCTACATGACCCACTGTACCTTGAATCTTTTCCTTAAAAGACGTGTCTGCGATAAAAACAAACAATACCAAATCAATTCGATAGCAAGACACATAATAGCATGTATATATGTATAATATATAAAAATGAGACTTTTCTTTCCCATGTAAGGATATTAAATTTATGTAACTTTATAGGATGATGGAATGTAGATACTCCTTCTATACAAGTTGATGTTCTTAACAAAGCGGCAGTAGTAAATGTGCAGTGCAATGGTGACATAAAAGGCTAATATGCATAAATTAGTACAGCCCATGTATGTACAACCCAGTGCAGAAAATTCCACAAATACATACCCTACTAAATATAGGTTGCCCCAATTCAATTTTTTTTTTAAAAAGCAAAAACAAAACCCTGAAGCAAGCTTAGTCAAAAACAAAATCACTTCACCATTTAAAAAAAACCAAACACATCACATGGAACATGCTACTCGGTAAAAGGGAGTTGATTTGAACGCCAGAGAAGTGCAAGGGAAACCTTCTCTCATGCTTTGATGGTGAGTATTACCCAACTTGAAAAGGAGACAAACATTTAACTTGGGAAAGAGAGAAACTTTCTTCAACCAGAGAAAACTAAGTTAATTCTTACACTTGCAATAGTGGCTTGGCTCCTAGTTTTAATTTCATCTTCTTTGAACTGAATGACTCTTCTTGTAGCACGCTTGGCTGGGAGGTTGGCAATCATTTTTTGGATTGTATCCGCTAAAAGAGACAGATCAAGGGTGAGCAAAACAGAAATAGCAACAAAACAGAAAGTAAAATTAAAATTTACTGACCATCTCCACCACGTGTCTTTGGGTTATTTGACCGTGGCCTTTGGGGGGTGTTTGGTATATTCCTCTTCAACCCCCGGCGTCCTGGAGGTCTGCGACGACGGCTGCCAAATGGTCTCCACTTCTTGTTGCGCCGGTTGCCTGAGCTGCCAGGACTTGCTGCCACCATCATCAGTTGCCATGTTGCGTCTCCACCACAGTCCAGCATGTGGTGATGCAAATCGGCTGGTGTATGACTGATGTGTTGACACTTGGTGCATGTCATGTCACACTGTTGAGTTGACGGCACTGCGGGTGCAGACATTATGGTTCCAGTGGCATCAATTGCTCTTCGGTTTAAGTCACTTGGTGACTTAATTCCCACAGCTGCAAAGGACAAACACAATAAACATCTCATATCAAATCAAGAGCTGAAAATAAGTTGACATAACCAAATCTGTGGTAAGTGGATGGCTTTACCTGTGAAGGGTATGAGAGCTGCATCATCAAACTCAAAGTGAGTGCACCACACATTCGGATGGAAGTTCCACTTGTGATCTTCCAAGTCGTACAAATTTTTAAATCTTGCATCACATGCAGCACAGAGGTAATTCTTGGGTCTAACCCATTCTCCACTAAGCTCTGCACGTCCATTGACCATGGGGAAGGGCCCCTGGCGCCATGCAGCATTCAGGTAGTCTGCTGCTGGTACTTTCGGTGGTTTTAACTTCTTGTCATGGTCAGATTTTGGAAGCTCAGGGGGATTGAAACTGACTGACAACATACTCTTCTCTAATGTAGCAGCACTTGCAGTTCGACGTAATTGAATTCCAGTAGCACTTTGAGTAAGCGACAAGATTGATGGAAAATCCAACATAGGTGTTTCCTCATGACTAGATCGTAGATTGTAGCTGCGGGTTGATCCTCCAGATGTTGAAGGAGTAGGGCTTTGCACAGCTTCTTTAGATCCCAACCGTCTTGCATTTTGCCTCATTGTGACTTGAGTATGAATATCCACATGTGACATATCACGCAAATAGCTTGTCATGCCACCCTTCCCATCGTACTTCTTTGGGAAGGCATACTTCTCCCACGTGCGAGATCCATCACTACTCCTCCTTCTGTTAACATGTTTTAACTTAGTGGCAGGCATGGCTTCGCTCAAACTCTCTTGTGATGAATAGCTCGTGCTGGGACCAGGCACACTGTCCATAGATATTCGAGTACGCGATGAGTCCGTTGCAGGTACAAGTGAAGGTTCTTCCTCTTCTCGCTCATATAGCTCTTGGGAATCAAGTTTTCCATCCAAATGGTGAAGTAGATTTTCTCTTATATTAGTTGATATTTGGCTGTAGAATAATGTTTCAGGATCAAGCTTCTCAGTCAAATTTTCATCAGAGACTGGTAAAGAATCAGGTCTCTTCTTCTTTTTCTTTCCCCGGTTATCATGTTTTAGCCTGTAATGTCTGTTCAAGTTTTGTTCACTGACTAGAAGTTTTTGACAAACAGTGCACTGGAATTCTTCAGCACCTTTGGCATCACTTTCTTCCACTGTAGCACCACTTGTAGGGGCTGGATCTTCATTAGGTATGGCTGGTGTCACCAAAGTCTCCACATCATTTTCAATAGAGGGCTCCTTTTCAGTATGGAGCAACAATTGATGCTCCATGTACTCTTTCTTGTCCGGAAATCGTAATTCACAAGAGAGACAAGAAAAATAGACATTTTTATGAGATGAACACATGTGTTTAAATAAGTCTTCCAAAGTTCTGTAAATAGGCTCAGCATTTTCACAATATTCACAAGCATAAATAATTTTAGTTTTGCGTCTTTTAGGGCGAAGATGGATGCGTAATTGATGTTGATGGCGTTTCTGACGTGATCCATAAAACTTATCACAAAAGAAGCACATGAATGACTCTTCTTTTACTTCTTTTTCCACATCTGCTTCCACATTCGAAGAGGAAGATTCATCTAGAGCAATGGAAAGAAGATCATTTTCCATTGTAATTGACTCTTCATTGGTTAAGTTAGCAATTTTATCAGTAGAATTTTCAGGAATGGGTAAAGCAGTTGGAGCTGGGTCTAAAATAGGAGCTGCATCAGGTATTGCTGAGGGTTCTAGTGTAACAGCTGGTTCTAAGGTGGGTGCTTCATCAGAAACGACTTGGGATTCAGCTAGTCCAACTTCACTATCATTCAACGCTTCATCACTGAGTTGCTTTCTGTGACTTGACAAATGTTGTCGAATTTCTTCTCTCTCATCAAATGTTTCATCACATGTATAACATTGATACACTCCACCAATACCATCTTTAGATTTTTCTGAAGACACTTCAACAGCAGAAGACGGATCATCACTAGCAACATCGACTTGCAATATTGGCATTTTATTCCCTGCTGCAATACCACAGTTGGCAATATCTCTGACAGTGAGATGAGCATAATTAATGTGTGATCGGAGATAGTGCCGTTTCAGACTGAATGCCCGCTTATATAGACCTTCACAGATGTCACAATAATACCACTTCTGGCCATCAGGACCAGGAACGAGAAACTCATCTGGAGAAGGATTGAATGTAAAATATTTCTGGTCCCCTTCTTCCGTCGATTCCGACTCTGGCTGCTTCGAGGCCTTTCTTTCACTTTCCCTCTTCTTCTTGGAAGCCTTCTTTGTCTCGCCTTTGGCACCGACACCAGTCTTGGGACCTGGACTTGTGTCTTTCTTGCCCTTTCTGGGCTTGGAGGCCTTGGCAGTCGGAGAGGTGGGCGTTGGTTCCAGGGGCTTGCCGCTCCGGGTGGACCGCACGGGCACCACGTATTCGTCCGCTCCCCTCTCACTTCCATCGGCATCGTCGGCGTTCAGAGAGTCGCCAGTTTCAGGAGCCAAGTCGGTGCTGGCCAGCTCCGCCTGCCTGTCGGCCGGGGGTGGTGGAATCGGCGAAGGCACAGGTGCTGCGGGCACAAAGGGTGGTGCTGCGGGTGCAGGCACGGTCGCCTGCTGCTCCAACAAAGAGGGCTCCGGCGCATCGTCCAAAGCCTCTTCGTCCAAGTCCTGGACAACGGGCGAAGCAGCCTCGAACTGGGCGTCGTGCTCCAGGGGCTCCTCCTTGGCCTCGAACATGTCCTCGATGTCCACTTCGCCTTTGGGCAGCATGGAGGCCATTTCTTCCTCGGCGATGACGAGCCTGTCCGCGTGCAGCGCGTCCTGGCTGTCGTCGTTGTCCGAGTGGCCGGGGGCGTCCTGCTCCGCGCGGCCGTGCAGCCCGTGCAGGCCGTACGCCATCAGCTCCTTCTTGGGGTGCAGCGTGGGCGCCGAGGGGGCCGTCATGGTGGCCGCGGGGACGGCCAGAGGCTGCGTCTCCATGGTGACGGACACGTCGGGGGTGTCTGGCGCCCTGCGGACGGGGGGCCCCGACGGACGCGGCCCCATCAGGGACAGCGACACGGTGGGACTCAGGCTGATGCTGGGCGCCGTGATGTGGGGCTTCTCGATGCCGAACGTGCGGGCCGGCATCGACGTGGCGGCGATGTCCATGGGCACGATCTCCAGCCCGCCGGCCGCCAGCATGGGCGGAATGGAAGGCCTCACGGGGGCGGGGCTGCTCCCGGGCCGGCACGAGTCCAGCATCTGGGACACCTTGTTGAGCGGCAGGCTGCAGGGGAGAGACATGTCCTCGCTCGAGCGGCGGCCGCTCGGCGCGATGGGCGTCACGGACACGGACGGCGAGATGGTGACGGTTGGCGAGATGCTCACCACGGGGGCGATGACGCTGGAGGTGGGGGTCGGTGATGATGTAGACGCCACCACGGTCGCGGCGGGCGCAGTGGCAGGGACGGCAACGGTCGCAGAGGTGGAGGCTGGCGCCACCGGCTTGGCAGGGGGCAGCGGCCTCGCGAACGGTGGCCTCTTCAGCGACCCGTCCGCGCCAGTCATTTGGGCCCTGGTCGGCGTCACCTTGACCTTCGCGCGACGCGGTGCGGGGGCGGCGGCGCCGGGGGCAGCGAGTGGGGGCTGCTGCTCCTTGATGCTGCTCTGGAGGTGGCGAAGCTCGTCCACTTGCACTAGCAGGGTCTCCATCAGCTGAGCACACGTGGCGGCGGTGTCGTCCTTGGGCGGCGACCGCGGCGTGGGGGTGGGCTTGGCCGCAGGAGTCTGCTGGTCCAACAGGAACACTTGGCAGGCGGGCGTCGGCGCGGCGGGCGCGGCCGGCGTCTCGATGGCCTTGCATGGCAGCAGGCCCGGCATGGGGGGCCGCGCGGGCCGATCGCGGCGCTCCTCGGTGCCGCTCTGCTCCAGCTCGATGGTCAGCGTGTTGGTCACCTGGATCACCTTCTTGACGGGGGTGGTGGGCTGGTCGTCGGCCAGGTTAAGCGGCGCCCCAACTTGCTCCGCCTTGGCGCGCAGGCCGTCCACCACGTTGCGGATCTTGGAGCCCAGCTGCTTCTTGACGGGCTGCCCTTGAGGCGGGGCCTGCTGGGCTTGCTGCGAGACTTGCTGCGGGGCTGGCGGAGGGACATGCTGCGGGGGTGGGGGCAATGGTTGCTGCGACGCGCTGCTGGTGGCGGCTCGCGGGGCCGGCCTGCTGGGGGGCGCGGGGATCTTGATGTTGGCAGGCGCGGGCGTGATGGAGATGGACGTCTGCTTGGCCAGGCGCTGCAGCGGGCTGAGGGCGCTGGCGGCGATGTTGGAGGGAGCTGGTGGCGGAGGACTCATGGAATGCTGACTGGTGGGACTAGGATTGTGGCGCGCCGGGCTTGGCACCGTCTGGGCGACACTTTTTTGAGCGGGACTGGGGCCCCGTTGTGCGGGGCTGGGGCCTCTTTGAGCGGGGCTAGGACCCCTCTGAGCAGGACTAGGCCCCCTCTGGGCGGGGCTGGACCCTCTCGAGCCGGGGCGCGCGTTGCCGGAGTCCCTCTGGCCCGCGGGGCTGGACGTGCGGGAGGAGGGTAGCGACCGCGGAGGCTGGCCCTTGAACTGCTTGCTCTGGCTGCCCTGGCCGCTCTTGGCGGGGCCGGGCATGTGGTTCTGACGCATGGAGTTCATCATGGCATGGTTCAGCATCATGTCCGGGGGAATCATGGTCATCATGGCGGCCATCTGGTTCAACTGCGCCATCTTCTGCGGGTCCAGCGGCGTGCCCTGCGCCAGCCCCAGCTGTTGGTCCAGGGGCATCATTGAGATCATGGCGGCCATCTGGGTGAACTGCGCCATCTTCTGCGGGTCCAGCGGCGTGCCGCCCATGGGGACGGGGCCGAGGCCGGGCATCATGGCCATCTTGGCCATCTGCTGCGGGTCCATAGGGTAGCCCTGCAGCCCTTGGAGGCCCTGTGCGAGCATCTGCGGCGGCAAGAATTGAGGTCCCATGGGTCCCCACAGCATGGCGGGGTCGAAGCCCGGCGGAAGGCTGCCCAGTCCTGGGGGCAGGAGGCCCGATGAAGTTGAGGGCCCCGACGGGGGTGTCGGCACCTTGAGCCCCTTCGACGGCGCGGCCTTCTGTGCAGGCTTGGGGGCCACCTTGGGCTTGGGCGGCAGCGGAGCTTGAGCGGCAGCGGTTGGCTTGGGAGGCTGGCTGGGCTGGCCAGGCGAGGCGGACTTGAGCGGCGCGGCGAGCTGCTGCGCGACGGCAGGGTGCACGCTGCTGAGGTTCATGGGCATCGGGGCTGCGGAGGCGGGGGCTGACGGGGCCGCCGAGGGGGCCTTCTTGCCGGGCTCCACGTAGTAGGTGGGGATCACGACGGTGTCCTTCGGCAGGGTGGAGAAGAGGCGGCGTTCCTCGGCGGGAGGGGCTTGCTGTCCAGACGACTGGTTTGACTTGAGCACACTCTTGAGCGGCGGCTGCTGCTGCGACTGCTGTGCCTGGGGTTGAGTTGGAGGCAGCGGCTTGGCTCTTACACTAGTATCACATTTATTGGGGCGCGCCGGAGCCGGTTGGACCATGCCCTTGCTGTGCTTGCCGCTGGCCTGGCCCTGCAAGTTGCCCTGCAAGTTGCTCTGTAGGTTGCCCTGCAGGTTGCCCATGTCGGCCCAGAAGGACGGCGGCATGGTGAGCAGCACCTCGGGCGGGATGCTCTGCAGCAGCTGCGGCGGCATGTTGCTCAGCACGTGCGCGGGGATGTTGGCCAGCGCGGCGGGCGGGAACTTGGCCATCCAGGGCGGGAGTTGCTGCTGAGGTTGTGGCTGCGGAACCGGCGGCGGCGGCGGCGGGGGTTTGGCGTTGGAAGACAGGACGGGCGCGGCCTTGTGCGTGGGGGGCTTGACGTGCGACACCTGCGCGGCGGCCTGGGCAGGGCCGGTAGGTCCCGTGGGCAGCATCCGCTTGCAGGTCTCCTCCAGCGCCACCACCGACGGCTTGAACAGCTTCTCCTTGGACGCCAGGCGAATCTTGGGCCGCTCCTCGTCGCGCGCGGCCATGGTGAGCTGGAGCGGCGCGTCCGAGGCCGCGGTCGTGCTGAGGTTCAGTCCCAGGGCCGGGGGCGTGGCCGTGGCCGCCGTCGAGGCCGTGCTGAGGTTCAGTACGGGGCTCGCGGCCGAGGCCGACGAGCAGAGGTTGAGCGCGGCCTGCTTGTCGTCGAAGGGCGACGGGTAGGTGTCCAGCTGATGCACGCTGTTTCTCCGCACCGGCGCGCTGTTGAGCACCGGCTGGCGGCCCGCCGTCGCCTTCGGGTCGGGCTTGACAGGAACTTGGTTGGGGGCCAATATCACAGATTCCGCGACGGGCACACTGGCCTTGGCCGCAGGGGAAGGGGCAGGAGCGGCGCAGGGCGCTGGTTCAGTCGATGGGGGGCAAGGCGTGGCAGTGCTTGAGCTCGATGGCGCCGAGTTCTCGGCGAGGTCGTCATGGCTGGGCTCTAACTTGATTCCGGAGGTCCCCGAGCCCTGGGCCGCGTCGGGCTGGACGACGGCCTGCTTGCTCGGCACAGGGGCCTCCTGCGCTTCCGCGTGCAGCACGGGGACCTTGCCCTGCACCGGGACATCCTCCGCTTCTTCTATTCTTGGCGCGGCGGCGGGCACGGCGGCGGGCACGGCGGCCACCGCGACTGGTGGCGCTGGCTGCGCGGTGTCCCCCTCCGCGGGGCTGGGGCGCGTGGCGACGCTTTCCTCGGCCCCCTTCTGGACCTCCTCCCCTCCCTCGGGGCGAGCTTCAGAAGGGACTTCACAAGGGACCTCAGAGGGGGCCTCGGGCAAAGCGACAGCCGGTGCCTCCGGCTCCACTTCCTTGGTAGGCTCCTTGTCCAACTCGCTGTCCTTGACGTCGCTGGCAGCCTCCACCACCGTGCTGGGCCCGGAAGACACCTCCGTAGGCGAGACAGCTTCTGGAAGATCGGCTTGCTCCTGTTCCTCGGGTTGTTCGTCAGTAGGCTGCACAACCGTATCAGGCTGCTTCTCCGAATTTTCTTCCGGCCTGATTTGAGCAAATTGGTCGGCCTCATTTTCTTCAGGCGAAGAAGTCTCGTCCACTCGCGTCTGCAGCTCGGGCGCAGCACCTGATGCAACCTCGGCCAAGGATTCGGGTGCAGCAGATACAGTTTCAGTTCCGGGAGAAGTTTCAGGTGCCATTTCCACAACGGTTTCCGGAACAACGTCAGCGCTAGGTCCGGGTGTAGCTTCGGGTGTGACATCCGGTGTGGCTTCTGATGTAGTTTCAGGTAATGCAGGCAATTCGGCAATCTCAGGTGAAGCTTCGGGCACAACCTCAGATGCTGTTTCTGTCCTAATTACTGGCTCATTTTCGGAACCAACCACAGGTACTGCAACTTCAATGGCGACTTCAGCGACAAGTTCAGGGCCGGCATCCGCGGTAATTTCAGGAAACGCAGTGTCAACCTCTGAAGTTGTATCGGGTGCAGTTTCGGAGGCGGCCTCGGGAGTTTCCTTCGGTAGTGCTTCCAGGACTGCTTCTGTTGGTTCAGCTTCTGGTGGAGGTGCCGCCACAGGATGTGACACAAGTACAGGCACAGGTTCCGACGTATGGTCAGACCCAGTTTCAGGTGCTGTGTCCACAGCCAAGTCGTCTGTCATTTTCACGTCACCTTCGGGCCCAGCTGGAGATACATTTTCAGACGCAGTTGCTTCCTGCGAAGCTTCTGAGGTAATTTCTGGTGCAGCTTCCAGAGCATCCTCCATGGGAATACCAGATTGAGACTCTGAAACAGTTTCGGTCTTCAAGTCTTCAAGTCCACCAGTTCGAGCATCTTCTGCTGCAGCTTTGAGTGGAGTCTCAGTTGCCAATTCCTCAACAGCTTCAGAGGAAATTTCAGACGGAGACTCGAGAGCATCTTCAAAAGGCATCTCCGGCGAAGCTTCGGGCGCCATTTCGGCGGCAGCCTCGGGTAAGGCTTCGCCTTCGGGCGCTGAGTCAGACTCGGGCACCGACAGGGGCTGCGCTGGAGCTTCCGCCGCAACTTCGGAAGTTGGACAGACTTCTTCCTCAAGTGCGACGACGGGAGGCTGCGGGGATGGCGACGACCGGGCGTCGGCTTGTACGGCGGCAGGCTCCGCCTCGGCGCGGGACTCCACCGTGTGCTTCATCTCGCCCTCGGGAATGTGGTTCGTTGACTCCTCCTCGTCCGGGGCTGCATCCGCGGGGGGTCCGCTGGACTCCAGTGTGGGTCCAGGCGGCGCGGGCGCGGCCTCCTCCGGCCCCGTGTCCGCGGGGGCGGCACCGGCCTCGCTTTGTGCATCGGGTTCGAGCGGCGGCCCGGCCACGCCGTCGGTGTCAGTCTCGCCGCATCTCTCCTCAGTCTTGCCGTTTGCATCTACCGCAGCCTGCAAGCACAAAATGGCAGTTCAGCAAATGTGTCGGCTGGAGGCCGCGAGTCGATGGCAGAGCATCATGCCTCACCCCATCGAGTGGCGCCGGACCCACAGCAGCTGTCGAGTCTTCCGGTTCGGGCCGAGACTCGGACCGAGACTCTCGCGGCGCATCGCCGCCATTTTTCCCTGAAACACGAAAACAAAGTCAGTAAAACGCGGCGGCACTTTCCCCGTCGGTCCGAAAGCACACGGGCCGCTTGCCCCGGGCCAGGGGAAGAGGGAGACAGAGGGAGCGGGGAAGGCTTGCGTTGGCCGCGTTCGCTGGGCCAGCGCTGCGCTGCGGGTTGCCTATCCTCCGATACACAGGCGCGCAGCAATAGCTCCCGTGGAAGCGAGGGTAGGCCACCCGCCGCGACGGGTCGCGCACGGCGGTGCTGCGGGTTGCATACGCCTCCGTTCCCAGGGGCTTTCGCCTGGCCGCCCGCTTGGCCGCGGCCGCCTGCTTTCGCCGCGGGGCCGCCTGGCGTGCCGGGCCAGTGCCGCGGCAGTGCCAGGACGGCGGCAGGACCGCGCCTCGGACTATCTTCCACGCTCCAGCCCGCCACGCAGTGCCACGCAGCCACTTTCACACGCTCCACGCCCCCCTTCCCATCCTCCTTACGACCACCGCGACGACGCCCCCGCCCCCCGCCGCCTTGGAGCGCAGCCCATGGCGCAGCCCGCAGGGGATGGGCGAGACCGACGGGGACCGACGGGGATCTGCTAATAATATCCCCGGCATCCCCGCGCAAGGACCGTCGCGACCTACTCCCCGGCGGCAGCTTCGCGCACCGTGCCGCCTTCACTTCAGCCTTCGGGCCGCATTCATTCGCGCTCTGGGACGCCGAGAGGTCCGTGCGTCCGCGGCGCATGCACAGTCCGCCAAGGTCGCGCGGCCGGCGGGGCCCGGCGCCTCTGGAGTGTCGCTGGAATCCGCCAGCCGCGGCGCGCCGCCATCTGGAAACGGCGACGCGGCTCACTCCCAGCGCCGGCAGCGCCAGACAGACAGACAGCGGGGCGTTGTCCGGGCACGCCGCCGACGCCGAGGTCAGGGAGGACGCCGCGGCTGCCTGGCCCGGCCCGGCCCGGCCCGCGCCCCGCCTCGCCAGCCCGGAGACACCGACGAACGCGGACGTACGCGGACGCCATGACGCAGTCCCCGCCGCCTTCCCGTTCCACCCTCATCGGGGATCACTTCTTTGGCCGGGTCGAAGCTGCGAGACCAATTATACGCCAAGGGAGGGAGGGGAGCGAGTCGCGTGCAGTGCAGGGCCAGGGCAGGCCCGAGGGTGCCGTCAGGACCGCCGCACTGCTCCGCCAGGCTCTGCACCCCAAAACCAGACGGGGAGGGGTGGCGGCCCGGCGGGCGCGGCTCCAGGGGAGGGGTGCGGCGGGGAGGCCGCGACGGGGAGGCTGCATCTCCGCGAGGCCAGCGAGGGGAGCGGAGCGGAGCGAGCGGAGCCGCGGCACACAGCCGGGCCGGCGGACAGACAGACGGACAGCCAGACAGAGAGACTCGTCGACCGACCGCGGAGACACCGTCATTTCCGGCCGGCAGACAAACACGCCGCCTGCCTCGCCTGCTTCGCTCACCTGCCGCTGGGGGCGCTGGGTCCGACGCGTGTGACGGGGGTGGCAGCCGCGCCTCGACGCCGTCCTTCATGCTGAGCCCTCCGGGGGGCGAGTGGGGCCGCAGCGCTCAGCCACACCTCATTCTGCAACAACAAGACGGGCAAAGTCTTAATCACACACACGGACACACAGGCACGCGCGCTCCGCCGCTCCGACGGGCCGACGGGCAAGGTCGCGCCAAGGGCAAAGTGCGCGCGGTACGAACCGTCGTCACTCGCCGGGCGGGCGCGCTGCAAGGCGGGCTCCAAGGCGGATGTCACAGAAATGGAGGGGACCGGGGGCAACCCCCTGCAGCCATCCGCGCCAGCACTGCCCAGGGCAGCCCTGCCAGCGCCGACGTGGCAGAGCGGGCAGAGCGGGCAGAGCGCTTCGGCCGCGCCCCGGCACCGCAGCGGGCTTATCGCAGATACGCGGTGCCACCAGTCACGCCCCGAGCGTGTCGGAGCGTGGCGGAGCGTGGCGGCCAGCAGAAACAACCACGGCCACCACGCCGCGACCAACGTCCACCACGCTCCTCGCCGCGCGTCCCGTCCGCCGCGCGCCGCCCGTCCGTCCAGCCGCTCCACGCAACAAGTCAGAGACAGCAGGACGAGCAGCACACAGAGGGATGCCGATAATGGGGGGAGCGTGGCAGAGCGTGGCGGCGGACAAGACGAGGAGAAACAGAAATGCAGCCGGCGTGGCCCGGCGTGGCGGGGCAGGCAAGGTCAACACGAGGGAGTGAGTGGCTGCTGCTCGCTGCGGCACGGCCGCACGGCGGCACGGCCTCCACTCGGCGCGGCGCGGCTCGCCACGGCCCGGCCGGTTGGCTGGCTTGGGCTGGGCTGCGGCTTGGCTCCGCTCCGACGCCGTCCCGCTCGTCCCGTGAGCAGCACGACGCCAGCCTACGCCAGTCCATGCAGCGAGGACGGCAAACGCCCAAAGCAGGGTGCAGCGTCGCCGGAAATGCGTTCCTGCCCCACTCTCCACCCCGTTACCCCTGCACCAATCCTCCCCCACGCCGTGCAGCCGGGGGGCGCACCAAAGTGTGTGCAACGTGGTGGCGTACATGACGGGCCACGTCCCCCAAGCCCGGCTCCGTGGATCGCGCACCGCGCACCAGCTGGCCTGGCTGGCCTGGCTGGCCTGCACCACCACCCTCCCATTGTCTGGGCCCGAGCCCGGCCGCCCGGCCGTCCCGGACACAAAGCCTGAGCGACGGCACCGCTCTCCCCACCCCCTCTTCCCCCCGACATTCTCCCTCCGTCTCTCCCCGCCGTTTTTGCACCTCACAGTCGCCCGCTCCTTCCTTCTAAACAACGCGATCCTCACAATTTGCATTTTTATGGCTCGAGGGGGGAAAGGGGGCTTTGTCCGGTCGCCAACCTCGGCCCCAGGCTCCGTCCGTCGCATCGCGGTCGCATCCCTCGCCGCCCCCGCTGGAGCCTCCAGCGACTCCAGCAGCGCCTCGAGCAGCCAGCATCGGCGAGGAGCTTGAGCCAGCAGACTGGGGCCTGGGGCCGGGCCGACCGGGCGGGCCGCGCAGGTAGAGGTAGGGCCCCCTCTCCGGGTTCTCCAGCCCAGGTGCAGCGAGGCAACCAGGCGGTCCCGTTCGGCAGCGAGGAGGCGTAGTCACGCACCCCGTCCAGGCCGTCCGCACCATCCACCAGCAAAAACCCGAGCCGGGCCGGGGAGGAGCAGCGAGCGGCAACGCAGCTGACTCATTGCGAGGAGCCTCGACGCTCCGTCTCCGTCGCACACACGCGACGTCGGCGACGTCACGTGGGGGCGCGAGAGAGACAGAGGGCGTCACCGCGGCGGCGGCGCAGCAGTGCATCTGACCGGTGTGCCGAGCGTGTGCGTCAGCGATAGTGCGGATAGTGGCATGGCGATCGCAAAGAGCATCATGCCGTGAATCCGGGCCAAGGCTGCCAAGGCCGCCGTCGCATTCTGTTCAAAAGCCCGGATGGACCGCCGCGGCGCCGCGTCCCGTGTCACACGCCACGGGACGAGCCGAGCCGACGACACGAGTCAAGCGAGTAAAACGGCACGGATCACTTATCGGCGGCCGGCAGCACACGCGCGCCCGGCCCTCTTCCGCCCCCTCCCCCTCGAAATTAAACCAATTAAACCGACTGTTTGAATGCGCGCGCCATACGAGCGGCGCCGCGAGGAGCGCGGGGCCGCCACTGGCCCGCCAGTCCGACCGCGAGGCTCCCGCCGTGGCTCTGCTGGGCCCGGCTGGGCCCTCGCCGCCGTTGCGATAGGCGATAGGCAGCCCGCACGCACTCGTGCGCAGCGCGTTGCCTGCCCGGCCCCTGCGGCCAGAGCCGTGGCGGAGCAGCGGAGCAGACTGGCTGGCCTCGCCTCACGCCTCGCGCCCCGGCCGGAGAGGGTAGGCATCCCCGCACGCACCACTGCATGCGGGCAGGCCTACCCTCGAGTGTGACGGCGGCCCCGGTTCGCCTGCCGCCTCGCCGCCTAGCCGCGGCGCACAGTCCGTGCAGTCGACGCGCGAGGCCAGCCGGCCAGCCAGCAGCCAGCCAGCGGGCCAGCAGGGCCGCGCGCGGTATTGCGTTGGCTGCGACTGCTGCGACACACGCACGGTGTCGCCGCTCCGTCCGCGCGCCTTGCTTTTCAATACGGCCACGATCGAATTTGCCCTGCCCCGCCACGGCGCCACGCACCGGCGGCCAAGATAACGACCGGGGGGCCGAGGCGGGGCTCGCAGCGGCGCAGCGACGCAGCGCGCACGGCCTGGCCCTCGCAGCCCCAGCCAGGCCCACCCACCCGTCCACGCGTCGCCGCCATCGCCGCCCCCGAAATCCCGCCAGGCAGGCCAGGCGCGGGCGCCCCACTCCGCCCCGCCCCACCCCGTCATGTAAAGCGGCAACGTGGCGTCCGAGGCGGCGCGCGTCCATGTCAATTCAAACAGGCACAGCCCCCGAAGGCAGCGGGGCAGGCCGGGCAGGCCGGGCAGGCCCTGCAGGCAGGTAGGGCGGGGGTCTAGGCCTTCCTCCTAGACTCATTGCTATGCCCGGCGACACGGCGACGGCCGGGCCGCGGCGCGGGTTACACGGGCCGGCCTTGGACTGCGGCGACGCGGCCCGACGGCCCACGCGCGCACGACACGGCGCAGCCCGCAGACGGGACGCCGCCGATGACAACTTATTGCCCCGGGGATGGCGACCAAAGGGCCCGACAGGGGTC